AATCTTATGTTAGTTCATTGTTGGTTGTTAATATGATGAAAAGAAAGGTGCTATTTATCTTTTTTCCCTTTGTGTTAAATCCCTTTAGGAATTAAACTAAGTGGATTTCTTGATTGGCCAATGATTCTGCTTTGTATGAGGGAAAGTGATTATGAGTAACACAAGAGACTTTCAATGAGGACCCATAAATAGGCTCAAAGCTTCAAAGAGACAGAATCTGCCCTCCCCCTCATTCTCTAGTCTAGTTCCAACCCTACACAAACATGTGAACGCACCTCTATTCAGCAACCTTCCCCCCCAGATACACACTGTGACAATCTGTGTCCACTTGGCACTGGTTCCCACACCACATACTGTACATGAACAGTCTGAGGTACATGACATTCCTCTCTACATTTTCCACTGCAGACTTCTGTTAATTCCCTCCTGCAGATAATGATGTATGTTGCCAAGCGATGCAGCATTTTACATCAGCTACTTGGCTAGATGCCACCTAATGCTGCAGTCCTTTTAAAAATCTCAGAGTAATTCATTTTGTTTTAGATTAAAAAAATCGCCACTGAATATAAAATCTAAATATTTTGGTCAAAACTGGATGTTTTTGTGAAGGCTACTGCTTTCTGTACGTTGCTTTGATATCCCGCAGTATTCTTATTCTGAGCCATTCTCATGTAATTCTCTACAAAAAAAAAAAAACATAAGCTGTGTTTGTCTTTAAAAGCATCAGTAATGATCCTTAAAGCCTAAACACAGAGAAACTTTCCTTTAAAATCTGAGTCCCAATGAATAAATTATGAGAAAGATAGAGAAAGATAAAGAACATACATATTAAAAAGTTAAGACTGCCTTCAGACAGAGATGGACCAAAAATCTTAGATGGCTAGAATTGCAGGCTGTTAGTTTTTTTCCTGACTTCTTTTCATGTAACATTAAAACACTGCATGCAACTTTAATTAATCAAATTTTTAGCCTTAATTCTTTGCCCGTATTTGAAGATAAGCTGCTATCTTGATTTATTCAAATGTATTTCTAACTTTGTCTCCAACTATTGCCTCATAGAAAATGTTTTTATAGTTGTATGTCATCTTTTATTGGACAAAAACAAAATAGTAAATTAGTCATATATTTTTTATTAAATTTTTTATATTACTATAAATCGAGGAGGAAAAAAATGAAAGAAAACAATAATATTTCTTTACTACATTGGGTTCAAAGCTCTAAAGTTACTTTATACTGATTTTGTTAACTGAAGTAAGTAAAAGGACATTGAAGAAAGAAAAATAACTCAAATGAGCCAAGACATCAACATTTTGTATGGATCATCAAATTGTGTGCATTAGTGCACCCAAGAAGCCAATCTAACAGAAAATATGTGACCGCAAAGTTTCCAGCCCAAAAGTGACTTCACAAACTGAAGAAGTTTGCTATTTGTTCAATAGGTGGTCTGTAATATGGAAAAAATATTATCTGGGAGCAGCAACTTTGACACATAACAGACCAGCTACCTACCCAAAGTTTTAAAGGTGCCTTTCCACATATGATTTTACAAATGTCTGTGCTGCCTGTTCACTCTGCTTGATTGAGGTAATGCACCCTGTTTGCCTACTTTACATTATTTCTGTGTTTTACACTTTATTGTGGTCCTTTTATTAGTAAACCTACACTTTGTCAGTATTCGTCACATCAAGAGCACATCACAATGTACAATAAAATCAGAAATTTAACCAGCATAAGTGTGCAAAGAAAGAGGAAAAGGCAAAGATCAACTGTGAAAAAGTGCAAAAAATATCAGCTGCCAAGAAGTATAAGACACAATATGAATGTCTGTGTTCACTAAAGCAGAACCTAAGACCATTGCAGCTGCCAAGCTCTGAAACAGGGGTACTACTAGCAGAGTGTCTTCATACAACAATGTGTTCTGTCCACTCAAAAACTATTTTTAAGCTCAAAAAGGACTAAGTAAACACCATCAGAATGAATGTTTGCTGTATATTGCTTCACCTTAACAAGAACTAGTGGTTTTGGGAGGGTTGTTATAAAGGCATATTAGGCATATATTATCTTTGAAAGCACTCACTAAAGTTCACTAAATAAAAAAACTTTATATGGTTTTGTTGCACACAGACTGATGTTCCTAATACTCAATTTGATTTTCTTGGGTCATAGAGCTATTAACACACTATTTTCCACAAAATATGTAAACACCTTTGCAACACAAAGGTTTTAGTGCCATCCATCCATCCATCCATCCATCCATCCATCCATCCATCCATCCATCCATCCATCCATCCATCCATCCATCCATCCATTTTCTCTCACGCTTATCCCAAGGGTCACAAGAGGTGCTGGTGCCTATCTCCAGTTGTCTACGGGAGAGAGGCGGGGTGCACCCTGGAAAGGACACCAGTCCATCACAGAGCTTTTAGTGCATTACAGCAAAATCTGTCAGAACGTTTTTTTCAAAGACATTGTTCAGACACTCAAAGTCTTTTAGTCAAGAAATCTCGCTAAACAAACCTGCAGATCTGACCTAAAATTCAATTCATCTGACAAAGTTTGTGGGAGGAAAAAAATTCAAAACACTGGTATACAATGTTATTTATTTAGCTCTGACAGTATGAATTGTAGGTAATTACAAGGCAGAAAGAATTTTTGGTGAGAAAAGAAAAATCTGTTTCATAACAGTAGATTTTGTAACAACAGAGAGCTCATGCAAAGTAAAACCCAAAGCATGAAAATATAGGAAAACAATTTGAGGCACATCAGTTGAATATATTCTGACTCATCTGGAGCTGTGGGGTTTTTCTGTTACCACGGTATAAACTTTGTTATGTCCTTTCCCTTTAGGCTTGAGTCACTTTTGCTCCCTGAACAAAGACTCCAATTTTTTTTATTGTAGAGTCACAAAATGGTTCAAATGGGGAGACTGGTGAAAACTTTGGGGAAAACAAGATCACTCTCACACTCAGCATGTTCCCTATAAGATATGTTGTTTTTTCCCCCCAAAATAATCATATTCTGCTTTTCCTGACTACCCATTATTTTCTACACATGTCACTGCTTTTCTGTTTTAAAGATGCATGTGTCTCAAAGTCCCTTTAGGCGAAATGCAACTTAAGTAAAATAGTTTAAATAAACAATTTTGTGCTCCAATAAAAATTCAGTTGGGAAAACTTTTATTTAACTATGTTTCATACTTTAAGACCTTTGTTTTCTGACTTTAAACTACATCAATTTCTAAGCTTTACTGTAGAAAAATAGAACATCTCAAATCTGTTGCAGTGTTTTTGAATCATCAGTCAAGTGGAGTGAACAGGGAGGCTTTCACTGCTTGTTTTTGTAGCGATCTGTTATAGTTCGTCTGTGTATTAGTCGAGGTTTCCCCCACAGTCTGCAAACAGCACGATGAGGTCATCGTTATGGGTTTAAACCCAACGTGGGCTTAATCTGTAAGATAAGGGCTGGATTTGGATTTAGCTCTAAAAAAGGGTTACAGAGCTGTAACTGCTTAGTCTCTGGGGTCATACAGAATTTTGACAACGAAATTCTCAGTCATTCATTAAACATTCAAGTTTCATTACTTTTAACTCTGATTCATGATCTGTATTATTAGAAACATGCTAGATTTTTCAGACTATATATTTTCTTTTTTAATACCGCATGAAAACTACAGATTCGTCAGACCAAAATAAAGTCTGAGGCATTTTTCTGAAGCTGTGCAGGAGTTTCCAAAACAGGGGGCTGTGAAAATTTCACTTTGATCAGAGGCACTTCATGTACTTTGCACAATGGGTGAGCCCCTCCTTCTGAGCAGCCCTCTCTTTTACAAAAGCGTTTTTAGATTAAATTATAATTTTATATATATTAGCATTTTTTAAAGTATGTACAGATTTGTATAAAAAAAAATAAATCTCTAACTGTGTTTTATGACTTGTTTAGAGTAGCTCAACCCAGTGCTGGACATGCCCAGCTATTATAGTTTGAAGAAGAGGTTATCAAATGCAGATTTTACTGTTGATGAGATCCTAACAAAAAAAAACGTCATATTACATTTTCCCAACTAAGATCCATGCACTGCAAAAAAAATGTAATCTAAATAAGTAATATTTTCTTAAAATAAGTGCATTTTGTCTTGAATTAAGGAGGTAAGCGAGACACTTTCCAATGAAACAAGACAATTTACATTTAAAATAAGAAAAAGCAACTGCATTGTCTTATTACAAGTGCATATAATCTAATTATCGTATTTTAAGAGTAAAAATACTCATCCTATTGGCAAATCATCCCATTAACCTACTAAAATAATGGTAAATACACTTGATCTAATCATTATTTTACTTATTTCTAGTTAATTTCTGCAGTGTGCAATTTACTGAAAGAGCAGCAATAGAAAACTTGTTTTAACTTGTTAAAACATGGATGCCCCCCTTGTTTTAGGGGTCATGTTGCTGATAATGAAAACTGCTTTACAAAACACAGAACGGTACTTTTTATTTTGGATAACCAGCTGTTTACAGCCTTTCATTATAATTTAAATCGATTAAAGTTGTTGAAAGAATAAGGATTACATCGTGGGGGAGGTCCCTTTCAGGTGCCAGCGAAAAAATAGGGTCAGTAGAGATTGCAGACATAGGATAATAAAGGAAAACCTGCCCTTCATCTCCAGGCTGTGGCAGACGGAGCTGGCAGCTTATGCGGCAATTAAAGCGTCCTCCATGCACAGGGCGTTAATAGGTTTTGAAGGGATTTACATTCTGCTGTCCAGTCAAATGCTAGATGCCTTGGGAATGACATCATTTTGATCACCTCACATACAGGCTGACCTCCTCCTCCCTGTTTTACAGTGAGGTCTCAGTCACACACAAACCCCTCTGCGCTCTGTACCTGCGCTGGGCCCCTGTCTCACCGGGCTCTGTGCGTAACGGCGCAGCTCTTCTCTGATTGGAGGAATCCCTCCCTCCTTCCCCTCCCATCTCGCTCTTGCTCCTCATCAGTCCTGTTTACTATATGAGACCATGGTATAAATTCCTGAGTGTGCGCAGACTGTGTCCTTAGAAGATGATGGAAAGAGGGAGGTGTTTTATTTTGGCTCTCTATGCCGTTCATTGGATTTAAACGCTGCTAAGCAGGTGCACCGGATTCTGAGAAGGAGGAAAAAATATCAGCTTCTTACCGGGTTGTTATTTGAAATTCGATCCTTAACTGTCGAGGAAAACACATGCAATCAAAAACGATGGAGTCCTGCTGTCCGCACTGAGGTAGGAACCATTTTTTGAACGATAGGAGAAAACATGAGAGCAGGAAAAGGCGTCTTCCTTTAATATGGTTATAAATCAGTCAGAAGGTGTTTTTATCTGATGCTGTCAGTAGATGCAGCGGTGTTTGGAGGACAGGCGGCGATGCGCTTTGGAAACATCCTGGATGCAGTGGCCTGTAACAGCGCGCAGCCTCCTCCTCCTCCTGCAGCTGATGCCTCCATCACTCCACTAAAGCAGGACTGTTAGGAAGCAGGATCAATGGGATGTGAATGATGTGTTACACCAGATGTGTCTGAGTTGTGAGGTTTCTGCTGAGGTGGAAAATTATAATGAGGTAAATTTTTTTTTTTTTAGTTGATCAAGGTTAATGATTCCTGCAGTCAGTGCATTATTTTCTTTTTTTACCATCTGTATTGTTAATGTGGAATTAATAGTCATAATTGCATCGCTGGGATGCAGACAGTCTGCTGACAGCTCATGCATCAGACCAAATCTTTATCACAATATTATCAAACATCAATAATATAATAAACATTGATTAAATTGTAAAACTCAGACTCTTAGGTTAGAAAATATCGAAAGTGCACTCTAAAATTTCCTTCTGATACACAAAATGATGTCCAGGTTATGTGTTCTCTAAAATAATATTTGTTTTAATATACTCTACAATGTCCTGGATTGAAGTTGGTATTTATCAGGTAATATATTTTCCTCTTTGTCATCTTAATCAATGAAAGGCTTATGTCCTTGAAACGCTTCAAAAGGCTCTGACAAGAAATGATAGGTTTCCTTTCGTTGTTAAGCACACAGTCGCTGTTGTCCTTGGAGACGTGCAGAGCTTTAAAAAGCAGAATTCAATAAACTGCTCTTATCCTTTTCAATACACAGATGATGCTGTTTCATGTAAAAAGCCAACAGTCGCCCATAGATCATTACTTGCTTTCCATTCCTACCCTCTTTTTGTGATTATTATGATGCTGTGGCACCATCAGTTCAGTTAAAATGAGTATTTTCATTTAACAAAAGAACTCTCATAGTTGTTTTTTTTTTGTCATTTCTTCAGAAAAAATATGTTCTCAGATATGATATAGGTAAAAAGTGTGAAAAGCATATGTAGCTAATGTGTGGTAAAAATGTAAATGTATTTTTTTGTGTGTAGTAATATAACTTGAAAAGTTTATAAAAATCAAAACATTATAATAAAGAAAATCACTTGATATTTTGGCAACCCTTTTTCTTGCCAGTATGATATCACTGTGTTCTCCTATGATAGCTATTTAGTTACAAGTGTATGAAGAGAGTGACCTTTGTCCATTTATTTTTGTTAAATATCTCTGCATCTCTTAGAGTACTGGCTCCTGTCTTGTGTCACCGCAGCCATAGTTCTTTTTTGGATTTAGTTCTAGGAACCTATATGCCTTGGAAAGAAGGTACATGTTGTTTTTAATCATAAACCATCATTATCCAAATTAAAGTAACATTTTTTTTTGTTTTTTGTTTACTTGTCAAATTGAAAGGGCTATGTTGAAAATGTTCTGTGAAGTCTAAGAGTTCCAGAGGTCATCCACTCCAGCCAAGTTTGCAGGGCTTTTGGAAGGGAGAAAGACACAGGCCCATATCATCCCAGATCCTCCACCATACTTAACCTTGACTAGGACAGCTTTTTCCTTATAGTCATCATTTGCTTTGCCACAGACCTACCTGAAATGTTTACTGCAAAAACCTAAACCAAGTCAACAAAGATGTCTGGAGTGTACTGACAAGGAACTTTAGATATTTCCTTAAATCCTCTCTGCTTTTCTATTCATAATTTCAATAGAAAGGAATAGAATAACCCTACTGAGAACATTTCTGATTAAAAGGAATCATGAAAAATAGACAAATAGAAGTACACATATGCACAATAAAACAGAAGCCAGTGTGTGCATCATAAAGTCCATGGAAAGAAAGCACTCGACTACTAAATTAAAAATTCCTGGAAACATTAATTAACTTTAAAAGAATCCATCAAAAATGTATTTCAGGTACATTTATTTTATACTGATTTTTAGAGGAGTACCAAAATTGTGACTTTACATAAAAGTAACTATCTCTTAAATGTAGCCATACTAAAGATTGTTTTTTTTTCTCAGTACTTAAGTGTGAAAATATCCTACTGTTGAAAAATGTGAATACATTTTCTAACTTGTAACACATCTTTACTAAGATGCCAGGCAATTTATGTCTTAGCTTTTTAAGTGAGTTTCACAGCCTAACATACATAGAAGAAGAGAGATGATTGTTGGACAGGTCCTTAACTAATTAGTTTGGGAATGTTCAGACTTAATTAATGTTTTTAGCTGAATGGTGTTTTGTGTCATCCGAGCATTTTTTCACACAGTTTGTGATTTAGAAAGTCTCTGAATTTGGGAAGCATCCAACCTTTGAAATGCACTCTATGGATTTTATTGTAGCTTACCAAGCACATTAAACCACTGGAAAGGCATTTCCTTTCAGCTAATTTTATGATATTTATATATATTTATATATTTTGTCTTTACAGCTTCCTTTGCTCCAGTCTTTTTGATGGCGCTCGTTCATGAACCCCATGCCTCCTCCCCCACCCTGTCTGGCTTCAACACACCCATTTCTGACCCACCGTCTTTTCGCCGGCTCGATGCCGAGACCCCCTGTACCCCAGAAATGGACCTCACCCCGACCCAGTGTGTACTCCGGAACGTCCTGTCCATAGACACGGGGGGTGCCATAGAGCCTGGAGGAGGACAGGGGAAGACCCTAGGGCACAACCAGACACCTGGCGAGGAACAGCAGGAGCACTTTGCCAACAGTGTTTTGAAACTACAAGAGCATGACGGGAGCAGTGGGAGGAATGAGGAAGAGGGGCAAGAGCCGGACAGCTCTGTGGTCAGGAGCCAGGCAGACAACGCCAGGTTGCAATGCCAATCCACCGGAGGGGGAGGAGGGTTTTTGGAGGGGTTGTTTGGGTGTCTTCGGCCTGTCTGGACTATGATTGGCAAAGCTTACTCTACAGAGCACAAACACGACCTGGACGGTAAGTCTATTTCTGTATAAAGTGAGCAAGCTTCAATAAACTTTGTTGTTAATGATTGCTTTAAGTTATTTATGACAGAAGCCACTATCCTCAATTACATTCCCTAGTTAAGCTTTGATATGCTAATTGAATGATCTTATTTGCCAGTTTAATTACATTAAGCAGTAGGTAGAAAAATTACTCCCACAAAAGCCACGTTGTAAATAAGCACTTTCCCTGACAGGAATGAGCTGCTTCCAGGGTAGCAGACTCTATCAGAGCTGGAGCGTGCTCATTTTCCCCTGATACCCCCAACCCCCCTAAACCATCCCATCTGATCTATTTGCCTGCTCGTGCCCACCTCCCACAAGCACCACCCACCCCCTCAGTGAAACCCACTCCCTGTGACGCTGTGTTGTTTATGTCTGCAGCCACTACAAAAGCACAGGGCTCCCCCGAGACTGCTCTTCCAAATCTGCTTCATGAATTATTCATAGCCACGTTCTGACCCCGCACCTCTCATCTCTATTAAAGCAAACCTGACACGCATGCACATGGACAGATGCACGCGCACAGACACTCATCTGCAAACTGAAACACTGATATTAGCAATATAAGTGAAATAACATGCTTAATGTTTTGGAGAAATATTGTACCTCATATAAGAGACAGAGCTGGCTTACACCCTTCCCTGGCTGTATTGCCTTTCGATGTTTTATCACCCATTGACTTCACTTTTTCCCCTCCTCCTGTCTCATATTGTCTCTGCTTTTCATCCACCTCTTTTATCATCCCCAGTCCATCTGCACCTCTATGCTCTTCTATTCTGTACAACGGTGTGGCTTAAATGAACCACTTTTCAACTTGTAACAATTGCTTACATTCAACATTTCTCAGGACCTGATTGTTTTTTTGTGGTGGATATCAGGAGAAACAAAAGGTATCCTGTTACTTATCAAGAGGGTTGGAGGAGAGCTCATGTTTCCAAATCAAAGAAGAGCCGAGGATATTCTCACATGTCAGAGCTGGACTGATGTCTTTACTACAAAAAAATTGAGACGCCCATTAGAGGCGGAGCACTCAATCGATCACTGCTGGGCATTAATCATTCATTTCATCCTCATTAATATGATAAATGTGTCTCAATACAGCTCACTCTACTGCTGTTCTCCCCGGGTTAAGAACAGCAGCAGAGCGAATGGGTTATATGTCTCTTGGATATTAACAGTCATTCTTTAGGCACATAGAATACAGCAGTAAGGGAATCCCCCCCGACCCCACTACCCCAAACTCCCTACTGTCTATTCACTTACCAGCCTCAGTAATACTTTGCCATCTCTCTATACACCCTACGACCAGCCATTAGCCTCTCAAATCCTCTCCATCCTACAAACCCCTTCTGAGTTGTTGAACCCCTGTTTGTGTCAGCCCCTCAATGGCACTAAGTAGGATTTAGGAGTCTGAGGGAGAATTACCCACAAGAGATTAGAGCTTCCCTGTCTGTATACCGAGTGTCAGGTTAGGAGGTTCATACAGATATCAGCCATGGTCATATCTTGTTATGGCTTCCTTCAGCTTTTCCATGCTTTACTAAAGGTTAACCTCCACTGAGGTAGTGTTTTTTTTTATTTTGTAAAAAAAAAAACTGCTTTTATTTTCTGCTTAAGTATTCATATAGGAAATTATCTTTTTTAAATTACATTTTTTACATCTGTTTTCATGTTGTACTTAAAAAACTGATGTAGATGATGACAGAAGTATGCTACACTGTATATCTCTCTAATATGGTACTGAAATGAAACTGATATTAGTTGTTGGTAACAATAATCCGTCTAAGCAAGCTGTCTTAAAATTTGAAGGCTCTTCTATGCTCTCTGATCTTTTGTTCTTTTAACAGATTTTAAATTGGAATAAAGTCAGATTCTGATCAAGAATGCCTCACTAAATTCTTCCTTTATTAAGTTGTAAGAAGCCTGCTGAGACCATAGTAAAAATCTGTCTCCAACACGATGTTTCCATCTTTAAACATCACTGTTGGTGTATTTGTTATGATGTGTTCTCATAAGATGACACTTTCCCTGAAATTGATTTTGTTTCCATGATATTAAGCATGAAAGTTTAATAGATATCAGCACACTTTTTCTTCAACAGTGGAGACTTTATCAAGACTTTTGCGGTTGTGTCAATAACTGATTATTTTCATTAAAATACTGGACTTGCTGCTTCCAAATCTCCTTAAGGCTCTCCGCTAGTGGCCTTGGCTTTTGGCCAACTCCTCTGCTTATGAGTTTTCCTTTTTTTGTGGAAAGGGACTTGAATATTGTTAGTTCATGATGATATATTGTTCTCTCCACTTATAGATTTTGTCTTACTAGGACATTCAGAGCTGCAGAAATATGTTTGAAATCAGTGCTGGTTATTGTTTACGTCAGTTAGCCATGCATTTAACAACTTGATCATACAATTTAAACTGAGAGAGATTAAGAAATTATTTATTACAAAGGATTATTAAATTATCTTGCAACACTTACTGTTGGTGTTGTTTTAAATGTTGATGGCTGTTGGCAGGATGAATATCCTGTAGTTGACTATCATATAGTAGTTCTGAATAGAAGTAGACTAATAAATCATCTGGTTAATGCTTGTATTGTATTCTTGTGGTGGCATGAGCCAATAAATGTATGAGTTGACTAATTCATTAGTATTATTACATTCAGTAGCCATACCAAGATCATGTGAAATACATATATTTTCCATTTCTCCTTTTGCTTTCCATTGAGAAGGTTTTGTTTGATTTTTTAAAATAAATATTTCTTTCTGTTATAACTTAAATATATAAAATTTGTCATTTATTATTGTGTAATTTTTATTATGTAAAAGCAATATCAGGTTGAAATACAGGTCCCCCCAAAAAAGTGTTAGCATATAATGTAATGTGTAATGTAAATCCCTTTATTGTGCCTCAATGGGGAAATGAGTTCTCTGTATTTTGACCCATTCCCTTGGGGAGTAGCAGGCTGCCATTGTGTGGCTCCCAGGGAGCAATGAGGGGTTAAGGGTTTTGCTCAGGAACTCAGAGTGGAGGATGTGGGGATCAAACCAGGTACTTGCAAACTTTCCAGAACACAAGCGCACTATTCTAACCCAATAGGCCATAATATATCAGTAATCTGTAAGATTGATATCAAAACTATTGACCTTAAAAAATATATATTTCTGTCAGTCTCTAGTTCTGGAGTGTCTCTGACTAAAGCCACTGTTGTTGTATGACACTCTAATAAAGACATTACATTAACTTTAATGAAGTTAATGAAATATATGGTCTGTTCCTAGTATTGTGCTGCTTAAGGTGGCTGCATAATGGAGTAGCTCTGCTTGATTGCTAGTTTCTCCATTTGTTGATAAGAGTTTCTTTTTTCTGATGGGTTTTGCTTCTGGTTTTAAGTGCTGTAAGACCGGAAAGAATTTTTCTGATAGCAATTTTTTTTTGGATACTTGTGGTGATGTGTAACCACAGCTAACAGAGCAAGTAGATTTATTTTTTTTTTACATCCGGGAACAGCTTTTTAACATCTCTAAAGCTGAAATAGTACATCAACTACTTACAAATTACCAGCTAAGTTGAAAAGTAGGTGCCTGAAATGCAGAGCAGGGGCTATAATCATGCACAATGTGAAAACTTTAGGAAAGAAGTTAGAAGAACTCCAACCCTAGCAAAAACCCAGTGACAATATCGGCAATGCAGCAGTATGTGTTTTATTAAAATGTGGCTGCAAGATCATATTTCAGACTCCAGCGTTTCTCTGCAATGTTTTCTGACCATGTGAGCGAATAAAGATTTTAAGACTGGAACATTGAAAGGAGGTGGGTTGGCAGTTATTGTGAACAACAGATGGTGTCATCCATGACATATTACTGTGAAGATTTGTCACTGCAACCCAGATATTGAACTACTGGCAGTTGGTTTCCGACTATTTCGACTACCGGTATTTGCCCTGGGTGTTTACCAGTGTTCTTTTAGTAACCATTTACTAAAACATTTAGTAACAATCTAGTAACCTTCTTCCATTACCACTGAATGTGAGGTAATCAATTATGTTGTTGTTGTTAAGCTCCAGACACATGTGTATTTTTGAGGACAAAATAAAAAAAATTGTAATCTCAACATTTCTTCTTTTTGGTCATGCTCATTGCTCATCATTTATATGTAAAGTCATTTCAATTAAACTGTATTGATAATGGGAACCCTTAGGCCTTAATTTATAGACTAGCAATGTTTGCTCAACTATCAGTCCCTGTAACATTAAAATGTATGACAAATAACAGTATACGGACTGGTTTTAATTCCCTTGTATGTATGGGTTGTTAAGAATATCTGAAGCAAATTAAATGTCCTGCTGCACATAGATTTAATGAGAAAAGACGGTATTTGATGATTTCCTTCAATTGATATAGCCTACCCTATATTTTGTATTACATGCAGTAAAAACTGTATGCTTTATAATATTACATTTTAAAGCAAGTCATCTTTGAAAAAAGATTTAAGAAATCTCTGTAAGATCTTCTCCTTGGCCTTATTAAAGTGAAGCAAGACTCACTAAGAATAGAAAGAGGATTCTCAGACACAGTATTGCCTAAGTGTTTCATCATTCAAGTTCAACTGATCTGTAGTCAGTAGAGGTCAGTGCAATGATTACACTGTATTTATAACTCACATGCTCCTACTTACCGGGTAACTTCACCTAGAGCTTCTTCATTATCTTTTTGTCTCTTCAGAGGAGTGGGAAGTTCCTTTTGAAGAGATTTCTGACCTACAGTGGGTGGGCAGCGGAGCCCAAGGTGCTGTCTTTCTAGGCAAACTTCACGGGCAAGAAGTTGCTGTGAAAAAAGTGCGAAACATAAAAGAGACTGATATCAAGCACCTGCGGAAGTTAAAGCATCCCAACATCATCACTTTCAAGTAGGTAGACGTGATTAAATGGCTTTTTAGACTAGATGTCAAACTTCTGAAGACATTAATAACTGATTTAAAATGATTTTCTTGATTTGTTATTACTCGATAATTTGAAAAAAACAACAAATTAACATATTTTTTAAAAATGTATTTTACACATAATTCGACAATACTTTTTGAAAAATATTATTTCTGTTTTGCATGTATTATATGTTAAAGAAGTATATATTTACTTTTCCGTTTCAAAGGTCTGAGGTGCAGCACAAATTGTATCTATCAGCCATATTGATCTCAGTCAGTGCACTGTCACTGCTAAATACATGGTGATTGGCCTATGTATGTATTTCATATGCAGGGCATGTCAACCCATGAAATGTCAGGGTCTGTTTCACACAATAGTAGTTACCTCCTTAAAACTACTGGTCTTCTTTTTAGATTTTACCAGATAAAAAAATAAGTTTTGTCTAAACGTTGTTAGGTCTATTTTAAGGGACAATGTTTTATCAAATTTAAGACATAAATTATGTAAAGTGAGCTTCTGTGAGAATCCTAAATTATGCATGCATGCATTACAATGACTGCTTTGTTTCAAGAAATTATTAAAGTAAGAAGTTTTGTCACAATCTTTCTAAAGATAATTTTTGCTCAATCAGTTGTTAATGTTTTATAAGTAGCTGGTTAAAGAGGGCATTGAAGTGTAAATTGGCAGTACAGCTGAAACTTATAAGCAAAATTATGATAAAAAAAATAAAATGCTGAGGCAAATCTTTCAATTTCACTGCAAAACAAAAGAAAAACAAGCAACAAAAAAGGCAAGGGCCCCTCAAAAAAGAGATGTTTCATCTCAAGGGAATATCATTTAAATAAATTTCCCTTTCAAAACTCTGGGGGAACTCCACTTGATAGCTCTGCATATGCTATGCTAAATAGTATGATGTCTATTTAAATTGAATGTATTCAAAATGTCTCATAAATATTTCTTTGTTATGTTATTTACTTACCTAAAGGCCTCCAGAACAGGGGAGCAAAACTTAAGTTTTATTATTGACATTTTAGTTTAAAAAAACATTTTCTTTGTTTTTTCTCAGAGGTATTTGTACCCAGGCTCCTTGCTACTGCATCATCATGGAGTACTGTGCTCAGGGACAGCTGTATGAAGTCCTGCGAGCGGGCAGGAAGATCACACCCTCCCTGCTCATGGACTGGGCCATGGGCATCGCCGGGGGCATGAACTACCTTCATCTGCACAAGATCATCCACAGAGACCTCAAGTCACCCAAGTTAGTTTGCTAAAAATCCACACGTTGACCACATCAGCACGAGCTTAACGTAAGAATAATAATTAGGTAAAAGTAGGTTCAACATCATTTATCCATGAAAGAGGTAAAGTGTCAACACAGATTAAGAGAACTGAGCAGCTATTTTTCCCATTTTACCAAGAAAGCTACAGATTTAGTTGTCAACATGCTCAGGATGGTGACCTTGAGTTAAAAAAAAAGAGAGAGATTTCAAAGGCCTTGCAAGCCTTTGTAATTATTATGTTTTACGGAAAAAAATTACTTTGATATAATATGAGACTAAACTACTAACAGATTAAATTAAGTGATTTTAATTGAACATATATATTTAATTTCAGCATGCTCATCACCTATGATGACGCAGTGAAGATCTCTGATTTTGGAACATCCAAGGAGCTTAATGACAAAAGCACCAAGATGTCTTTTGCTGGAACTGTGGCCTGGATGGCTCCTGAGGTCATCCGCAATGAACCCGTTTCAGAGAAGGTGGATATTTGGTAGGTGTCATGACCCTCTTGAACTTTGCTTTTCCTCTTTGTGATCCCTGATGATTTGTCTTTTCAGTCACCAAATCAGCATAGAATCTCATTAGCGTCAGTCTACCAGCGCAAAGGATCCTATTTCTAGAAAATCTATTCAGCATGATGTATAATATCTCATTACATGAAACTCTATAGGGTCTCCACCATATCTGATGGGTAGCCCTATGTTAAGCTTTATTCCCCCACCACCCTACATTTTCTACCTCCCTATTTCTCCTTTACTACAATCCCTCCTTCTTCCTCTCCATCCTGAAAGGAACGCCAGCTAATTTAATAATTGATCTGCCAGATGCTGCAGTGCTCAGGAGAGGCTGGAATAACCTTCCAAGCCTTCGGATGGGTTGGCCCTCGGCCAGCAGTGCATTAGCTGGGAGTGAAAATAGGATTAAAAAGCTTTTGATGTAAAAAGAAAGCAAAGCCAGGGCGTGTAGTGTACATTTTTGCTGAAATCTATGTAAATCATTTGAAAGGAGTCCATAGCACAAAATGAGTAAGAAAGCAGCATGTTGGGGTTAAGCATTGTCAGATGGTACACATATGGTGTTTTTAGTGTTTTAACAATGAACAGCGGCTGGGCATAATTCCTTTTAGGTAAACAAATGAAAATTAGAAAATGTAGCTATGTTTAAAAAATCTATTTTGAACTGAGCTAACAACCTCATACCACACTGTCAAATTAAGCTAGAAAACCCTAAATATGTTCTTAGAAAACGTAAATCATTTACAGCCAAAATGATTCACAAAATGACATGGATGTAATATATTTCAGATGAAAAATTCGTCACACAATTTTTTTTTTCTACAAATCATCAATCATTACCAGGTCCTGTTTCAGACAAAATTGGCCATGTAACCACAGCTGGTGCTTCTTCAAGATATTGCTGAAAGCTATAAATAATAGATTTTAATGAAAACATTCTGGGAAATCTTTTGGAAAGCTGATGGTAACATAAGAAACACAGCAAATTTATTGTTAATAACACAGTAACATATATATATATATATATACTTTTTTTCAGACAGCATATACAGTGAATACAGTAAATTCTGATTTCGTTTTAAAATACACACTAAGATTATTATGTTTTTTTTTTTAAAGCTACAGTGGAGGAGTTTTGCTACTTTTTGAATGCATGCTCTGTTTAAATGTTCCTGTTTGCATCACTCATACATGCTTACTTTTTAAAAGAAGATTAGCTATTTCTCTACTACTTTAGACTCACAACCAGTAAGGGAAAATGGGGACGAGCATGGGGGATGGCCTTAAGTAAACATATCACCAGAATGATTGACAATTAGGAGGACCACTTATTTTGATGATCCACCTGGAAAAAGAACATCCTCCACTATACCTATAATAGTCTGAAGTAAATAACTTATGGGCCTATCATTTGGCATGTAATTAATCCCAAATATTATATCTATTTAACAAATAATGTTAAATACAATCAAATATTTATTAACATAATTCATTTATGTTTATATTAGTTATTATTTTACATTTTATAGCATAAAAAATGTAAAAGAAATATAATATTTTGAAGATTTTGCATTATGATGATGTTGTGAGGAGAATATGTGCATTTATATTTAAGTAATTAAAATTTTCAGAACAAATGCTGAGTTTTGATCCACATTTGGAGAAAAAAAAGCACACATCTCTTATCGATGTCAAGTCTTCATGGATGTTACTGCCATGAATAATGAGTGTGGGGCTGAAGGGATGCTAAAAATACACATACATTATTACATGTGATGCAACTAGCACCTTGGATACTGCACATGCAAGCCAGGCGTAGTCACTTAGAGCTGTTGCAGTGGTTACCATTCTCTTGGGTATGCTGTTGTGTTCTTACATTCAAATACAAATATATTTCTTTAGAATATGTTGTTTCCTATTTTTGTAAAAAAAAAAAATCCTCTCAATTGTTGTTTCCATCTTTATAATCTGTAATGAAAAAGGAGAAATTAATGTGTATGCATTAGTCTGTTGCAAACTAAGTAGGATAGAAAATTTATGTGAGATATTAAGTAGTACGATTTTATTATGTTAGGAATGTCAAATAGTCAATTTTTTTGGCTGCCTTGCTCCTTTTCAGCCTTCATCAGTATCAACATGTCTGAAAGAAACTGCGTTCCATTTTTCTGAAGGTCATTTGGTGTTGTGCTGTGGGAGATGCTGACGGGGGAGGTGCCCTACAAGGACGTGGACTCCTCCGCTATCATCTGGGGAGTGGGAAACAACAGCCTGCAGCTGCCGGTGCCTGATAGCTGTCCGGACAGCTTCAAGCTGCTCCTGAGGCAATGCTGGTGAGGAAGATGGAGTGATAAAAAACATGAAAGAAGTTATTTAAGCTGGCAGCTAGTAGAATATTAATTTACCTGTTTTACAGGAACTGCAAGCCAAGAAACAGGCCGTCATTTCGACAGATCCTCCTACATCTTGATATTGCCTCTGCAGATATACTGTCTACTCCACAAGAAACTTACTTTCAATCTCAGGTGAGATCATTTTTTGGTGGAAAAAATGATGCAGGGACCAAACATTTTCTTTATTACCCATTTTGACTGAAAAAAAAAACAGGGAGCTCCTTAGTCTACCGGTAATTAAAGAATATTTATCACATACTGTGCAGTGAAGGAGTTTGGTGTCTTCTGGGAGGATTTTGATCTATTTGATTTTTTGTCATAGACAGTTTAAAATTATTCAAAGTTCCCCCCAAAAATTAAAAGCCAGGCAAAGGCAATTCAAGTTAATACAATAAGCAGTTTTCAAATGATGATTTCATTCATTGAGGGAAAGAGTCATCCAAACCCACCTTGTGTCCTGATGAAAGGTAAGAGTTCCATTAACATATTAATCATTTGTATTATTTGTAGCAATGGGTCTATTAAGAGGTGGAGGAATTTTTGAATCCATTCTTTGTATTATTGTTTTTTTTTCTGTCACAGAAAGGTTTTTAAACATGATCCAACTTTTTAGGTTGATGTCAATGAATCCAATTGGATTCAAGTTTTTTTTTTGTTTGTTTGTTTCTTGTTGAGCCGTTCAGAGGTTTTCTTGCTGGTGTAGCCAGCAGCCCTTATCATTGCCTTGAGACTGGAATATTTAACTGTCTTCATGATTATTTAGTTTTTTTCCAAAATGCTTTATTAGTTTTATTTTGTATATAGTAAGATGGCTATTTCCTTCTTCCAAAAAAAATCCAAAACATATTTTTTGTTTTTTAGGGGATGCTTGTCTGTTTTTTTGGTCAGCAGTGGTTAAATGCAGTTTTTGCCCATTAACTATGATATATTTACTTCCCTCCAGCTTGAGAGATGACAACGATTTTGACTTAAATTGCATAAGATGCCTTTTTATATCTTTAAGCCTACTTCATGTTGGCAGGTAGGTTTAGTTTATGTGGTTTCTGGAGGAAATGAGGAAATGTAGCAGTCAAAAGTGTTATATTTTCATTTATGTCCCAGTTGTTTGGATCACTTTTTTCATTTGATCAATAAAAAAATTGTTGAACGTAATAATTTTTTTTTCCATGCCAACTATGTTTGTTTATTATTAAAAAATAGTTAGATAATGTAAAACATGTCAGTGTTATAAGCAAGCAAAAACTTGCTTTTCTGCAGCACTGCAATTTTCATAGCTGGTGTTAAAAATGAGACAGAATCCAGGGATTGAGTCAGCTGTAATAAAATCCGTTATGTATTTATTTACAGGAAATCTATTCATTAAGTCCAATAGAGAAATAAATGAACATTTAGTGAAGTCTATATGGGTTTTGTATGTCTCCCCTGCCAACATCACTCATTCTCATTTTGCTGACAAGCTGCCACCATTTTCTCTCAGCCTACTGCAGTAACTATATGCATAGGCAAGTGCACAGCTGCAACCGGGCCCCCCAGTCTCCAGGGAGCCAACTAATAATACCTGTCCTTTCAATCACACTGCATCATTGTTGGTTGCTTTTTTCCCCCCCTTTTCTTTCCGTGTCAAATGTTTTTGCTGATTTGTGGCGTTTTATTTAAGCTTCAGTTCACAGGTCAAGGAAAGAACCTTTATTTCATATCATGTGTGATGGGGAAGGACAGTGTGTCTACCTGTGTGTGGTTGGGGGTTGGAAGCTTACTACCAGTGTGTCTGACCAAAGAAAATGAGCAGAGGGGGGTACTGTTGGAAAACATGCCTTTGTGGGTATTAATTTACAATGAATCTGATTCTGTTCAATCTTAATATGGAAAATATAAACCTCCATCACTCCTATCCTTGGTGCTTTATTTTTCCCTGCCCCCTTTCTTGTGGTTGAATCCCTGCCCAGTTTTTTGTTCTCCTCTCTGGCCCATAATGGATTTTTCTTGTGACATTAGAAAGAAGTATTTGCTGCCAGAGTGTATTGATTACTTTAATGGTAGAGAGCAGAGCAGAGAGTGGAAAAAAGAGGGGACTGGAGATGTAAAGAGAGTGCATTAGGTTAATAAGAAGAGCTTCTTACACAAGCAACTCCAATACACATGTATGTGTCTGCACACACTCATAAATCTGACTTACTTAGTCCTTTGATATGACAAGTATCAGATAACAGCTGGCATGCTCTGCTGCACAAAGGAAAATGCCCATGCCGTATTTTTGTGTCTTTGTCTTTTAGGATCCACTGCAATGCACTGTAAGTTTGTTTTTGCTTCCTGGGCATTGATTAATATCTGACAGTTTAATAGGTTTAATTTCAGTGAAAAGAAAAAGCTAACTGCCCTGCAAATTGAAAGTGTTTCTCCCTCTAAATCAAGTTGCAAATAAAATTGTCTTATGGTAGCTTCACATATTAATATTAAATAAAGAATGTGGACTTAAGTCACGGTTCATTTTCTCAGTGCAAATGAAAGAACTGATAAAATACTCTATGTCTGAAGCGGTAAAAGCTTTTGATAATGTGTATCAGTCACCGTTAGGCAGAGATTTAATTATCAATACTGTATGATTTTACAGTATATACCACAAACTTTCATGTAATTTTAAAACATCTTCATATTGAAACAATCTTTCGCCCTCTCTCAGCTCTAAGATCTCAGTTTTTGTATTTAAGAAGGATCTTGTTCCACATCTTCAAAGAACTGATTGTAACTTGTTTGTGTTTATAACTGTTATTATATGATGTAAATGTCTAACAGAATCTTTATTAGAAAGCTTTGTGTGTGTGAATGAATGCATGATGTGTTTGGTTGTGTTTGTGGCCATTTGTATGTCTTCTCCTATTATTGTATATATTTTCGTATATGTCTTGTTCTGTTTTGGGGGTTGTGTGGTTTTGGTTTCTTTTTAAGGATCCCCTTGAAAATGAGATGGTCCATCTCAAGAGCCTTATCCTTTTAATTTCAATTAATATAATAAAATGTATATACTTCATGCCTGTATTCAAAGCTCTAAAGATGTTTCTGAAACAATTTTCCATAACTGCAAATATTGATTGACTACATCGTTAGTTTTAATGATTTAAATTTTTTTTGTGATTGGTTATTCTTAATAAATCTTTGTTCCTGTTTGTTGTGAAGACCTGCTAATAAAGCTCATTACTATTTCGATTTTGTAGTTGATACGTGCAGTAAATCTGGGTAATTAACAGTCAGTCTTTTTTGTTATGTTTCTCCAGGCGGAATGGAGGGACGAGGTGAGACATAACTTTGAGAAGATAAAGTCTGAGGGGACATGTCTTCACAGGCTAGACGAGGAGCTCATCAAACGTCGAAGAGAAGAACTCAGGTTAGATTTGCAACGAGACAGAAAAGCCACCATAACAAGTTTGCAAGCTGCAGGTTTCTACTACATTTCTATTCTCCAGAAATGATCGACTTTATGTAAACATTACTTTTTTGAGTCCTGGGGTTCGTTTCATTATGGATTTAAAAAGTTATTTTGCGACAAGCTTTGGATTATCACCTAAACACAGACACATCATAACATGACAAGATCTTCAAGTGAAGTGAATTCTTTTGCAGGGCACTGTAAGAGGGGCATCATAGAAAGGCTATTGTCAGTAAGCATCTTGACCTGCAGAAGAGAATCGTCTGAGGGCTTTTAAGATAAGATGTTGTTCTCAAAAGAGAGCATCTCGCATTGTTATGCTCCTGGCAAAAGTTAAAGTCACTCCTTATCTAAACTGTAAACATGTACAACGTTTTTGTACCTGTATGCTTCCCGTGCTTAATTTTAATATTTATTGTTTAAAAAAAATGCATTTAAAATCTACGAGAAAGCATCTATGTGTTTCTTATATTCATGAGAGGGTTTTTTTTTTTCTCAAAAAAATTAGTAATGGTAAGCAAAAACACCAGTTCAATGTAATCTCTTGATCTATAACCACCATCATCACAGTAAATATTGGAGATAAGGCTTGAGTCGTGACATTATTGAGCTTTTTCTCTACATACAGACATGCTCTGGACATTCGGGAGCACTATGAGAGGAAACTGGAGCGAGCCAATAATCTCTACATGGAGCTCAATGCTATCATGCTGCAGCTGGAGATCAAAGAAAAGGAGCTGCTCAAGTACGAAAATTTCCCTGTTCGTTTGTTCCATTTAACGTGATTAGGACCCTTCTATTTTGGGAAAGCTAAAATTAAACATGCTATAAAATGAAAAAAAAAATTACTAGCTATGCTTTTTACTGCACAGTTTGGATGTCTTTGCCTTTGCTCTCATGTTTCTCGCTGTATCCATTTTAACCAGTGATGTCCTTTATGTTTGAATCCCAGGAGGGAGCAGTCTCTGGACAAGAAGTATCCCAGCTGCTTTAAGCACCACAGCTCCAGACAGTCGGCCTCCTCCAACTCCATGGAGAAGCTCATGAAGAAACGCAATGTACCGCAGAAACTGAATTCACACAGCAAGAGGTAAAACAGAAAAAAGAATAGTTTATCCACAGCTTCACACATTACTACTTGATTAAGTTCATTAAGTTAACCTGGTACCAAATCAAACAATAGGCTTTTCTATGTTTTGCAGATTTTAAGGGGAGGTGGTTCTTTTTTATGCAGTTAATCAAAGTTTTTGATTTAATTTTGTTTAAAAGTCTCTCATATATATTGAATGATTTATAAATAAACATGTTTAAGGTTTATTCGAACTATTTTCTTATACCAAAAGTTAAGTAAATAAAAAATAAGAATGAAAACCTCAGGAAAGGTGTCTTCTGTGTCTCAAGAAATTAAAATATCAAAGGTTATTTGATTAGAAATAAACAATGTTTGTTCTGTTTACAGACCAGACTTACTGAAGTCTGAGGTCATCTTACCCAAACTGGACTCATCCATGACCCAGGTCACCATACCCAACAAAGGCTCCACTTCCCCTGGCCGCTCTCGCCGAGGAAAGCCTCGATACAGAAAGGCTGGTAAAGGCAGCAGCAGCGACTTGGCTCAACTGAAGGCCACTCTGTCCTCGTCTTTAGCCATGATTAATGCCACCGCATCTATGCCTAGTAGCAAGCATCGTCTGGACCCCACTGCGGCAATCAGGGGTCTCCAGCATGACCTGCTGCTTAAGAAGATGTCCTCCTCCAGCCCCGATCTCATTTCAACCACCCTGGAGGCAGAGTGCCGGAGAAAGGGGCAGCTGCGGCCTGGCTTAGACAGAGCGGGCAGTCAGAGTGCCTCAGCTGGTTTAGAAGACAGCGGAGAGACAGAGGGGCCAAGGGAAGGGCAGAACACTGGTGTGGGGGGTGATGACTTGGTGGAGACACCCCCACGCAGCAACACCCCCAGCGAAGACGCAGCATCCATTCCGTTCTCCAGCAGCCCCGATTCACCTTGTGGAAGAGGGGCAGCTGCAGGGAGGTCGTCTGTACTGGGGAACTCCCGGGTCTCCCATGAAGGAGAGGAAAAGGAGGAAGGGACAGTGATCACACGCTCACCCAGAAGTCAGCGCCGCCTCACGCCTGCAGCTCTACTGTACAGAGCGGCTGTCACACGCAGTCAGGTAAGATTGTTTTAGCTGGGACACTAATCTACAGGGACACAAATACAAATAAATGCAAATAATTACAAACTATAATTACAAAAATACAAACAATTGGTCCAAAGGTGCAAGTTTACAGATTTCCCTTAACAGTGTTGCCAAATTATTCAGATGTTTCTCTACAGTGGCTGTTGTAATTAAAATTCAGAAGCTTCTGGATGCTTCCGCATTCACGACCCAAACATTTCAGCAGCAGGCTTTATAGAAAAAAAAACTGATTTCCTTTATCCCTTAATTATTGCATATGCACATAAGAGAATTATATGTAAAGAAGCTGTTCTTTAACATTTCTATATTACATTTATGTTTTAAATAAACTGTTATGATCCCAAAAATGTATTTTCTCTTGTTAAAACTTGAATATTCTTAATAGAATAAGTCAGAATAAGGTTAACCTGCGTCTTCTGGTTTATGCTCTTCCCCACAGAGACGTGGACTGTCTTCAGAGGAAGAGGAGGGAGAAGTGGACAGTGAGGTTGAGCTGCCCAGGAGAAGGTGGGAATAATGAGATTATCTAGAAATGTAATTTTCATCAGGTATTTCATAAAAGTTTAGAATTTTCATTTGATAGCCACCACAAAACCATTTTGCTCTAGACCAATAAATAAGCTGGTTGTATGATTGAATTAATACTGAAAATGAAATTAACCAAAATCCTATTTTTACTAATTGGATAAGTGAATTTAAAGTTACAATTGGAATAATATAAAAAACTGCATAAATAAAAAACTTGAATACAGTTGACGGGCTTATATTTTTATAAAGAAAAATTATTATTAGGTATAGTGGAGGATAATCTTTTTCTGAGTGGATCATCAAAATAAGTTGTCCTCCTGATTGTCAATCATTCTGGTGATATTTTTATGTAAGGCCGTCCTGCGTGCTCGTCCGCATTTTCACTTACCGGTGGTGAGTCTGACATAGAGGAAAAATTGCAAATCTTCTTTTTGAAAGTAAGCTCGTATGAGCGAGTGAAAAGTGAAAAGGACGTGTCTTTTCAAAAATGTGTAGAAATCTTCCACTATATTTTTAATACTTAATGAAGCGTGTGTATTTGTGGTTATTTGTTTTTTTTTTAAGTGGAGAGGGCAGGTTTTTTCAAAAATCCTCCACTATACCTTTAAGGGCAAACCTAATTTAACGTGGCCTTCATGTGGTATGGTAAAAATTATCCGTTCTGCCTGTAAAGTGGTAATTACCAGTGCATTGTGTTTAAGTGCTTTTGTCAAGTCAGAGAAGAGGAACATAGCTGATCCACATTATCCTGACTTGGGCAAGACATTTATAGGATCATCTCCTGGTTCCAGTAAATCATGTGCCCCCTGGGATACACTACAGATCAAATGAGAACATTGTCTACGTCAGAACACAGTTCGCACAGTTCACACCAGCTGCTGTCCTCCAGGGACTGCCAGCTAGCATCAGATAGAATCAAACAAAAACAAAAAAACACATGTTTAAATGGTGATATTGTAAAAAGAAATGTACGTCACAGCATTGTGTAGGGCTACTAGCACAATGAGACGGAAGGTTTCACAATGCAGTATTTATTCATCATAAAGAATTTAATAGGTCGAAGTTTGCCTCATATTGGCAACTTTCAGAAGTATCATGAAAGTCGTTTTTTGGTATTTACAATAATTATGATACCACATGAAGGCTGCTTAAGTATGGCTTGGAAACATTTGCTATACTTCTTGTGTAATCCTTTAATAGATAGGTGCCTCCCTTCCACCTCACCCACATAATCACGAGGTTAAAAAAAAAAGGCATTTGCTGAAACAATCTCTTGAAACATTTGTAAATATAGTCCTTTCTTGTTAACATTTCCAGCTGAGTGCTGCATGTTATAGTGAACAATGCAGGCATGTATGAGTTGGATTGATGACATTGTTCTGGCAGTAACAGGTGATGTGTGGGGGATTATTTTGTCTGGTTTCGTTTTTTTTTTATTCATTTATTAGATTCATGTATTTTTTTTTTTGTACTGAAAATATCATATCATAGACTCTCTTTAATTTGTTTGCTTTATTTCAACAATAATTCTAACAACTTGAATTATTTGCTGTTACAAGCCCAATTTGTAGTACATGGTGAAGACATTTGTTTCCTTATACGTCTGAAACTCAATAAAAAGATTTTGAATATGAAACCATAATTGAAATAATCTTTTCTTCCTAATACCATGAAGATTTCTTTTTTGGCAAATAATTCTAATCAGTTTTAAAACAAATTATAAAGTAACTAAACCTTAGATATCTATTGCAATTAAAAAAAGTTGTGTTTAATATGGCATAAACCTAAACATAATCAATTAGAATATCAAGTAGTTACTTAATTTTATTCTTTAAGTTTTAAAAGTGAAACTATATTATTTCTTTCACTGTTGAACTGATAAATGTGCAGCAAATAGTTAATAGCATTCTGCACAAGTAGGGAAAAACACTGAAGGGGATAATTTAAGAATATGATCTCTCACAAAGTCCCACATCCAAAGATGTTAATTGAAGGTTTGGTGGAAGGAAAAAAGACTGGTAGAGAATTTTGCAGAACATAGATTAAAAAAAAAAAAAAAACTCTTGAGAGGATTGTAAAGCAAAGCACATTCTAGAGTTTAGAGGAGATAAGCCATATTTAACAAAACAGATAAAAACATAAAAAAATTCAACTTTACTAAGATGCATCTGCATGGGTTGAATAAGGAATGCATTAGATTAGGAAAAAAAAGGATTTGAACAACAAACTTTGTTCCATTCTTTTCGATACATAAAGTATATCGAATTTCAATTATTCACATCTTTGAGGCATATTCTGTTAAATGCAAAATTCCAAATTATTACAATTATCAAATGAATGGATTTTTTACAACTTATTCCATGCTGATTTGTACTTTTCTGTGGTGACTTTTCATTTAAAGGTTCAGATTTCTCCTTTCTATTTTCTTGCAGGCGGCCAGTCAGCATCTCCAAATGTCAGTCGCTGTCAAACTTTAGTTTAGAAAACTTATCGGTTTCAGACGGCGAGGAGGGAAACACCACAGACCATTCCCACAGTGGCACGCCTGATGTAGTCAGCACCAACACAGACGAGCGTCTGGATGACAAAAGCGACGATTTGCTCTCTCAGGGCTCAGAAATCCCAGCCGACCCCTGTGATCCGAGCCAGCTGGGCTCTGATGGGCTGTCAGAAAGGGAAGCTGAAGTACGACAAGTTAAGACGCAGCTTGCTTTGAGTGAACATAACTACGAGGTAGGTGGGAAATACATAGACTAAAAGAATGAAATCAGATTGATTTGTAAAAGAAATATGTGGATTTAGGATGAATATGTAGTGAGTGTTTTACCTCTGATAGCAATAACAGTTGTTTCAATAAGAGAATCAGAGATTGGGTTTCTGCAGGGAATTGATTCAGAAGACTAGGGTTTGTTTGGGACCATTTATACCAATCTTTGTTTTATAATAAGACACTAATTATGTCATTTTGGGTTATTTTAAGGGTAGCAAGCAGTAATTTTACGTGAAATTGCAAAAGGGATCATGTTAATCATTCCGAAGCAGGAATTTAGGAAGCATTAACACAGATGTTATAATATGGCATCAATCAGCTTTCTCTATACCCTACTAGCTCCGTGGGCGGGTCTAGACAGGGGCCAACAGGGGCCCGATCTCCTGTAGAAATGGTCCTGGCACATTACAGCCCCTGTTAGTCCATCCATCCATCCATTATCTGACACGCGTGTCTCAATTGGTGTCGCGAGGGTTGCTGGTGCCTATCTCCAGCTGTCAACGGGCGAGAGGCGGGGTAGCCCCTGTTAGTCGTAATACTGATTGGTAAATTGGATCTAATTCTAATTTAGTTTTACAGTTTTATTCCAACAATTAAAAATTCAGGTGTTGCACTTAAAGCTTAATTAACCAACTTAAGTAGCTTAAGAAACCAAACCCACCACCTGTGACTGTTATTAAGGGAAAGACAGTGGAGCATGTCAGCAGTTTTATTGAAAATACGGATGCTGTGTGCAAAAAAATCCCAGCAGCCACTGCACTTTCATAAGATGCTCTACCAGTTTTGGGTGTGCAGTGCCATCATCACCTGGCTTAGCAGCCTCCTATAACACAGTGTCCTGATCATCCTCCCCACCCTGACTTTGAGCTTCTAGCGTTGGGCAGGAGATTCAGAATGCCAGAGGCTAAATCCAGCAGGATGAAAAACAAAATTTTAACTCAAGTCATCACAATACTAAACTCAAATTTTGTGTTGTGATGTGTGGTTTGATGATGCTTGTTTTTGTGATGTTTGTTAAATTGTAAAATAGTATTCCCATGTTTTTATACTCTTACCCTCCTCCAAACTAAATTTCTCTCTGGGAAAATTTTAAGTCAAGTTGAGGTTTTAGTAAGTTAGGTTCACATTTATATCACTGCTGTATCTCGGATCGGAAGAGCCACAAATAGCTCTTTGCTTCCAACACTCATTTAATATATCAAACAATTAAGTGTCCTGTTTTTTGTTTCAAGCTTTTGTTCTGTACCCCCTGGTACATTTGGTCTAGAATTACCAACTACAGTAGCTGTAAACATAACTTCCCATTTGAGAACCTCTCCATGTTTTTTTTTTGTTTTTTTTTTTCAAGAACAAAGACACGTTTGTTTTCTATGTGTTGCAGTAAGGTGAAGTCTTTTTAAAATAGGTCTGCCTCAACAGAATTTCACATCAAAACATCTAGACATAATCAGATAGTCAAACATTGCCTAATTAGACTCAATATTAGACATTATTTATTTATCCAGCAGGGCCTGTACGATGACTCCGACTGTGACAGTGCAGAGCTGGACCATTCATGCAGCGCAGAGCCCAGCCAGCCTCCAACTAACTGGTGAAGAACAACAGGCCTAAACCCACAAGATCTGTACATCTGGCCTCTGCATTCTTCTTTGACTCGGTCAGACAATAATAAACCCAAAAAGAAACACTGGAGAATTGAAGAAGAAAGGAAACAAAGACTTTCTCATAAAAACTCAATTACAGATTACACAGATGTGAAACTAAAGGATAAACTCCTCTAACAGACAACAGACAAAGCAATGACTGTCCGTTCATGTCTCCAGTCATCTTCCATGCTGATTTTTTTTAAATTAATTTCTGTATTTTATACTATCCAGTGAAAATGTTATTGAAGATTCTTTATAAGTGTTAACTACACTTATATCTCAAACTCTACTGTCATTATCTATTTCTTTTAAACATTATGCACTTATTTATTTTACTGTGAACTGAATGAAAAAATGTTTACATTTTACGTTATTTGTTATCATTTATTACCGTCGTTTTTGATCAAATTGTTTTCATTGTCACTGTTAATATAAGATGTAAAATGAAATTTTTTTTATAGAGATTGTATAATTGAAGGTGCTGAAGTTTCTCAGCAGGGGGCGCTATTATATAAAGACCTCATAAAGCTTTTACTGGTAGAATGTAACTTTACCTGCTGTTTATGTCTGATCAAAAGAAATAGTTATGCAGTATTGAAGTATTTTGCAGAAATAATGTCATTTTTTGGGGGAGAATTTGAAGGTTTGTAATTCAAAAAGCATGCTTGTCATTTTAAAAAGTATGCATATTTAAGATGTTGGATATTTCAGTGTAGTGAATATAATTTCCGTTACTAATAAAGCCAACCCTGGTATGAAGAACATGTTGATAGAAAAAAAGTCTACATGTAGTGGTGTATCTCAATAACTTGGAAAACATCTGAAAGGTTATACATTTTAGCAACTCAAAAAGTGAAACTTATGTCTTTGATTTATTACACACAGACCCGTATATATTTTTTTAATGATTCTAACCCAAAACTCAGGTGTTTGGAAAGGTTAATTAAATAACATTTTAAAATAGGCCATATATTTGTCTAGGACTCCCTTTGAATTAATGTTATCTCCAATCTAATTAGATTTTAGGGCGATTAGGAAGTGGCTCTGCTGAGGTAAAAAAGAAGCCCAAGTTCCTTCAAAAGAAGTCTTCAGCTAATCTATTTATTAGGCTTGGTGTCACTTTTTCCTCTCGACAATTTTGCTGGCCAGTCAATCACGATAAGGAGGACTTTATTCAAGTAGGGACATAGTTTGGCAGTGAGGGCAGCTCCATACACCGTTCCGTTTTCTTGTATATCTATTAAGCACATGTTTCCATTAATACTTTTTGGATACAGTTTGCTGTTTCTAATGAAGAGTGTTAGTGAGATCTTTTGTTTACAAAAAAATCTTTCAATTTATGGAAGTTTTTCATTGAGCCTTTTATGAACACTAAGCAACTAATAAAAAAAAAAAAACTATTACTGCGTGTAATAAGTTTGACTTTTTGAGTTAAATGAATAAAAAAGCATTTTGTGATATTCTAATTTATTTAGATGCACCTGTATTACGATTCTTTTACAAATGAATCATAAAAAAAAAGCAGTTTTGATCCATTAATAAGATGTTTAGAACTGTTACTGAATGTTGTGCTCACAAACAGAAATGTGAAAAAATGGTTGAATATTTCTGCTGATTTCTTAATGCAATGATTGTTATTTTTATTGATTTTTTTTGCAGTCATGAAATTAGCATGGACTGCTGAGACCATGCATCTTGAAATTCAGCATTTACCAAGGACACAAAGCTTTACATATTGTTGCAACGCTTGCACCAAGAATGCAATGCAAGGCCAAAATTTGACCTTTCTCTCATCAATATATTTTATAGCCAAGAATGAAGTGGTCATAAAAGTGGTGCTGATATTCTTGTCTTTTTTTTACCTTGCACTTCAGCTTAGAGCCGTTCCAGATATCAATACAAATTAGAACACCTAATAAGCTAAAATATGCAGCTTTTTTTCTGTCAGGTTTTTTGTTTCTATTTACATTTGTAGGGCTTTTGTAATCCATTCATCCCCCTAAAAATGAAGTTAAAAATCCTCGGAAAGGATGAAATGTTGCCAATGAGCCAGACTACTGCCCTCTAGTGTCCTCAACTAATATAACAGGGGGTCGAACTGAAACATTTTCTACTGCATTATTGTAACTGTACAATAAATATATTTCAGAAACCATTTGAAAATAAAATCCAACTTGTAAAATTTCAAACTGTGTTTTTTAATGTTTGAAGATGAAAAGAGGAGGCTTTTTGTTTGAGCATTTCACATCTTTATTTTTGCATTTTTTTTTAAACAACGTGGCACCCAGGTCTACAGTCTCAAAGAACGTGCACAATATTTTTTTCTGTCCTGCAAAAAAAAAAAAAAATATATATCTATATAGAGTAGGTTCTGAGTTGAGCAAAGCAAAGAGCAGGAATTTGTAGTGTTAACTCACATCCCTTTTCTTTGTCGACTTTATTTGGGTTCACTCCTCAGCCTCATACATTTATTAGACCCAAGAAAGAAAAAAATCAGTGTCTAGAAGTTATTTCCACTTTGGTAGTTAAAAAAAATAATTCTTCCATTTAAAACAAATATTCCAACTTTTTTTCTTTTTCAGTATATATCAATTTATACAAAAGAAAAAAAGTGAGGACAACCCTCTGATCTTGAACCCTTGAGCCAAGCCCAATACACACCCCTCCCCCAAAAAAACCTCCCAAACCAGTAAAATAATCAACAAATAATCCGAGGACCAGAAGAGAGGAAGGGTAAAAAAAAAAAAAAAAAAAAAAAAATACAACGGAATGACATGAGGAGGAGAGAAAACATGACATGCTTTGTAATACACATCTGAATAAATTAATCTGAGTGTTAGAACAGCCGTCTTCATACCCAAATATTTTCTATGACGGTACAGCTAAACCTACGTCTTTTTATCAGGTGATATTAAGTGTAACAAGCACTTTGGGTGCACTTCGGTTGAAGAAGGTGACACAGGGTGAGGATGCTGTGTATTCTTAAAGCAAGTAAGTACATGAAAAACCCAACAATCAGGAATAAAAAGAAGAAACAAATAATGTATATAGACAGAATAAAACAGTCACTCTATTCTTACTTTAGATACGTTTTATTTTTTCCCTCTTTAAAAGGAAAAAAAAATAATCAATGACTGCACAGTACTAACTAAATCTGCCCTAAATCAGAGTTTTCAAACTCATCTGTCATGGCAACAAAAATGAAGAGGAAGAGAGAAAATAAGTCTAATAACATTAAAATCTGTAACTTGACTCAAAAATGAGAATTAAAAACCTAATTTTCCTGCTTCTTTTTTTTACTAAAACCAAACCGAAACAAAGAAAATAAATAAGGAACTCAGCAGATCAAATCGGATGACATGATTCAAATGAGAAAAGAGGATATACATTATATAAACTCTGAAGTTGTATAGGTGCATTGCCTGAATTTTACGGTAGCCGATGATATAAAAGTGTGATTTAGTGCAGATGCTGTGTCTTATCAGTTGGCTGCCAGTCCTGTGGCCTCAGAAGAAAGCCTGGAGAAAACAGATACACACCAAGAGAGTAGGGGAGAAAAAAGAGAGAGAGAGAGAGAGAGAGAGAGAGAGAGAGAGAGAGAGAGAGAGAGAGAGAGAGAGAGAGAGAGAGAGAGAGAGAGAGAGAGAGAGAGAGAGAGAGAGAGAGAGAGAGAGAGAGAGAGAGAGAGAGAGAGAGAGAGAGAAGAAGGCATGCAATAAGACAGAACAGAGAAAACATCAATATTTACTCCACATTATTACATCATTAGCATAAAAACCTCTGGAAGGAGGTCATCTGGCTTTATACACCAGGAAAAGTTGTGCTCTTACAGAAAACCATTACATGTCCAGCTTTTGGGGTTGGAATATAAATAAATAAAACATCTCTGTCAGCAGCTGAATGCATACCATGAATGAGCTAGCAAAGTTGTTAAATAATGTCAAACTTAACAATGCTACTGTTCCACACAAACCAAGAACCCTTTCCCACTAGGCTTATAGCTAGCAATGCCTGCGGGCGTACATTGTACACCCTTTACTAAAAAAAAATACAAATCTACACCCTGTTTTGGGATGTGCAGCTTTGGTGCGCCCCAATTTCCCCTGAAAACTTCTCTCAAATATTCAAAATTTCAAAAGCAACAGATGCTGTAGTTGAACAAATGTAATTTTTGCTTCTCAAAGCCTCACATCAACCTATCAGAGAAGCTGATTTGCGAGCTGGCAGGGAGACAGACAGCGCTGCTGATGCAGATCGCTGTGAGCACTCCAATGGACCAGTTCAACGCCTAAATTAATTTAAAATATTAAAACATGCCGGCAAAATATGTTCGCTTTTATCATTCTGGTGCCTGAAGTTCGTACCAAATACCTGAAAAATACTAACATCTACTTCCAGCAGCCAAACAGATGTGATGCACCAAGGTGTACACCCTATGAAATATTCCTAGCTAAAAGCCTGTTCCCCCATAGTTTATTCTTAGACAGTTTTTGCAGTACTTGTTGAATCTATTGACTTAAGCTAGCATTTTTCACACATTTGTCCCCTCTCCTCTTTCACACTCAGTTTCTGCATCAGTTCGTTGTAAGGACCATATTCCAACCGGTATTAGCCATGGATTAACCCAATACCAGGGGGGTCAGGGCCTTTTTATTACGTCTTGATGGAAAACGTGAATTGTGTAGCACCAAAATGCAATCCCATCTGAATCTTAAATAGATTCAGCATATCCTGTACCGATTTCTACTGTCCTAATGGGGTCTAAGCAGATTCTTATGAGCAGTACTGAGTTCTTGACTATATAGTCATGTGACTGAAGCCAAATCTCACAGTTTATCTTCATCTATACCATTTTGATAACCGAATCTTAGGTTGTCACAAAATGCTCATGCCATGCATCATGTGGTTTGTTCAGCTGGTCCTCCACAATATTGTGACAGATGGACCTTTGACATATTCTGCTTGCCAATAAGATAAGCTTTATATCGGAGAAGTAGGGGCGGGCTGAAAATAAAGGATTTATTTACCTAAGTAAAGAGTGAGAGGAGAACCAAGCAGTTACACAAGGAGTGGACTTTCAAAACTGGAAATATATATTTATATTTTTTTAAGTGCTTGAAGGAAAACTTGTGTAAATCTAAACAGATTTTTTTTATGTTCAAATTAGTCATAAAATTCAAATAATAAAAATTTGCTCCAAATTTGGCACAATTGTACTGAATGGACATTTTAGATAAAAAAGGGTCCTAGTTTCACAATGCTTACGACTAGAGATCTGAAATTTTACACAGTTGTTAGCCACAACATGAAGAGCAAGTGTAGTAAACCAGAGAGGTCAATTATGAATTATACAAAGGATATAACATAAAAAATACACTTTTTTTATATTCAATTGGAAAAAAAAACAGTTTTTTTGGACATGTTTGAAGGCACCCAGCTCTGGTTGTGTAAAACCTACTGGGTACACATGTCTCCAGAAACTAGAAGGTCTTTCAAATTAGCTTTCAAATTAGACACAAGTATATTGGATTTATAATATTTTACTGGCCAATGGCAATTTTGTTTTGCAATATGTTTGTGCACAAGCTATAAAAAGGCAGGTTATAAGGGGTTATCATTCATGGTCTGTGTGGAATGGCAGCATAAAGGTATTCAGATTATTCATGGTTACTGGTAAAATAAAGCTCTATAGGCTTAGGAGGAACTGCAAAACAGGAGCATTCATTAAGCTAAACTATTTGGATTTCCATATTTTCTTTCTAAATGTTTTTAAAAAAGTCAATAACAGTTTTTGTTAGCCTCATAGTTATCCAGATTCCACTGATTCAGATTGCAATTACCATTTAAGCAGGAAGCTGGTTTTCAGGTTAGAGATGACAAACATCTGCTGTACATAGGACACTGCTCAACAGGGATCTTCTCTATATGTATTGTTCTGCTTCCATTTTTAATTTTTAAGATATGCTTATAAGCTAAACACCAAAGCTTCATAGTACCACAAACAGAGGCAGGAAATTCATTTTCATCCCTGCCCTTCTTGAGATGAGAGGAATTACCTACATAGATCTGGTGTCTAATTATCAATCAGTTCCTAATAGCTAAGATGAAGCAGATGAATATCTTTTAGATTTTTCACTTTAACCAAACGCAAAGCATGTAAAACTGGCTTTGATACCTGAGGGAAGATTTCATTCGATTTAAAATGACTATTTTTTTCTAACATTAGCAAACAAATCACAATAAGACAATTTACATAAACTAACAAGAATGACCTTAAAATAACTAGGAGAAAACTAATCCCACGAGTAGAGCATGACATCTTAAAGGAGCCGCTACCTGAGCAGAGCTTACACACAGGGAGAGAGAGTGATACGGTTAAATTGTTCCCTGTCCATGCTAAATTCAAAGTCCTTTAAAAATATAAAGCACTCAACATGTCACGCTTTAAAGAGACAGGAAGAGTCAAGCTACAGATATTTTATAAATATGGTGTTAACCACCTCTCTGGCTTTGTAATAAGGGGCTGCTTTGTGCTGTAAGCGAGGCGTGGCACAGCCAGATACAAGAGCAGGTGCAGGTACAGACAACAAAGAGCACTGTCAGCACTTCAGGAGGACATGACTTATGTTTCCTTCATTAGTAAGGGGAGAGCCTTCGCCTTTTGGACTTGGAGCCCAGCTCAGGGGCCACTTTGGGCTCAGTGGGGATAGGGTGTGGGGCGTTACTGGCCCCACTGACAACATGGAGGGCCAGGAGAGGCAGGGGCTTGAGACTGAGGAGACTCGACACACAGGCAGGTGAGCTGGGGAGCAGGGAGTCGGTGGAAGAGGAGGAGGAAGATGAGGAAGAGGAGGGAGGTGGCCCTGGAGCCAACAAGGACAGAGGGATGGAGGCTGTAGGGGGCGCCACACAGGAGGATGAGGAAGAAGAGGAGGAGGAAGAGGAGAAGGAGGAGGTAGCAGCAGAGGAGGTGTTGGTGGTAGTAGTAGTGGTAGTAGTAGTAGTAGTAGAAGTGGAAGGAGGGCACAAGCTGGTCTGTTCAGGGTTCAAGGAGGAGGAGGAGGAGGGAGGAGGTTTAGAGGACTCTACACTGTAGAAAGAGAGACAAGGAGAGAGGGACAACACAGTCGGGATGGGTCACAGGGCAGGCTGGTGAGCAATGGGTGAGGGGGAGGTTCAGGGAGGAGGAGGGGGGGATGGGTCGGGTGTGGAGGATAAAAATCACTCAGGGATGCGACCAAAATACCACACGTCTTAGAAAACAATGAGTTAAACTGAGTAGAATGACTTATCATGTCTGCAGTGATGGATCAACATGGGAGTAAAAGGTGAGGAAGAATAACTGAGATGAAAACACACCAAGGTAAAGATAATCCCGTCAGCCTAACTCCATGAAAACAAAGAAGCTACTGATTGATTCGCATGGATGCAGGGTTTCCATTTGTATATCACAAGATACACAAAATGTTGATCTTGAACAACTGAGATAAGTTTGATCCAGCACGACAGCATGACTGCAAACACAAAGCACAATCTGCACCTCTTTTTTACATGTTCAATTCATTATCTGCAATGAATGACAGTTTAACACATGTTTCCCAGCACTATAGGGCAGACACAGTTTGTTTGGAGTATCTCACCTTGCATTGATGAGGTACTCTGCCAGACTGATGCTGGCGGGCGAGCCGGTGATGGTAACCTGCCGGTCAGTGGATCCGTCCACTGGATTTGCAATCTTGATCTGGGCGCCAGACATTTGCCTGATCTCATTGATCTTGGCTCCCTGGCGACCAATGATGCATCCAATCAGCTGGTGAACAAAGGGTAACAAGACAAAAGTACAACAAGGTTTAACTTAAACTATTCTCAACATTTTTCAACACTAATTTAGGAACAAGAGTTAGAGCCTAGATGTCTAGAGTGCACTCCAATAGAAGTTACAGGACAGCTTGATGTAAATAAATTATACATTATCAGGGACAAAATTCTCCAGTATTTTATTCACTTCTTTCAGAGTCACATACATTCTTTATCTTCAGAATATTTCTCATAATAATAGAATTTCTTTTTAATAAAGTATGTAAAGTATTGAAACAATCAAAGGCCAGTCAACATGTATTCAGTTGTGTTACAGTACATGTAAAAGCTCTTATTGATATTATGATAATGCTAAAATTGTCAGTTACAGTTTTTAGCTAAACTTTAAATGTGCTTTACTGGAGACATCCATGTGTGTCGAAGAACACTACTGCCACTTAAAGTGTGGAGTAGAATCACTACTTCACGCATTGTTTAGCACTGTGAAAGGATCGTTAAAATGTCATTACAATGGTCTATTGTACTGCTACCAACTATAGGAATGGCTTTGGATCAAGAAAAAGAATGGTTAATTTTCCGAAGGACCCGGGTTCACATCAAATTTGGATCCGGAAAATAAATTGTTTAGACAAAAATCAATCGGGAAATCTTTGGCGTCCAAGCTGATACAGCAAACTATGTACGGTTCACATCACGCTAGATTTTTTTTATCATCAATCACGCTCTCACAGCATCATTTAGATTCAATATACCAAAATATAAAAGGCTTGTTGTCTCTGTTGTATAGTTTTAATAAAGTGCCTGATGGCAATAAAGCTGATTCAAAGCATTGTTTTTTTTTTTTTTTATGGAATATTTTATTTCACAAAACAACGAAAACCCCATCCGAAGGGCAATGTTTCCCACCCGGACACCAGAAACGGACCTGGTGCTTGGAACACTCGCTGCGATCAGATTACCGAGGGACCGCTTTCCCCGTCCAGGGTCAGCAGAGGAGCACAGTCTGCTATCCAGAACCACCAGAACAGCACACAGGGCTTCAACACTAACCGCCAGCCTTCACGCCTGGCCACAGCAGCATGATGCCAACCGAACCGAACCAGCCACCATAGAACCAATCTGAATCCTGTGATCCCCTCTTCAAACAAAAGGTTAGACTCTGGTCTAAACTAATTATAATAAAGCAGCATTTGGAAAATGTTCTGGAAGATAATGAACTTCCACCGGCGCTGCCAAAGGTCAAAGAAAATTAAGTGGCGGCGATTAAACCAGCGAGCATAAAAAAAAACACTTAGACTCTGATTACTTCGTATTCGTCCTCATTAAAGCATAAAAACTCAAAGGTGAATAAATTCTGACTCGCTTTGTAAAATGACTACTTCCTGCTTCCTGACTAAGCTGACGACACCGCATCCTAGAGGGTCACATGACCGAACGAGCTGAAATTTTTTTCTTTTACGACGAAAGGTTGATCAAGGAGGTTCTGAGGTACAACCACTTGTATGATGCCTGAGAGATATTGTTTTGGAAAATAAACACCCCCGCCAGCGCCATTGAAGAAGTTCTCGCCAGTTCTCGAATAGGCTCCCCCTTTCGCTTTGGCGGGAAACTGCTGTGCGTCCCTAGAAATTCCAGACCAACGTTGCAGAAGCATACCAGCAAAACTGGTTCGCGACCAGACGCAAGCGACATTTGATGTGTGCAGTTGCAGAAGTGTAATCCGCCCTTAGGTATACAGATAATGTGCGTATCTTCACCTTATTACATTTTAAACTTAATGTCAGTCCAATACAACACCAGTCATTTTATTAGATATGCTGAAGATTTTTCTATTATATATGGGCACATGTATAGAAATTTAACATGTTAATAAAATAGGAAAACTGACGGGCACCTTTACAGAGAACTAGGGTGCCAAGATTTATTCACCTGCACTGAACAGCAACCAATACTTTTCATTTGGTCCCCCTTTAGGTGCAAACTAATAGAGGAATTTCATTAAAATCACTCTGATGAAAACTAAGGGCCTCTGTTTGATGCTAGGCTAATGTCATGTTTAACAAAATAATTTAGATAAAAGTAAATAAAGGTCAGACTTACATCATTTGGAATGGTCATCTCATGGGAACTAGTCTGAGCAGAAGCATCTATCCCTGACAAGAAAAATACATAAGTGATTGAAACAAGCAAACACATCCTAATTTCTAAGACCAGTTAGTTAATTAAAAGCTACTCATCTTCACATCCAGTTCAAAATGATTTTCTAACTAAAAAAGCACCCCTTTCAATTTGATATTTTATTTTAAAAGCTGGTTTAACCTCAACAAAGCATTTCTGTTGTTTGTCCTTTAAACCGTAAATGGAGTGGAGTCTACTAGGGTCCCAATGCGGATTGTAAAATAATGTGAAAGAACCAAACCCAGCTTCACATCACATTGCTCTCAGGCAAGGGTGGAAACCAAAAAGTAAAACTTTACTAAAAGTAATTCAACAGATAATTTGCTCTCTTTACTTTTCTTTTTTAATATGAAAATGGATGAAAGTTTGCATAAATTCATTAGCTGATCTTTGGCAAAGTAAGTATTCTATGGAAGTATAGATCGATAGGCTATTGCAGCTATTCACTAGACAAACATTAGACTTTAAAATAGGTTTTAATATAATCATAAATCACATTATACAAATAATTTATTAGTAAACAACTTGATTTTCTGCATAACTGTTTTAAACTCAACTAACCTACGTTGCTCAAAACAATAAAAGGGACACTCAAGTAACACAATTTGATCTGATTGAATGAAATATCATCAATGAATACTTTGTTCTGTGCCGAGTTGAATCAGCTGACAACAAATTTAAACAAAAATCAGCAACAGAAATATATTTTATTAACCAATACATGCCTGGATTTGGAGTCGCACTCAAAATTCAAGTGGAGGAATACACTACAGACTGATCCAACTTTAATGTAATGTCTTTAAAACGGGTCATAATGAGGCTCAGTATTGTGCGTCATTGTGCCTGTATGATCTCCCTACAATCCCTGGGTATGTTCCTGATAAGGTAGCACAGTGGTTCTCAACCGGTGGGGCGCGCCCCCCCGGGGGGGCCCCGACACTCTCCCGGGGGGGCGCGAGTAGGCTACAGGATGGGAGTGGAAAAAAACTGGAAAAAAAAAATTTACACTTTTTTTTTATCTTTTTTTTTTTATCTTTTTTTTTTAACTTTTTATTTCATAAAAAGTTAAAGTTTTGTATATACATAACTCCTGAATAAAAATTAAAATGTGTTTGGACTGATTAAAAAAAAAAAGTTTTGAACAAATTTGATTGTTTTGTCGATAGTGAGCGCAAATGCGGTGATAAGCGGGTGGTTGATCATGGCGCCGAGACAGGGCGCCGTAGCAAGAGCTCTCCTGTGTGCTGGCTGTTTTATGTTTGTTTTTGTCTTTGATGTATTTACCACTTTAAATTATGGCCGTGAGACACTTCTGAGGATCCGTGAGGAAGTTTGTGGTCTGTCTTTTGCCAATACTGGACTGAGGTGTGCTGATTTCGATGCGTGCCCCACTCGAGGTAAACAAGGCCAGGAGTCGGGCCGCGGAAGTCGGGAGCAGAGCGAAAGGACTGGGCGGAGGTATCGCCACATACGCCGTACAGCTGAGCCCCTGAGTGGGGACGCTACAGGCTTCCAGCGGCGTGCTGGATTCTTCTTTCCAGCCGCCGGGCTTCTCTGTCCATCGCTCGGACAGGGTGAAGGAGCGTACCGGAAAATCGAAGGGTGGAGGTGAGTGTTTTTTAATTAACGAACTTTGGTGCACTGATTGTGTCATCGTGAACAAAACTTGCAACGTCAACTTGGAATGTCTTATTTTGAAATGCCGCCCCTTTTTTCTCCCATGGGAGTTTTCGGTGATGTTCCTGTGTGGAGTTTACACTCATCCTCGGGCGGACATTTCTGTTGCCTTGAGTGAACTAAGCGACATTGTATACAAATTATTTTTTGTCAAAATATCCCGCGACTTTTACTGGTGTTTTTGGAGACTTTTGTGGTGTTTGGAGACTCGAAAGCACGAATCACTCTGCAGTTAGGCATACTGTGCTCAACGAGCAGCGGGTGCTGCCATGAGCCCCTCTCCCGTCCAAAGGCACTCACAGGCGGTCAGTCTCTCAGTAACCTCGCGCAGCAGTCCCAGCCTGCAGCAGAAAGGAGACACACACCCCTCTGTGTCCAGGCTGCAAATGAATCGCGCATGCGCATGGTCGCCGCCGTTCCCGCCTTGACTTACAGAGCGGGGTGTAAATGTTCACTCACTCTCACAAAAATAAATCACTGCATTTAAATTGACTCACGACATAGCTCTCCATTCACTCTAGTCTAGTCTCTTGCCAAGTTCGCTTGTGCCAGCTCTCGCTAGTCTGTTATCAATCTCGATTTACATAGGCCTTTACTACACAAACCCCAACAGTCTTTTTAAAGACTAAACCCAGAAACATTCTTTAAGATTAGATCATATCTCAGCCCTAGCCAGTAATTTTGTTAAACTGCTAGGCAGTAGTTACTTAGCTAACTACCCAAACGATACACACACACACACACACACACACACACACACACACACACACACACACACACACACACACACACACACACACACACGAGGACTACAATCGTTAAGAATTAAAATAAAATCTGAATTGTCTGCAAAATAATTATTTTGTTTGGTTTTAATGAAAGATTGTGCCTAAGTCCTGACTGATTAGCCCCTGATACGTCTCTCAACATACACCACACATAGTTACATATTGCCATAGTTTAAACTTTATTGAAAACAAATTAAAATGGAGAAATTTCTTGTGAGGACCAACAAGCCAACCAACGCACCACCAGCTGCAAAAAAGCTTCGCAAGTACGATGAAGCATACCTGCAGTTTGGGTTTACAGTCACGGCTGAACTGAGACCTCAGTGTGTCGTATGTGCCGAGGTGCTGGCAAATGACAGTATGAAGCCCTGCAAATTAAAAAGACACCTCGAAACAAAGCATGCTGGCATTAAAAATAAACCGGTCGAATATTTTAAAAGAAAGCTTGATGGCCTCCATCAGCAACAGGCAACCATTTCAGTGCACAGCACTGTGTCTAAACAGTGTTTGGAGGCATCATATGTAGTGGCCAAAAGGATCGGTAAACTGGGTAAACCGCATACAATCGCAGAGACTCTCATTTTGCCGGCAGCGCAAGACATGTGCAGAATAATGATAGGCGATAGTGCAGCAGCCAAACTCGGTGCAGTACCACTGTCCAATGACACAGTCGCTAGGAGAATTGTAGACATGTCCAACGATATCAGAGAGCAACTGATAGAGTTTGTAAAAAAGAGTCCTTACTACGCGCTGCAGCTGGACGAATCCACTGATGTTGCTGGGCAGGCACAGCTCCTCACCTATGTCAGGTATCTGCGGGACAAGGTGATTGAGGAGGATGTCCTGTTTTGCCGGCCTCTTCAGTCACACACTACAGGAGAAGCCATTTTCAATGTCCTTGACATTTTTATCCGCGAAAATGGTTTGGCTTGGGACCGATGCGTTGGCCTATGCACGGATGGTGCGCAGGCAATGACGGGGCATGAGCGTGGCCTAGCTGCTCGCGTTCAGCAAGTAGCTCCACTTGTGAAATGGACACACTGCATGGTCCATCGCGAAGCACTAGCTGCTAAAAAAATGCCGGTTCTCTTTGACTCTGTGCTGAACCAATCCGTCAAAATAATAAATCTCATAAAATCACGGCCGCTAAACTCTCGCTTGTTTGGGGTCCTCTGCCAGGAGATGGGGTCAGGGCACGAACAGCTGCTTCTGCACACTGAAGTTCGCTGGCTCTCCAGGGGGCGGGTGTTACAGCGGTTGTATGAGCTGCGAGAGGAGGTGAAGTGGTTTTTGACAGAAATTAAATCAGATCTGGCGAAGCATCTGGATGACACTATGTGGCTTGCGTCTCTGTCCTATTTGGTCGATATATTTGACCGCTTGAATGGCCTCAACCTGTCTTTGCAAGGCCGCGAAACTCATATTTTGCTCCTTGCAGACAAAGTGCAGGCCTTCACACAAAAACTAGACCTCTGGCATGGCCGCATCAGTCGAGGGAACTGTGACATGTTCCCCTGCCTTACAGACTTTATAACTGATGCAGGCGCGTCACACGATTTCTCCTCCCTATTTCAATCAGCGTCTGAGCACCTGTCAGCAATGAGAAAACAATTTGCGACGTACTTTAAAGAGGATTATCGCTCTTTTGCATGGGTTCGAGATCCGTTTGTGTGCACAGCAAACGAGCTATCAATTGATTTGCAGGAACAGCTTATTGAGCTGAAGAGTGACAGTAGACTGAAGGAACTCTTTAGCTCCTGTCCTCTTTCGTCATTCTGGGCAGCATTGATGCAGGAATACCCGGAACTCTGTGACGTCGCCTTGAAGATTCTCCTTCCTTTCGCGTCGACATATTTGTGTGAGGCAGGATTCTCAAAAATGACTGCACTCAAAACAAAACACCGCAATCGTGCACAAATCGAGGATGATTTGAGGCTATGCTTATCAAACATTGAGCCAAGAATTGAGGATCTTTGCAAGGCAAAGCAGGCTCAGGTCTCACATTAACATCACCTAATTATATAGCAATAGCCTAGTATTGATAATAGGCCAACTGATGATAATAATAATAACAACAACAATAAAGCATGTAACCTCATAATTATATAGCAATAGCCTTGTAATAATGATAGGCATATACTACTCATAATAATAATAATAATAATAATAATAATAATAACAATAATAATGCCTGCAAGCTCACATTAGAAGTCTGGTGCTACTGCCAATTATAACAATAGCCTAGAAATGATAATAGGCCTACCTACCGCTACTGATGATGGTAATAATAATAATGTGGGCCTAAAAATAATAGCCTAGGGCTATCTATCTATCTATCTATCTATCTATCTATCTATCTATCTATCTATCTATCTATCTATCTATCTATCTATCTATCTATCTATGCAAGGTAGAGCGGGGCGGGGCGGGGGGATGGGGGATCTGGGCGGGGGGCACTGGGGCCCCAACTGCAATGAACCAGCTTTGGGGGGGCCCAGCTTGCAAAAGGTTGAGAACCCCTGAGGTAGCAGATAGTCTATTGAGGGATCTCCTCCCAGACCTTGACTAAAGCATCCACCAACTCCTGCACAGTCAGTGGTGATACGAGATGTTGGTGGATGGATAGAGACATGATGTCCCAGATGTGCTCAAATGCTAAAGAATGTTGCAGGCAGCAAATTGATCACCACAATGTCTCCAGACTCTGTCACATCTGTGACATTTACTCAGTTTTAGTCTGCTTTCATCTGTGAAGAGCACGGGGCGCCAGTGGCGAATTTGCTAACCCAGGTGTTTTCTGGGAAATGACGTTGGGCCTTTGTGAAGACACACGCATATTTGTGGCCTGTTGGAGGTCATTTTTGCAGGGTTCTGGCAGTGCTCCTCCTGTTCCTCCATGCACAAAGGCAGAGGTGGCAGGGCTACTGCTGGGTTGTTGCCCTGCTACGACCTTCCCCACATCTCCCAGTGTGCTGGTCTGTCTCCTGGTAGCGCCTCCAGCCTCTGCACACTGACACACAGCAAACCTTCTTGCTACAGCTCACATAGATGTGCCATCCTGAATAAGCTGCACTACCTGAGCTACTTGTGTCGGTTGTAGTCAATCTTACACTACCACAAGTCTAAAAGCACCAAAAGGATTCAAAAGTGACACAAACATCAGCTAGAAAAGCATAGGTACCAAGACATGGCGTGTGTGTGGTCCCCACTTGCAGAACCAATCCTTTACCGAGAGTCCAATTGCCAATAATTTCAATCTGTTGTCTATTTCATTTGCACTACAGCATGTAAAACTGATCGTCAATCATTGAAATTGATCGTCATAATTCCTAAGTGGACAGTTTGATTTTACAGAACGCAAACTGTGACGTTTTAAATAGAAAAATCTTCCCAGATGGGAAGCTAGATGTCTTCAAACTTGGAAAACAAAGTCCAGTTGTTTGGGGTTTTTTACCTTTTTTAGGTAGCCTGACGTAGTCCGACTCAATTCTAGTCAGAATATGAGTCTGATACTGCTCCATAGAGCTGTGATTATGGGGCGTGTTTTGAACGAACCAGGAAAAAAATGCCTCTGCACTCAATTGGACAGACCTACAACCAATAAGAGCAACGGAGTGCGTGACGTATGTTAAGCGAGGCATAGTTGTTGTCCACAAAAATCAAAGCGTGTGGTTTCACGCCTAGAATAAGAAGATGAGACTTGATCGCGTTTCTCTGTTCCTCTTTTAAAATTAATTTGCTGTCGATATCTTCTAGAACAGACCTAATAGCAGAATCTACTCACCCAAACTCTCCAGCGGCAGCCATTATTGTTGTCACCCAAGCGCGCTTTGGTCACGTGGTTGATAACGTTACTCTTGATCATCTGTCCATCATCGTATAAAGCCCGCCCTGACAATTTGATTGGATCGCCTAACAGTGGGCTTTAATACTCGCGCTACTATGGAGCAGAGCCAGACCGAACTTCCCGACCTTAAACCTTGTGGGCGGGACTAAGTTCGGAATGGCACCCAGGCTATTTTTTAGGGGAATTTCACAGAAGTTTGATTTAATTGAAGTTATATTGTGTTTACGTGTCCACCTTACGTGTTTGTTAGGTGTTACGTGTTTGTGTTTACGTGTTCCCTTTATTTTTTTGAGCAATGTAAATTTGAATTTTGTTAATCTAGCCCTGTTAACATCAGAAGTTATGCAAGTCTTAGTGATTTAAATACTTTAATTGAGGACGTAATGTAAAACCTACATTGATCATAAAAACAAAAATTTTAAAGACTCCTTTTAGAACGTAGATTAAACATCGTTGGTAAGTTCAATATAAGCCAACCAAGATTGAGATTGTATACTCTGGTAAGTGACTGAAGTAGATTCCATTTGTTTTTCAATGAGTAAAAGTTTTTATCACCTTCCTATTAGAAAGCTAACCAAGAAGTATGATTGCCATTCAGTGGCTGTAGTAATCAGCAAAATAGATTTCTATATTAAGAAAATATAGGTTTTATTATACAACTCTCTACTTTAAATCTTTCTGAAAACGCAAACTCAAAGGAGGAATTAGTATTTTTTTTTTTATCAAAATGCTGCATAATCCTTTCTAATATAAATTAAATCTAATCTTTTTATGCAATACAATCCATTATTCTATAAATCTACAACCCTCTATACTTCAGTAACAGTGAGTGTGTCAGTGTGGTGTGGCAATGCGACACATTCGAGGCGGGTCAGCTGGAATGTTGGCGTGAAAGCCCACGGGCCTTTACTGTGCTGCATACCAGTGTATCCCTGGTTGCCTGGTGCAATAGGGAAAGGACTCTGCTGCATAGCCAACTGGTGAAGCTTGGTGAGCTGTGGAGAAATAGCAGCAGAGGAAGACTGTGAGAGTGAGAGGAGGAGGCGGGGAGAGAAGAAACAGAGGAAATGGGAAAACACGGGAAGAAGGGAAAAAAACAAAGCACATAAAAATCACAATCAGTAAGACAGCAACACAAAGAAGCGCAAACAAAGAAAAACTCAGTGCACATGGGACTAAGATAAACTACAGATCACTGATCTCTCTGTGAAGAGCATACGTTTAGCTTCTGGTTCGTCTATGTGGGAAACCTATTATGATCTCCTCTCAAGCCAAAGCTTCAACTGTTGGTAAAATTTTCCTTCCAGCTTCAAGCTCAGAACAAAGCTGCAATACGAAAGTCCGGAGTGCTCTGTAGAGGGGATTTCCTGACCAAAACAATACCCCAGCATGACCCTCAACTGCTTCAATTTAACTTCCCAAGAGCTGAGAATAAATTTTTATGCAACATCTAAAGGCACATCACAAGTTTAATAATCAATAACTCTTAGATTGTGATAAAAAAATTCAAGCCAACAGCTTTTCAACTGTTAGAAAAGAAGCATTTGTTAAATATTCCTGATCTGTAAAAAGACTACTCATCATAAAACATATTCAAAGATCCTATCATAACTTTTCTTTAAATAAAAAAAAACATTGATTGTATGAAGCAAAAAGTGGCCAGTAGACAGAGTAACAAACAGAAAAGAGAACAGTAGGGTTGTTAAGAACAGAGCAGTGAACGAGACATTACTCCACAAAGAAGGAGAAGATGGAGGAGTAAGCATCAGGGACAGATTATTATTCATGGAACAGTGGAGAGTCTGGACAAACAGACAAATGTCAATCAAATTTGAGTCCCAGTGCAAAAACAAAGCATATACTGAAAAAGATTACAAGTATGCACCAAATGGTAGACATTAAAATGACAAAATAATAACATGTGATAAAACACTGCATGAGTAGGTGGGTGATTTCTTGTTTTGGGAGAGGACAGCTGCAATAATAAGTGGGAGTTGAAGTGGTGGGTGGATCAAAGAAAAAAAAAAATCCTACTGCACTTACATCTGGCTGTGGGATCGCGTGCTGTCCTTGTACAGCATAGGCCTGAAACATATGGAAACAAAGCTTTCATAGGCCTCACATCCAGCTTTGATGGTTATTTTACTTCTCTAGGTACGTCACCATAGATGACAACCAAGTGACTCTTACACATTTAAACCCTGTTGATAATCCATTCATATCAACACACACTTCATGTCCAAAGTCTCCACATTTTTGACAGCAAAGAGGTTTTTTATGACATTAAATGAGAAATAGAGGAAAAATCCAACTGGGATATAAAGAATACCACACAGTATTTAGTAAGTTTAGTCTTCGTAATGTTAAGAGATCGAGCACCAGAGAGTGTTTAAAGGCCGAGATGAAAGGAAGATGAGCAAAAAACGCTCTAAATTGAAACTACCGTAGAGAAAATTAAAAAAAAGGCAAAAAAGATTTTTTTAAAGGAAAAAACATCAATGAAAAGCCTGACTGTAAAGCTTTTCTTTTACTCAGTTTTTAGTGAATCACTGCTTTTTTCTCCAGGTAAAAACAAACTGAAAGATCTTTTTCAGATTATCAGATGAGCTCCTCTACAGTCACAATCCAAAGTTAAACCTGTATTTTTAGTAGTAGTGCACTCCGTTTTAATGAAATCTCATCAATAAATAATCAAACTCTTCAATTTCTGTAGCGGATATGAAAGGAAAATAAGGCCTTCCAATAATAAACCCTGCGACCATCAGAAAAGTCTTGTATACCTGTCCGCCAGCAAAGATGACGGGGGATCCGGAAGGCTTGGGTCGGTATGGTATGGTGACCCCCTTAGGGGGAGACTGTAAAGGGGAAAAGAGAGATTTTTAGTACAATATCTACAACATACACTGAGAACTCTAATAAATTTGACAGATTTTGATTCTAAACATCTAGGTCAATGTATAAAATGTTTATCCGATTATTACAGTTGTAAAGAAACATTACTTTTGTAGCAGGGCAATTATTTTGTTACCGTTTTAGATTTAAGCAGAAATAGTGGGACATTTCTTTTAATGTCATACTGAGAATGTCATCCAAGCAGAGACAGCAACTTCTACTCCTTTATTATAATCCACTCACCTCAAGCATGACCACACAGATCTGCTTAACACACTCAATTATTGACTGTGGGGTTCCAGCAATGGTGATGGCACGCTCTGTGGAGTTGGGAAGCATGTCTCCTGCCACTTGTACCTGAGCACCGGTTGACTTAAATGCACAAGACGAGCAAAATTACCAATAATTAATGTATAGTACTTAAAAAAAAAAACAGAATGCTGGTTACTCTGCTGTGGTTTTAGGACATACCTCTCGGATTTCCTTGATCTTGCAGCCACCTTTTCCTATGAGTGAGCCACATTGGCTGGCAGGCACTACAATGCGGAGGGTGACTGGAGGCTTGCTGGTAGCTGTACTGTTTGTCATTGAGCTGCTAATATCCTAACACAAAATATAAAAAAAAATATATGAATTAACCCAACTTGAAATCTGTTGGTACTCGTTTACCTGTTAGAATCAAGGCCTACCTCTTCCAATTTCTCTATGATCATAGAGAAAGCTTTAAAGATGGCCGTCGTCGGACCTGCCAAGGTGATGATCCGTTCAGGACAGTTGCCTTCAGAGATGTTGATTCGAGCCCCACTCTATAAACAGAAAATAAACTAATTTAACTCAGTGTTCAAAGCCACTGTCGGTAACCTGACCTGTTGTAGCTTCACACAACTAAAGAAGTTTCAAAAACCTCACCTCTTCTCTCATCTTCTTCACAGATTCACCTTTCTGTTTGAAGAAAGTCAAAGACATGTTCAATATTTTATGAAAGAAAATAAAAATTAAATTAAAAGAATAGAAAATGTTACCTTTCCAATTATACTTCCAACCTCCTGGAATTAAGAACAAAAAAAGACATTGAGACAGAGAATACAGGTATGTGTCAAAAGATCTGGAATTTAAATTAACCTCTAAAGCTTAAATTTCACAATTTAAGAGTTAACATGTAATGAACCAATACTAACCAATACTTCTGAGTAAGTGATATAACCACCCAAAGTTTGAAGGATTTTAAGCTTTAGAGAAACAGAGTGGGGTTTAAATACATGTTGCTGTTTGCAAGTTTGCACATTTTATGATGTAATAAAAAAACAATATGGATTGGCACAACCTGATAGGGGTTATATTCTGCAACAACCCAGCAGTTTGATACATCTACAGTTAAAATATTAAAAAAGGGTTTACAAAGTGCAGAATCCTCAGCTTTAAAATCCACCATAACAGGCTGCAGCAAAATTCTCAACATGGAGTGTGTGTGACTATGCTGTCGTCAAAAGAGCTAGATGGCCTGGGGACAAATGCCAGGCAATGCCTCAGGCTGTGAGTTTTTTGTAAGCATTGGGATGGTGACAAAAAGAAAAAAAAATGGAAAAGCCAGTACAAGTACAAATAATCCATAGGTAAAACACAAGTATTCCTAAGACTAACTTATGTACCTTTAACCAGCATCCTTTAATGACAGCACAAGGTATATTTTGATTAGAGATGCACTGAGTAGCAGATAACTGGATTTTGCCAACTTCTTATTTTGACTGGTATCAGGGGGGCCGCCAGGAATTTGGGGCCCCTAAGAAAGACATTGATATTGGACCCTCAACCCTTGTCAATGTAATTTTTATTGTAATATTTCTACAAAGGAAAAGCCTGTACACATGCACAGATTAATGCATGGACGCCATCTCCCTCTCTCCTCTTTCTCCTTCCGGACATTTTACCACACTGCTGCTTATCAACACATTTTCTTGTTAATATTCAAATGTTTCTTTCGTTGTCGCTACGTCAAATGACGAGCGCATTGCATTTAAGCCCCGGTACAAGCGAACTGCCACTGACAGATGGGGAGACCTGATACAATGGCGCCAGGACGCGAGGACCAAAAATTTATTGCAATTTCCACAAGAGGGGGGTGTCAATATATTCATTTTATGTTTCACTGTTTACTGCTAAAAAATGAGGGAGGACATTAAGATTATTTATTTTACTGCTGGATTTTCTTTTTACATTTGAAAAATATAGGAGGGCAAATCTTTTCTTCTTCTTCTGAGCCCTCCCTGAGTCAAGAGCCCTTAGAATCTTCCTGACTCCAGCCCATCTATCTGACTTTTAGTAAACCCCATAAAAAAGCATCAAAGTGCATGACACTGATACGCAGGAATAATATCGATGTGTTTATAAACCAAAAAAAGTGGGAAGCTTTGAAATTTAGAATGAAATATAAACTAAATTTTTCAGTTTTTATCCTTTGATCAGCAGTTAGGGTTGATGAAGGGAATTTTAAAATGACCAGGTAATTATTTAATTTAACTCGAAATTACACTGAGTAAAGATGATCCATAAAAAACAAATATTACAGGATCCAATAAATTGGGACTAAAGAGAATTCCTTTATCAAAATAACTCCAAAAAACACCAAAAAAGGGCTTTGAAAATGCAAGTGATGTCTAACCGATTTCTGATACATAACGAATAGATTAAACTCCTTATCTAAATATCCTTTTAAAAGATTAAAAGGATCCCATCATTAGCTACTTTCGTAGAACATTTGTTCTCAATCCTGCTCCTCAAGTACCACAACCCTGCATGTTTTGGGTGTCTCCTTGCTTCCATACACCCGAGTTAAATGAATCAGCCATCTGCAGCACCTAATGACTGCCGAGGAGTCTATGTAATCACTTAAATCAGGTGAGCTGCAACAGAGAAACGACTAAAACATGCAGGTCAGGGTAATTGAGGTCCAAGAATGAGAACTACTGCTGTGGAACCTTAATTCCATAAATAATACATCATACTGTATCAGACCACATGAGCACCTCCTGGGTGATCTCACCTTGCCATGCATGAGCAGCCTGATGGTGAGGGTGACATTGAGTCCGCCTTCAATCATTCCGGAGTCCATAACTGCAACAGTCGTGGGCTGAACAGAACCACGGATCTTTGGTCAGACACGGGTCTAAAAGGGTTTAAACACAAAACATTATTCACAGGAATAAAGAGGAACATGTAAGCCTTAGTTGGCCTTATAGATAGAGGTATACATTAATCACACTATACAGGTTTTGGTTCTTTTTTAAATCCCATTAATTTCATTTTAAAAAAGGTCAAATCTAGAGGTAAGTGATAAGAAAAGGAATTCAGCAGAGAGGTAAATATTTTATCATGAAATATCGGTGATCCAGATGTTTTTGATCAGTGGCTACATTTTCAAACATACATCTCCAAACGTCACACTATTATGTTAATAGTCTTGGACATTGTTGATGTTAAGGCTAACTGTAGCAGACAGATGGATACTACGAAAAAATGACTGCACTTTAAAGCTTTTCCCGCAATTTTGCTGTATACTTTCTAAGCACCTGGATTTCATCCATGTTTCCAGCTTGTTGTAAATTGATATAGCAAAACAAGTCCTTTAGAAGTAAAGTACTGTAGCTAACACGCAGACAATGTTCGATAGCTTTGAAATAAGTTTACTAACAAATTGTTTGCCATGTTATTGCCCACCAGCTTATGGAGACGAGTGCGCAATTCCCAACAGATATATTTCAATTAAACTTAAAGTTTAATGCCTTTACGCATTGTTTTGCAGATTGAACTTAAATGGAGATTTAAATTATTAAAGTAATTGAAGTCTCTTAGCCTTCAGTTAGCCGTACTAAGAAAATGAATGGAGCAGGCGTGCGCTTGCTAGCATATTTAGCCTGTTAGCTTGCATCGTCAACATTATTAAGAGATTATAAATATAACAAGGGTGGCTTATGTACATGTATAAATACTCTTAAGCACGCGTGTTTGATAAACAGTGGGAGTTAGATTCTAAAAGTGATAAAAACTGACTCTCTGTAGTGGTTATTCAGGATAAGCTAGGCTAAGCTAGCGTTAGCACTCCCAGAGCAGATTGCGTGCTCATGGTCCTCACGCGGCCTGTTAGCACGCTGCACGGGCTCGATTTGTTTCCGCTACTTCTGATTACTACAGATATGTTATATAATAAGAAATATATGAGAAAACTCACCTTATCGGAGCGCTACTGGCTGACCGGGGGGAGGATGGGGTTTTAAGGGTAGAAGGGGAGAGGTTCGGGAGGGTAAAAACCCGGGGGAGAGTTTAGAAAGGACTCGGGGAAGAGGGAAGAGTGATGCGAGATCGAGCTCCACTCCTTTACACAAAGACAACAAAACAGTAACCTTTGAACTCCCACCCTTCACCCTCCTCTAACCCTCACTGCTGAAACCCTGGAGACTGAACTAAAATGCTCCCTGAAAAACATTTTAACCATATAACGTTACTATACTGAAAATAAACGTGAAAATTACATTTATAACTAATGTAAACTTTTTTTTTAAGTGTACATTATGTATTTTCTGTCTGTTGTAATTATTACATGTTCAGCTAAATCAATTTAAAATGTATAGTTAAATATGAGTTAAAATTAAGAAATCCTTAAGGAAGGTTTATTAGTTTGTTAAGATTAGTTATTTCAAATTCAAAGACGACTAGTGGGCATGATGCATACTGCAACAAAGCAGTATGCATCTTTTTCACGTTTTGCAAAGCTTAGGCTATCTAATAGAAGATATACAGTGATTAGAATTAGAATGTATTTTGAAGTAAATATTGATACTAACTTATGTTTTTTTTTTTTTACAAAAAATAAAAACTAGAAACTACATGTGCGTAATTTAAGCTCAGCAAAAATGCAAAAGTTTATATGAAAATCAATAAGCAAACAGCTTCATAAAAGCAAAAAAATAAACAAGAAAGATCAGAGATTACCTCCTACAGAAGTTTAAAGCATATAAATCAATTTCCAAAGAAATGAACATCTGACAGAGACCTGAATAATGAAAAGGAATGAAATGAACAATCAGAGAAGTAGGCCTGAGAACCGTAATAGCTGGGAGGAGTTTTACAGATTCACAGCTTAAATGAAAGAATATGTTAATAGGACAGCCTTTATTTGCATACTTATCTTTTTGATGGACATGCAAAACCCTTATGTATGGAAGAAAACTAACACGGTTCATGAGCCTGAACACATCATGCCCACATGAAACATGACAATTCTATGCAGCTAAATCAAATTAAAATCAGCTTTATCTACCAATAAGCAATATATTATTGTCATTATAAAACAATGATGAAATGTTCCAATTTTTCGAGAATATACAGTTAAAACTTAGAAATCAAAAAGGCATATGAAAAAAATAAGCATCCCTAAAGGACACCCTAAAAAATTAAAACACCCTCAGAAGAACAATATATTACACTAAATATCCTTAGAGAACAATTTGAAGAGACACCTTTACAAGAAAAATCAGAGTGAAAATGGGGGGAAAGCATGCAATACACTGGTTGCCTGGGTTCAATGGCCATGCATCTGCATGTTTTCAGGACTCATGCAGCATTAATCAAGTTGAGATCTAGAAGAAGGCATCCTAAAATCCCCTCTGCTACCTGCACTATGCATGCTGTCCTCACCTGTGCTGTGTATTTAAGAAGGAAAATAAAATGTATTGTTTGGAAATGTGTCAACTGGAAGTTGACTGAGTAGTTAAAAGGGAAAGAAATTGAAGCAGCCTCAATGATCTGTAATTGTTTTACTTGATATGTTTTTTGTTTATTTTTTAAATATATACCTGTCATTTATTTTAATGTATCTATGTTTCTAATGTAACTTTGCTGCCAGGACTCCCTTGAAAAAGAGGCTTTTAATTTCAATGGGATTTTTTTACTGGTTAAATAAAGGTTAAATAAAAAAATAAAAAAAAAAAGGTATGACATCGTTACAAATAGAAATACATGAGCAATTATGAAAAATATCCATTGTACATTGAATATATAGGAATGCATGTTTAAATTGTGTTTTAACATAGCAAAGTAACAAGGCTGTAAATCATGCTGCCACAATTTTCTAGTTCAAATTTTTATTAAAATCTACATGTATCCAGTACTTTGATGATTTATCACAGTTATTTACAAAAAAAAATAATAAATTGAATTTTTTTATTGTAACGTGACAAAATGCAATGCAGCTTAGTGGGTATGAGCTGGACACTTCAACAGGTGAAAACAGTGTTTTGCTACTTGTTTTCGAGAACTGCAATAACAAATCGATTGTACTTATTTACATATTTAAACAAAATAAAACAACTTTATCCTTAATTTCTGAGTTTGTATTTAGACTGACCACAAACAATAGCAAACCAGCAACAACAAATCCCAAACTGCAAAACTTTGACCATAAAATAATAATAAAAAAGAACTGAAATAACTTAGGTGCATATATTTTGTATGACACTAATGTTAAAGATGTCATCTAAAGTGACGTTATGACATAATTTACAAGTATAGTTTAAACAGACTTATTTTGTTTTTTGTTCAATGATTTACATGCATGGCAGAAAAAAAAAGTTTTCAGAAGATGCTGGGGTCCTCAATCTGAATCGCTACTGCTGCTGCTGCTGGAGGACTGCAAAGGAAAAAAGAGCATATTAATATTTTAACAAATGCAAAAAAAAAAAAAACATTTTTACATGACACAGCAAAACCTACAATTAATGAGATATTGCTGACATTACCTACTATTTAGAAAGAGGACAAAACTGAGAGCTAGCAAAATCAATAGCAGGTAATATTATGCATCAGTTGATAAATTATTTTAGCCCAATTGGTGGACAGTTAATCATTTTAATTAATGCAAGATTTTTTTCTAGCAATAAGGCAAAAGTTACATCTAATCACTTTGCTTTGAAATTTTTCAAAAGGACGTGAACCTTTGTAAAAAACGACAAATGTTGACCTTTTCTAAAAATTTACTGTATGTTTAGAGGGTCCTGGTGTGTAGCAACCTAAACTTGACTCATGAATGAGACATCATTGCTTTTAAGTACAGATTAATAAAGACAAGTTTTATAAGCTCTTATGACATTTAACATCAGTGTTCATAACTCAGCCTCACCTTGCCACATTTGTAGTGGCCATGCTTGTGATATTTGTGAGCCTTCTTCATCTTTTTCCTCATTTTCTTATTTGCTTTGTGTCCTAATATGCCCATTCCTACAGCCATTCCTCCTGATAATATTCCACCCACAGAGTTAAATCCATCAGGGTGATGGTGATGATTATAACCTTTATAGGGCTTGTGACCGAAACCTTTTGGGGAGTAGTATAATGGACCTGGAAGGACACCTCTGGGATGCAATTGATGTCCTGCAGGATACATGGGATATGCAGGAGGCCCATGAGGCATCACCCCTGGAGGTCCATGTGGAATCATGGCTGGGTTCATGGGAGCTGGGTAGTGGCCTGATGGATACTGGCATGCAGGATAACCAGGGTTTCCTTGGTATGCAGGAGGTGGACCCTGTGGGTAGATACTAGGTCCAGGGGTTGTTGAATATGGGGCAGTGTAGCCAGGAGGGAAAGCAGGATTTTGTGGACCCATTGAATAAGGAGGATGAGGTGGAGGAGGACCTGTCACAGAAAAGAAACAAACTAAAGCACCTGCTAGTTTGTAAAGGTGATTGTATATTAAAATATGATAAAAGGCTTGGTATGTGTACCTTGATTTGGCCACATATCTTTTTGTTTTGCTTTATCAGGTGATAAGCAAGAGTCTTAGAACGTTAAAATACAACCTGGAGAAACAGAAAATGTATGAGTTAAATCATTTGTCAGAGGTTCTTACAACATCTCTCATTTATATGTCACATATTCAGTGGAGGAGCGTACCTAAAAAACAACCCCCCCTTAAAAGAAATTAATATCAGTTCATATTTAGGAGAGCCTTAGGCTGTTTAGTAGCTGGTTGGAACAAGCAGAGGAATTTTGCTATTTAAACTGCTTTTATATGGTTGAAATGGATGCTACCTTCACTTTGTACAAGCATACATAATCAAAAACTTATTTCTATTTAAAAATATCTAGATTTATTTCACAGAATGATTACCTGACATGTACCTGCATTCAGATTGTTCAAATCAGAGAAGATCATACATTTTCTACAGGTTTCAATGCTCTGAAAGAGGCTGGACTAAATGTAAAAACCGCCTCTCGCTAGACCTGAATGATGAGCGACGACCATAATTATTCTTCAAAAAGATCCAATGGCTGTTATGAAAACTAAAACCATTTCATTTTTATGGTGCAGAAGTTTGAGTCTGTCTCAATCCACACAAAAAACATTCAAAAACTAATTTGGTTTAGATTATTTGAACTGAACAGCTACCAACAACTTCTCCATTTGTTCCTGCTTTACAAGCCAAAAAAAACACCACACAAGCCTTAATCTTCTAACTGCTGTAGTTTAACATTATCTCAAACAACACAAGTTTAACATCAGTAAACCTAAGTTTACAGGCTTACCTGAGGATATCGTCTCTGTTCTTGTAATCAGGAACTCGGAGCGTCTTTTCTTCCTCTTTGAAGCAGCTATGAAATGTACCAGGATGCCACACCCTTCCAGGGACACGTACATTTTTCACGCAATGGCAAAAAAGGCATCAGCTGATAGGGAATGAAAAGCTGAATGACCTGTTTTGCTTAACATTGTAGAACAAAGCAGCTTACACTTTTAAAAGAAAACTCTCGAGGATGTTTCCACAGGGAGGAGGAGAGAGGAGTCACCACAGAAAATGCTCCCATGACATCATTTTAGATTATTCACACCTAAGAATTCTACCTCTATGTTTAACACATTCATTGAACCATGGACTCAATGTACTTCTGGCTCGTGTACTTTATAAAAATAGAAAAACTATAAAAGCCATTTCATTTGTGGTCAGTTCAAGCTTTGGAGGGAAAATGTGTTGAGCAAGACGAAGAGGAGGTAGAACAAGTTAAAAAAAAAGTTCAATTTGATAAGCTAATTTCAAAATATATTAAAATATCAGGGGAATAAAAACAGAGGAAATAAAATCCCAGTTTATAGGACAATCTTCACAGGATAATGGTAGGTTTGAAGGTTAAGGGTAGAAATACTTCCTGTAGATTTCCCTTGATGCATCATAATGGATTAAGTCAACAACATAACTGATTGTCTTATTTTAGAATTAAACCTCATTTTTCAAAAGGTCTTGAGTCACAAAGTTTGATGTCATTTTGAATTAAGAAAATTTAGATTGTTTTTTTTAAAGACCTAATTTAGGGTGTTTTTTTTTTTGTGGTTTTTTTTTATTCAAACAATATGTTTTCTATATATTTTTTAAGCTAAAACTACTTCTTGTCATAATAAGTGAGCAAGTGCAAACACAACAACTGAGAAAAAACTTTCATGAATCATTTAAGGAATATTGATTTTATTTGCCAATGTTACATGACCATGATATAGCTGAAATTTGTTAATATAATTAAAAATCTTTGTTAACCTAAATATGCAGTCATTTAATTCTTTTAATTAAAAACAATTAAATAGAAACGTGGAGACTGTGTTAAAGTTTGTGAAATAATTTCACTTTCCATCTAAAACTAAAATCATTTTCCCCTGTGATTTAAATTATTCATACAGCATCAAAGAACACAGGAACCAATTCCATAGCAGGTGTACATTAAAGGGTGTAAACACCCATGCAGGCAGGCCTGTCCTGATGCCGAATCTTAGATCATTGGACAATAAGGCTAAAGGTAATGAGTGACAAATCTGCCCACAGCACAGTACTCATGTGACACAGGAATTTAGCAATGTGTTTTGAGTTCCTCCTTTGCTGATAGAGGGATAAAACACTAAGTCAATACTTTCCTGCAGAGGTCATAGTGCAGGAGGTATCACATTTAGCCATTAAACTTTGGTAACTAAAATTGTAATTTTAGGGGTTTTTTTTATGTGTGAGAGCATCAGGGTTTAAGTATTTCACATTTTGTACTTATTTAAGTACAAACGCCTTAGAATCTTGTCTTAGTTATATAAAAGACTTTAACACATTCATCCATCCATTCATTGTCTATCCTGGCCTGCCTTTACCTTAGATGGTGTGGACTGGAGGGGTTGCTAGTTCCCAACTCCAGCGCTCATTATACAGAGATGGATTAAACTATGAACAGGCCATCCTAAATACGTATGTACAGGTCGGACAAATATGCAAACACAGACTCACACCTAAAGTAAATCAATGAACGAAATCAACGGACCTCAGCTGCATGTAGTTGGACTTTTAGAGGAAGCCAAAGTTACAAGATTTTTTGGTTTGGCTAAAAACTTTATTCGTGGAAGCAGCTTAGCCATAGAATTAAAAAACTCCTTTGTTTAATACTTTCTTTAAAACCTTTCGAGTCATATATTTTGGTGTTTGTTGCCAGGACAAAGCATGCGTCTCATTACTTTTTGAAATGTATTTATAATTTTTAAATCATCAAATCACAAAATAATAAACTAGTTAAAAGAGAAAAAAACTTTTTTAGCTGCTTCTATTGAAGTTACTTAAACACTACAAAGGAAAATATCAAAGGTTTACTGTGTTTGAGTTAAATGACGTAAAAAAAAAATAAAAAATATAATTTTATTGTAAAACTATACATTTTCAAAATGGATTCCAAGCAGCAGCAACAAAAATAATAATGGGCAAAAAAAGGAATATAAGTTTTCAGGCCATTATTCTCTTATATCTATCTAACTTTGTTAATACTCAGTTAAATTTGACAATGGAATTAGAAACATTAGATATAAAGGGAATCTTGTTTATTTCAGAGACTTATTTTATCAACACAAAATACAAAACAAAAAAAATTATTCCATTCAAAATGAAAATAAAAAGATCAACATTATTATAGTTTGAGATTATTAAAACCAATACCAAATACAAAAAAATATATATTCCATTCAAAATGAAAATAAAAACTTTCACACATTATTATAGTTTATTTGAGATTATTTAAACCAATACCAAATACAAAAAAAAACACTTTATAAGAGAAATGTCTTTTTCTCTAAATTAAAACAAAGAGAATGAGCAGTAACAATACAGTAACCATAACTAAAATGTTAAACATTAAAATCCATGGAGGAAAAGTAACAGGGTGTCAAACACTAAAAGGAAAAAAATTTTGTACATGCGGTTTTAGTCTCATAAAAAGACTATAAAAGGATATTATGAAACACGATAGGTTTACAGGTAAAATGATAAGATTTCCTTTTAGTTAATGAACTGTGTTTCACTTTTAGAAGCAGAATTTTAGGAGCTTCCAAAATTGCTCCTAAAAAAGTGCTAAAATTTTAGGAGGTAAGGAGCTGGACATTTAGTCTGAGTCACTGCTGCTGCTGCTGCTGCTACTGCTGCTGCTGGATGACTGTAAGGACAAAAACACACAAAGGGTGAGATACTAATAAAAAAACAAAAGATTAGTGTGAAGCAAAATAACACTGAGTATTAATTTAAAATGCAAGAAAACATGTCTGACAATAGAAAATTAAAAACGTGTTAAACAAGAACTGGAGTTTTTGGATTCTGACAAAAATAGAAAAGACTACATTTGTGTGAAATGAGGGCATCACAGATAAATTATTCCAATTATGTTTATTTATTTGTACTGGGTTTCATCCAAAATGAGCCCTATAGCATTACATACAATATTCTATTTTTCAATGTGCAGGATCATGTGGGAAATTAAAGTTATTATATTTTTAGGGAGGAGATCAATGACAACAAATAGAAGTACAGCATCATGGTCAAATAATTCCTTATTATTTAGACAAAAGCATTTTTGAAGAAGCATTTGCTGTTCAGTGTTAGCCTGCAAATTTTAACAAGTGGAGGCTGTAAGTGCTTTTTTTTTTTTTTTTTCGGTTGATGATTAGTCCCATCTTTGAAACAGTGCTCTGCCCTTCCTTCCACAGGGTAAGATTCCGATCTCATTATTTTTGTGCCTGTCTTTATTTTTTTTGTTCAGACAGATCATGTTCATATTTGCTATGCTTATCCAATAATGCCAATCAAACAGCTGCTCTAAAAAGTTTACCAACTCCTTGAACCAAACCTCACCTTGCCATGACCTTTGTGTCCATGCTTGTGACCCTTCTTCATCTTCTTCATCTTCTTATCCTTTTTATGTCCATGTCCTCCAACTACCATTCCAGGTCCTGGGTAAAACCCGCCAGGATGGAGATCCTTGTGGTGGTCCTTGTGTTTGCCCTTGTGTTCGCCCTTGTGTTTGCCCTTGTGGTGGTCGCCTTTGGAAGAGGGATAGCATTGACCTGGATGAACACCTCCAGGAGCCATGGGATATGCATGAGCTCCAGGAGCTCCATAAGGCATCCCGCCTGAAGGTGCATTGGGAACCATTGCTGGGTTCATGGGAGCTGGGAATTGCCCTGCTGGGTATTGCCCTGCTGGGTATTGCCCTGCTGGGAACCCAGCATTTGGAACCGGTTGGAACATTCCTGATGCAGTGGGAAATGCAGGGTTGTAACCAGGGGGGAAGGCTGGGTTTTGTTGACCCATTGGAGGAGTAGGACCTGATATAAAAAAAAAAAAACCAATATATAACCTTTGAGATACATTTGCGATCAAACTGGTCAAAAATGTTGATATGGATGGATGTGCTTAAACTCCCACCTTGATTTGGCCACATCGCTGCTGTATTAGTAGTTGCTTAGATGATGAGTTTAGGTCTTTAAAAAAATCTCCTGGAAAAGATTTTTACTGTTAAGTCATTAACAGTGTTATACAAAAGATACGAAATTGCCCTTACATCTAACTGTACTAAATTTCCCAGAAAATTTTCAAAAAAAATTAATTAAAAAAAATAACTTATCAAAAATAGATGGGTGTTACTAAGAAAAGAAAACTGTGTTTGATGATAAAGTTCTATATTATCCAAGTTTAAACATTTTAAATAATGACCCTGAAATGAAAAGAAAAAGTGAAATAAGCCAATGATGTTGTAGCTAGTATAACTACAGAGGCTGATGCAGTTTAGCGCACAGATTCAGTGGGCTAAGGGGATTGCATTGCTCATCCTCTGAAGGCTTTTCTCCAAAAGTATAATAAATAACATCAAAACGCTAAATATACTCTGTTTTCTGAATACCATGAGCTTTAATCCAACAGAGCATCTGTATGACGTAGTGGAATAGTAGATTTGTATCACAGATGAGCAGCAGAATAACATGTTTAATAACATGGGACATGTTTTCCCTTTAATATGAAGAAAAATCTGAGAATAATGTATTTTGCGCCTTGTTTAATCTGGTCTATAAAGAAAAAATGGGGTTCAGGAAGTAATAGCAGGTCTAATGTAATGCAAGGTGAACGTCATTATTAATGTACAAGGCAAGTGCTATTACACATATTTGCTATCATGTGATCTGTAAAGAAAAAAACAACATTGACCAAAAAATTTACATAATAAATAAATCAGCAAGCACAAACATTGGATAACAACAAATAATTGACCTAAATCTGAGATTTCCAATCATTGAAGGATGGTAAGCACTGAAGAAAACGGACTGGTTGATTTCACTACTTGATTCACTTTAAAATACATTTTGCAGTAACTTTTGAAATAAAAAGCTTATTAACCTTTACACTGGATGAAAACTTCAAAACCCTTAAAACAAAAATAGCAAAGTAGAGTAAAGTAAATGTAAACTGGTACATATGCGTTATCTGGTGTGTTTAAAAACGTATTGTAAGGTTTGAACATGGTTTACTATTTAGCAATAGTCAAATTTTAATTCCTCGATAACAGCAGAGCCAGATATGACTTTGGAAAACAGCAAATTGCATCACTTTCCCCCCCCATTAACTGTGTTACAAAAACATCAAAAAGTAACTATTTCTATTCACCTATTGTGTACTCCAATATATTATATTGTAACTTTAAATGTTAAATCCGACTAATGTATTTTTGAAGGTTTACCTGAGGCTCTTGTCTCTGCTCTTGATGAGTTTTAGAAGAAGGAGCGTCTTGTTTGTCTTCCGCATTCAGGCTGCCTCTGCTACAGGGAGCCACGCCCCTTTTAAAGGACACCTACGTCATTTAGCTACGTAGGAGCAGCATTTCACTATACTCAAGAACGCATATTCCAAACCTTCTATGTTTATATATATATATATAGTACTGGCATGCAGGATGATATATATATATATCTATATATATATATATATATATATATATATATATATATATATATATATATATATATATATATATATATATATATATATATAGATATATATATGTATATATATATGTATATATATATGTATATATGTGTGTATGCAAAACTGTAAATCCACATAAAGTGATAGTGACGTTGTGCAAAAAAATGTCTACTTTTGTTACAACCCTACTCATTTTGTATGGCAAATATCATATACACAAATGTAAATACTCCCAAAAATCCCCCAACTTCAGATGTTTCTTTCACAAAGAGTACAAGAAATCTCTTCCATTAATTGATTTGAAACAGAGCCATAATTCTGAGAGATTTTTCAAAGAATAATGAAAGAATAATGTCTTTACACTTCTTTTAATTGTTACTAGTTCTATTTTATTTTAGAGCCCCTGTACAATGTTCTTCTATATAATTGTTTATCTATAAAATCTGTATAATAGTTTGTTTATGAAATCTTTTCAATACAAAAAAAACAAAACAAACAGGAGGCATATTCCAGACCAAAAGTCTGGAGCCGGATGACTCGGTAGATATTACTGACAAAAGTAAAAATCATATCATGTTTAATCGAAATCCATTACATCATGAAAGCTCATTTCAAGCAGTATAACAATACAATATAAATATACTTCACCATAGCAACAAATCAAAGTTGTATGGAAAGAGGGCAGATAAAATAACAATCACAACAAAAACAAAATAAGACCATAACAAACAGATATACAATGAACACAATGACCTAAAATTTTCTGCCTATGTGTTCTGCATGTGTTTTGGTTTGCAACTCTGAGCACATATTTCTGCAGCTGGAGAAGGAAGTTATCTACAATTAAAGTGCAGGAGGGATAGGCACTACCACAAAGCTTAGGAGTAGTTTCTGGTGATGTTACAGGGGTAGACAAAATCCCATCAGTTTCCCCAGATCCCCTTGACCCCTCCCTTAGCAGAAAGAGATCATAAATTGACATAAAATCATATGAAATACTCAGGATTACACAGTATCTTAAGTCATAGACTGAACCGATGCAAAACCTATATACCCATGTTAAAATGCAATTTAGCCTGTTTAAGTTAGACTCCGATTTACTTTCTTAAACCGTTTTACCATTTTAATGTGACACATATGTTGAACATTACTATTACAGAACATTAAGAGCAAATCCAAAAAATAAAACAAGGACGAGCCTACTTTTACAAAAATCAGCATATAGTCTTCATTAATAAAATTATTATCCATAAACACTAAATTCATGTTGTACTTTTTGTCACAATTAAGTATCTGATGTAAAGAAAAAGAGACATTTTTACAGGTCATATAGACCTAAACACTTTTACATTACTATCAGAGGCTGTTTCCAATTTGACAAACTGAGGAATAGAATATAAAATTTTCTTATTGTGATTATGGTGGAAAGCAGACTTGTAACTCTGACAGTGACCACTGGTATGAAAAAGAAAAAAAAACTTAATCAAGACCTTTACAGTAGGGATGCAACTAATTAATATTTTGCAAATTAATCGCATTAATTTGCGATTAATATGTCAATGATTTTTTTGATTAATCGATGATAGTGGGTTAGCAAAAGGTACCTTTTGCAAAAATAAGCCAGGTGAAACTAAAACTTTTCCACTTAAGGAGTTCTGGATAGAGCTTATTGACAAAAAATACTTTTATCTTAAATGCAAAATGTTTTTACATTGTATTTTCTCATTTTTTTACAATCTTGATATAATTGCTGCCCTAAGTGGGTTGCTCTGTCAGCTTAAGGCATGTTTTAGACTCTACACTCCAGGTAATGATTAATTGATTACTAAATTATTTGACGGTTAGTTAAATTATTTAGTAATCAGGATTAATCTGTTTAATTGTTTCAGTCATGGATTTCAAGATAAAATTATTCTATTTCTTGGGAAAGGCTCTGAAGTGATTGACCTTTATTACAAGCTGCAATCAGGTACTCCTGTAAAGTATTGAAAAAAATGAGTAATGTCGCATTGAAAAAGCATTTACACCCTTTAAACTTTCTAATGAATGTCTTCAGTATTGTAAGGAGACTCAGTCTACTGTATAGAGGTATCTAACGAAATATATATATATTTTTTTACAAATAATATCTGAAAATTTTGTTGTCTTTTGGTAACAATGATGCAGTATGCACTATGTGTTTCTGTTTGTTAAGATGGAACACTCCACTGCTTCCTTAAGTTGTGACCTAAATAGAGTCTATTATGTCATGCTGCATAGCAGAGCAGTGTCAGCTTTTCAACCAAATTAAAGATGTGTATGTGCACATCTATTTGGATAAGCTCAAAATTTCCAATGCATAAATGGCAGCCTAGTGATTAGGGCATAGTGCTTAGAATTCTGAGGTTCTGAGTTTGAGCCCCACTCCCACAGACTACCACTCTGATCCCTGAGCAAAGACCCTTAACCACCACACTGCTCCCTGGGCGCCCCACAATGGCAGCCCACTGCTCACCAAGGGATAAATGCAGAGGTAAATGTTTTTAATGTCAGATCAATAAAGTAAAATCTTTATCATCATTAAATTTCACTTGTTTCTTGGTTGGAGGAAGGGATTGAGATTGTCAGCTCATCACCTGACGTCTTTAGGAAAAGAATGAATGGGAGCAACGTCACCTCCAGTGTGTCAAGCCCTAAACACTGCTAAGAGACACTGATTGCTAAATTACACTGAAATCAAAGCTATGTCACAGGCCAAGTCCACTTCCCTGACATGAAGTGGCAAGTAAAGTCTGACAGAAATAAAAAGCAGGCTGACAGCATTTTTATTACAGCCATATACCCACAGATTCATCTTGTTATCAATTCCTGATTTGTTGTATTTTTATAAATCTGTCTACATTTTTATAATGTGTTTGAAAAAACTGTTTTTTTTAGCCAGTATATTAAACAGCTGACACAATAGATTCTAATAAAAAAAAAGGCAAAAAAAAAACAACAACAACCCTTTATTAAATTCAGCACAGGTAAGAAAAAAAAATAGCCCTTCATGGTATGGGGAAAAAAAATCTTGTTAAAGAGAAATCCACGTTTTGTAGAAAATGGCAGCTCATCAATTAATCATTTGTTGATTGATAAAGTTTGATTTAATATTCCTCAAAAAGTACAGCCCTAATTACAGATATCATAAAGGCAATAATTTATATGACTCTCTAGGCTAATTAGATAAAATTCACTTTAAGGATGACAGTTAGTATAAGGGATAGACACTTGTGTTAGTGTTTTATTTGCAAAAATATTTATCCCACTTATTGACTGGTTTACCTCAGTTGGAGCGACAAAAGTAAAATTTAAAACAACCAATAACGGATACTAAACTACCGCATCACGCTGAGAGGGTGGAGTTATAAATGTGCACTCTACAATTAAAGCCCCGCCCCACTCGGTGTGTCCAAAACCTTAAAACAAGCGCGATTGATTTCCAATCAAGCTTGAACTGCTGCATAACCTAGCAAAGTTTTCACCTGTGGAGTCATGAGTGAAAAGGTACAGAATCTTATGGGGTTTTTTTGCGCATTAAAAAGCCACTGAATATAACCAGGTATTCATATATTAATGTTTTTACAAGCTATTTTTATTGTTTATAAACAGGCGGCGTATGAAGCTAAAATGAAGAAACTAGCTGAGGTCTTTGCAGAGGACTCTGACAGTGCTGAGACGTTTGATGGTTTTTCTGACTCTGAGGTCACAGACACGGTATGTTACAGAAGAGGATTAGGGCCACTGGGAAAAAAACAACAACAAATTAACTGATTTTTAAATTTTATTTCAGTATAATAGAATTCTGACTTTAATCCCAGAATTCTGACTTTTTTTCAGAATTGTGAATTTTTTTCACAGAAGTCTGACTTTTTTCTCACAATTCTGGCTTTAATCCCAGAATTTTGGCTTTAATCCCAGAAGTCTAACTTTTTTTCTCAGAAGTCTGGCTTTAATCCCAGAATTTTGGCTTTAACCCCAGAATTTTGGCTTTAATCCCAGACTTTTGGCTTTAATCCCAGAAGTCTGACTTTTTTTTCTCAGAAGTCTGACTTTAATCCCAGAATTTTGACTTTAATCCCAGAAGTTTGACTTTTTTCTCAGAAGTCTGACAGCTAACAAACATGTTAGCATCAAGCTGAAGCCATGTCTGTTTTAGAGAGTAGCTCTCTTGTTTTAATCACCTTCTGCTCTTCCATTAATGAAACAGCATTTTCCACCAATGTGTCACTGGCCTTCCCGAACAACTCACATCTTTGTCAGTGAAGCTGAGTGCTCCCACATATCTTCCTTCATGGTGCCTATCTACATTACAGTTTTTCTGGATTGTTTACACGCATTTCTGAAAACATGCCTCGTATTCTCAGAACTCTTCACACAAATCCAACAAACACACACACAATGGGCAAAACCCTTCAAATCTCCTGCAAAATGAAACTTTACATTCAAAACAGTTTTATCTCTTCACAAAAGGCCATTTTGTGTTCAGATGACACACACAAACTATCATATGAACAGACAATTAAAAAAAGCATTTAAACACTGATGTGCTCAGTGTAAAACACCATTCTCCATTCATCATAATGACTTTTTGTTCAGTGTTACACTTACTACGGACATTAAATACATACAGGTGCTGGTCATAAAATTAGAATATCATGAAAAAGTAGATTGATTTCAGTAATTCCATTTAAAAAGTGAAACTTGTATATTATATTCATACATTACATACAAACTCATATATTTCAGATGTTTATTTTGTTTAATTTTGATGATTACAAATGACAACAAATGAAAATCTCAAATTCATCATATCAGAAAATTAGAATATTGTGAAAAGGTTCAAAATTGATGGCCCCTGGTGCCACACTCTAATCAGCTAATTAACTCAAACCACCTGCAAAAGCCTTTAAATGGTCTTTCAGTCTAGTTCTATAGGCTACACAATCATGGGGAAGACTGCTGACTTGACAGTTGTCCAAAAGACGACCATCGACACCTTGCACAAGGAGGGCAAGACACAAAAGGTCATCGCTAAAGAGGCTGGCTGTTCACAGAGCTCAGTGTCCAAGCACATTAATAGAGAGGCGAAGGGAAGGAAAAGATGTGGTCGAAAAAAGTGTACAAGCAAGAGAGATAACCGCACCCTGGAGAGGATTGTGAAACAAAACCCATTCAAAAATGTGGGGGAGATTCACAAAGAGTGGACTGCAGCTGGAGTGAGTGCTTCAAGAACCACCACACACAGACGTATGAAAGACATGGGTTTCTGCTGTCGCATTCCTTGTGTCAAGCCACTCTTGAACCACAGACAGCGTCAGAAGCGTCTTGCCTGGGCTAAAGAGAAACAGGACTGGACTGCTGGTGAGTGGTCCAAAGTCATGTTCTCTGATGAAAGTAAATTTTGCATTTCCTTTGGAAATCAAGGTCCCAGAGTCTGGAGGAAAAGAAGAGAGGCACTTCATCCACGTTGCTTGAAGTCCAGTGTAAAGTTTCCACAGTCAGTGATGGTTTGGGGTGCCATGTCATCTGCTGGTGTTGGTCCATTGTGTTTTCTGAGGTCCAGGGTCAACGCAGCCACATACCAGGAAGTTTTAGAGCACTTCATGCTTCCTGCAGCTGACCAACTTTTTGGAGATGCAGATTTCATTTTCCAACAGGACTTGGCACCTGCACACAGTGCCAAAGCTACCAGTACCTGGTTGAAGGACCATGGTATCCCTGTTCTTAATTGGCCAGCAAACTCTCCTGACCTTAACCCCATAGAAAATCTATGGGGTATTGTGAAGAAGAAGATGCAATACACCAGACCCAACAATTCAGAAGAGCTAAAAGCCACTATTAGAGCAGCCTGGGCTATCATAACACCTGAGCAGTGCCACAGACTGATCGACTCCATGCCACGCCGCATTGCTGCAGTAATACAGGCCAAAGGAGGCCCAACTAAATACTGAGTGCTGTACATGCTCATACTTTTCATGTTCATACTTTTCAGTTGGCCAACATTTCTATAAATCCTTTGTTTTTATTGGTCTTCAGTAATATTCTAATTTTCTGATATGATGAATTTGAGATTTTCATTTGTTGTCATTTGTAATCATCAAAATTAAACAAAATAAACATCTGAAATATATGAGTTTGTATGTAATGTATTAATATAATATACAAGTTTCACTTTTTAAATGGAATTACTGAAATCAATCTACTTTTTCATGATATTCTAATTTTATGACCAGCACCTGTAAGTGCGTTGTAAAATACTTTAGAATATTGTTTTTATACTCAGAACACACAAATATACTGTAACAAACTATTTTTGCCACAAAACAATGTACACAGTGTACATCCCAACCGACACAAAGTTGCACATACAGTGCAGAAGATTTTACTGTATACAGTTACAGTAATAATAAAAAAAAAAAAACAAAATAAACTATGCTGCATCCTCTCTTCTGTTTCGGTCTGGCCACAGCACCTCATCTACATCACAAGCAATGTTTTCCCTGGCCAAGCAGCGGGGGAAATATCGCCTAGCATGGCGAATCCAGCCATGAAAAGCATCAACTGCTATATCTCCACATGCGTCTTCCATAGCTTGGAAAAGGGGTATACGCGTTTCTGAATTTAGGTCGTACACTTTCCATCTCCAGGCAGAAAAAAATTCCTCAATAGGATTGAGGAATGGAGAATATGGAGGGAGATAAACAACTGAAAAGCGTGGGGGGTCAGTGAACCAGAGCAGCCCGGTGGAAGCTTACGTTGTCCCAAATGACAACGTACCTGAGCTGCTCTGGGCCGTCTATCTGATCTGGTGGAATGAGTGTGTTGTGTAGGGTGTCCAGGAATGTGATCAGATGGGCAGTGTTGTAGGGGCCAAGGGTAGCATGGTGATGGATGATGCCATGGTGGGTCATCGCTGCACACATTGTGATGTTCCCTCCGTGCTGGCCAGGGACTTCAACAATGGCACGCTGGCCGATTATATTCCTTCCCCTCCTTCGTCTTTTTGTGAGGTTGAATCCAACCTCATCAATGAAGAAGAACTGGTGCTCCACTGCATCCACCTCCAGCTCAAGGACTCTCTGAAACACACATGACAATATCAGAAGTAGACATGGAGCGGTCACTATTGTGAAGCACAATCATTATGATTACAATATAATAGAAAGAAATATGTATGATTTATACAATGTTGACAGTATGCATCAAGGGTGGGAATGTATAGGACGTACTTGCACATAGTTATATCGCAATTCTTTGACTCTTTCTGAATTGCGCTCAAATGGCACCCTGTAGACCTGCTTCATCCTCAGTTTATTTCTGTGCAAGACACGGTCCAGCGTTGATAAACTTACCCTATCAATATTTTGAAATATCTCATTGTTTTCTATTGTTTTTCTTTATATTTGTCGTAAGGTAATGGCGTTATTTTCAAGAACCATGTTCATGATCTCTCTTTCCTGTTCAGGAGACAGAAGACGGCCCCGTCCACCTCTTGTTGGTAATCTTTCAGTTCTGCAATACAAAGAGTGCAATACTGTAAATACTGTGTAGGACTACATTTCCCAAATACTCGAAACACAATGTCCTACAGAACAGTCCACAGGTAATACTGTACTACTGTACTCATTGAGTACTGTATTGATATGCAGTACTGCAGTTTTGTAGTGAGAGTAGACATGGTCAACCAAAGTGGCTCGGATCTCATCAGAAATGATTGTCCTTGGCCTTCCTCGTCCTCGTCCTCCCCATCATCCTCCTCTTACTCTCACTCCTCTGGCTCTGGCTCTGGCTCTGCCTCTGTTTACAACATTGGCCTCCATTGCTCCAAAACAGAAGAGCTCACCTGTTGCCCTTTTATGCTAAAGCTCTGATTGCTGAGTGGAAACATGTGTGTTAGGTGTTTGCCCATGTGAGGAGTCAGTGTGCATAGTAGGGAAATTAACTTTAGAGTTTTGAATAACAGTGTGTTCCTTGTGAAAACAAAAGATTTTCTTTATGACAATTGTGTGTAGAGTTTTGGAAAAAGTGTGTTTTAGAACTGCAATTTGAGTGTAAAGCAGGAATTGTGCTTGTAGTTTAGCAGAATTGGTTCAGGGGGTTGGTGCATGAGTTACATTTTGTGGTCATTGTGTTTCAAGTACCAATATTTGTGTGTAAACAATCAAGAAAAACTGTAAGATACACAATTCTGAGATTAAAGTCAGAATTCTGACTTCTTTCCCCATATAAAACTGAAATAACATTTAAAAATCAGTTAACTTTTTTTGGTTTCAGTGGACCTAATCCATCTTCCGTGGTATGTTCTTTCCGTAGTATGTTCTTACACTTTTGTGAAGATATTTAATACTGGCAATTAAATATATCATTAATTCAAATGTTTTACTTGTTTCTAACAATTCCATTGTTACATACATGTTGCCACAGTCTTTCTTTGTTTTGTTGTTAATAAACTCCGCTGTGCATTTTTATGGAAAATCCTTCTTTCCACATACAGATTTTAGATATTCCTCATGAAGCACAACCTGACTCCCCTCCCATGGAGCTGGAGGCCACATCTGAACCCCCTGGTGCCCATGAGCCGTTCAGGCTGAGGATTGCACTTCGCCCTGCTCCTTCTCTCCAGCTAGAGTATGAAGATGCAGAGGAGGAGAGTGATATAACGTCAAAGAGGGGAGTAAAGAGGCCTAGAGAGCCCAAAAAAAAGAAGAAGGGCAGACGCGTGAAATTTGAGGATAAGGAGACCGCTGTGAGTCAACCGTGTGGGGCTGAGGAGCATGGATCAGGATCTGCAAGCGATGAGTCGGACAATTTCCTGGCCAAGAGAGAGAAGAACATCAAGGCCAACAAAGCAATGGTAACAACAGAAACTTGTATGTTCCACAAGTTGCAAGCAGAGGTTTAATAATATGTGTGATGTGGGTGTCCAGGTAAATGTGGGATATATAAAAAAACAAAAAACAAAAAAAAAAACAAAAAACATTTAATTAGACATTTGTAAATATTTTTTCCTTAACAACACATCAATGTGTATCTAAACTCAACTAAAGCTTGGAATAAAAACACCTTAAAACTCAGTGTTTTTTCAAGATGCTTGAGTAATCTGCACTAATTATTTTATTCAAATTATATAATTATTTTTTACTTGTAATATTATTCTTATCTTGAATTAGAGTACTGTGAATTATCTCAGCATTATGAACGTCATTATGGAGCAGAAACACACATGGATGATGCTAGTCAAACCGGGACTACGGCCTTCCTAAAAAGAGCTCGGCAAAACTACACAAATGTAGCAGATAGCTTAAGCTCTACATGATAAAAACCAAAACATATGGAGATGGATACATTTGAATGTGTCACACATGGCACATGTGAAGAAATATTATGTTGCCTATATGCTTTGCCATGCAAAGGATTGTGGGGAATTGTATAGTTCCTAAATGCTAATAAAGATATTGTCATCTAGAGGTCCTAATGCTAAACAAACTACTTAGTGCTATGATTTAGGTTAGTATGTCTATACATAAGGTTTTCATTTATGAGCCAGTTGCGTTATAGTCAACAACATACTTCTAATGCTAGTTTTAGAGTTTATAGATTAAGCACTGATGCTCATTTGTGTGTTATTTTCATCTTTATTTCCCAACAGCTAGCTCAGCTGATGGCCGATCTGCAGAAAATGACAGGAGGGGTTGGGGTTTTGAAAAAACAATCAGGCAGACAGACTACTAAAAGAAAAAGCCCCGTAAGTATGATTGAAAATCGATATCTTTTCCTCTACTATATGAAGCTGACAGAGTAAGAGCTGCCTGATTTTAGGGGGGAGGCACAACTGCATTTATTGCACTGTGTGACTGTTGATTTATTTCTAATTTAAAGTGTGCACCTCACCGTGCTCTGATTGACGGGGAATCCAGGAGGAATCCAGAGCGGGCTTCTCGCAGACAGACCCGCTCTATGGGGGGAATCGAGGACCCTCCAGCTCAGCAGCAGGCAGACGTGGAGCTTACCTTGGAGGAGGAACTGCTGGAGGTCAGTTAACAAATTAATTAACAATAAGACAATGTCTGTTTTTACACCTCATGCAGCTTCTGATATGATTAGGAATGGTAATAAATTCTAAGAGTTATGTGGGCTCTTATTTTAGCATTCAATGCAAGTAATCCAAAACTTGCAAAACTTGTTTCAAGGTGCATCGAGCTCCTCGCTGTCGTGGCACTCCACGACCCAATCAGAGCAAACCTCATATAATCCGTCCAGTAGAAGACATCACTACAGAGGAGCTGGAGTTGGTGGCTGACAATATGACTGACAAGGTGTACAACAGTGTCACAGTAAGTTAACTGGTAAAATTCATATTAATAAGGGTACAAAATGGATTTCTTCAATAATCCTTTACACCGCTTCTCCTGCCAAGTTCTCTAACATTGTGCTACTGTAATTAATCAACTAAATTAATTTATTAAACATATGTTGGTAAAAGGATGCCTGTGTTTTCTTCCTGGAACTTTTAACTAACATTTTTTTTTAAATGGTCTCAGTTTAAGAAAATTATTGTTTCCTAGACTTGTTCATAATAAAACGAACTAGAGCAAGAGTATCTGTATATGAATAAGAAACTGTTGCACTTATTAGTGCAACAAAACATTTAGTTCTAAAACTGGTGAATGTCTCAAAAATACCGCTGGACTACAGTTTGCAGCAATTGCTCTTACAGTTTTACTAATTTTAGCACGAAGTAGCTCTTTTTCCTCTTAAAGCTGCAGGATTTATTCCTCAGTGGTCAAACAAATCCTGGGGCTTTGTGTGCCTTCGGTTGGGCCACGAGCCATTATCTGAATCAACTAAAGAAAAACTGACTTACACCTTCAGTCCAGCAGGTGGCGGTAATAAAAACACTTAACTGGTTTTACTTTTTGTTTTTTTTCATCGCACTAATCATAAAAGGAGATGACCGGCCTTGGCATTCTACAGTAATTTTTTTTTTTTGTCTATTAAATTGCCCTGGATCCAAATCAGGATCAGTTTAAAATATAATGATTTATTAGACTTTTTTTTTTTTTTTTTTACTAATCTGCATGCAGCCAATTTTTTTTTTTATATTTCAATTGAAATCAGTATATTTATATAGCACCAATTCACATCATATGTCATCTCCAGGCACTTTACAGAGACCATTAAATTTAGTCATAACTTAACAGTCATATCAGATATCTGTAGCACTAACAGATTCTCATCAAAATAATTTTTATCAATACAGGTGCTGGTCATAAAATTAGAATATCATGAAAAAGTAGATTGATTTCAGTAATTCCATTTAAAAAGTGAAACTTGTATATTATATTCATACATTACATACAAACTCATATATTTCAGATGTTTATTTTGTTTAATTTTGATGATTACAAATGACAACAAATGAAAATCTCAAATTCATCATATCAGAAAATTAGAATATTACTGAAGACCAATAAAAACAAAGGATTTATAGAAATGTTGGCCAACTGAAAAGTATGAACATGAAAAGTATGAGCATGTACAGCACTCAGTATTTAGTTGGGCCTCCTTTGGCCTGTATTACTGCAGCAATGCGGCGTGGCATGGAGTCGATCAGTCTGTGGCACTGCTCAGGTGTTATGATAGCCCAGGTTGCTCTAATAGTGGCTTTTAGCTCTTCTGAATTGTTGGGTCTGGTGTATTGCATCTTCTTCTTCACAATACCCCATAGATTTTCTATGGGGTTAAGGTCAGGAGAGTTTGCTGGCCAATTAAGAACAGGGATACCATGGTCCTTCAACCAGGTACTGGTAGCTTTGGCACTGTGTGCAGGTGCCAAGTCCTGTTGGAAAATGAAATCTGCATCTCCAAAAAGTTGGTCAGCTGCAGGAAGCATGAAGTGCTCTAAAACTTCCTGGTATGTGGCTGCGTTGACCCTGGACCTCAGAAAACACAATGGACCAACACCAGCAGATGACATGGCACCCCAAACCATCACTGACTGTGGAAACTTTACACTGGACTTCAAGCAACGTGGATGAAGTGCCTCTCTTCTTTTCCTCCAGACTCTGGGACCTTGATTTCCAAAGGAAATGCAAAATTTACTTTCATCAGAGAACATGACTTTGGACCACTCACCAGCAGTCCAGTCCTGTTTCTCTTTAGCCCAGGCAAGACGCTTCTGACGCTGTCTGTGGTTCAAGAGTGGCTTGACACAAGGAATGCGACAGCAGAAACCCATGTCTTTCATACGTCTGTGTGTGGTGGTTCTTGAAGCACTCACTCCAGCTGCAGTCCACTCTTTGTGAATCTCCCCCACATTTTTGAATGGGTTTTGTTTCACAATCCTCTCCAGGGTGCGGTTATCTCTCTTGCTTGTACACTTTTTTCGACCACATCTTTTCCTTCCCTTCGCCTCTCTATTAATGTGCTTGGACACTGAGCTCTGTGAACAGCCAGCCTCTTTAGCGATTACCTTTTGTGTCTTGCCCTCCTTGTGCAAGGTGTCGATGGTCGTCTTTTGGACAACTGTCAAGTCAGCAGTCTTCCCCATGATTGTGTAGCCTATAGAACTAGACTGAAAGACCATTTAAAGGCTTTTGCAGGTGGTTTGAGTTAATTAGCTGATTAGAGTGTGGCACCAGGGGCCATCAATTTTGAACCTTTTCACAATATTCTAATTTTCTGATATGATGAATTTGAGATTTTCATTTGTTGTCATTTGTAATCATCAAAATTAAACAAAATAAACATCTGAAATATATGAGTTTGTATGTAATGTATGAATATAATATACAAGTTTCACTTTTTAAATGGAATTACTGAAATCAATCTACTTTTTCATGATATTCTAATTTTATGACCAGCACCTGTAGTACAAAAAACCCAACATATCGTCAGTAGGTATGGGAAATTGATAGTTTGAATGTCCAACTATAAACGTATAGTTATAAGTAACACGCAAATGAAAACAGGCTCTTGATTTAGTGAAAACCAAATGTGCCATGGTATGATGCTGGAAAACGTATGAAAACATCTATTTATATTTTGCTATGAATTTATATCATGTTTTACTAAAATTAGAGACAAGAAATGTTTTTATGTTCTGGTTTATGGTACCTGCCTGTGTTTTCTATTAAATATCTATTTTATATATATATATATATATATATATTTTTTTTTTTTCAGGATGAATACATTTTACAGTTACTTTGCTCACACCTGTCTGGGATCCAGATCACCTCTGCAATGAGGAGCAGCCATTTTGCTTCTAGCCACATCTAATCATTATCAATGTTTTAATGTATCCTGTTTTTTTTTGTTTTTTTTGTCTTGTCAGGGTTCCACTTGTCATCAGTGCCGCCAGAAAACCGTGGACACAAAGACGTGCTGCCGCAGCGAGAGCTGTCGGGGGATTCAGGGTCAGTTCTGCGGACCATGCCTGAGGAACAGATATGGCGAGGATGTCAAGAAGGCACTGCTTGATCCGGTCAGTGCTATCCACCCGCTGCACACTGCGATTCACATAAAACAGCTTGTTCTGATGATCAGTTATATTCTTTCAAATAAAATAGGATACTGTAACAAACTCTTGTTTAAACTTTTATGAATTTAGTTTCAAAGAAGCAAACTTTACTTTGAAAGACCTTGAATTAATAAAGTATTTTATTATCAGTTAAATTTGACCTTTTGGATCAAATTCTTTACGGTAATAAATTAAAACTTGTACTGTTTTCTCAAGTTCTTTTTGAATATACAGAAGTTTTAACAATAACTGTGTTTAAGCTACAAGCCCAGCAAAAATGTTTTTTATTTTTTTAGGTTAGAACTGTAAAAATTTTCATTTGTTTTTCTCTGTTTTGACTGTCTGGAATACTTTTGGGTCACTATTGTGGCATCAAGTCTATCCTAAGAATAAGGTCATGGACTGCTGCCCAGAAAAGGGTTGTTCCCACTGTTCCACACCCTTAAATCCCAAATTACCCACAAACCACAATTCTTTGTGGCTGCACATAAGGAGGTTTTACCAAATGTGTTCATTTTGCTCTATACTACATCATGTATCTCTGAACTATTTGCAGTAGTGCACCTTTGCATCTGAAGATTAAGGTTTTTCCTGCTTTTTGGATACGTTTTTCTACCACACTGCTGTCTGTTTCCTTGGTTCCTTTGCAGTGTGTTATAGGAAAGGGAAAAAGAGCTATAGGATATACTTTGACAATTTATCGTTTCCTGTGTTATCAACAGGATAAAACAAACTATTTACTTGCACTGAGCGGTGGCTAAAAGTGAATAGGTGTTAGAATCAGTTTGGGATCAGTCTACACTGTACCAGCAGGGACATGAACCAGCACAACCTCTGTTTTTCAAAAAAAGACAAACTAAATTTTTCTAGTCCTGCCTCACTAATAAACATCCCTTCTTTCCAAACTAAAGGTATAAAGAACCATCTTCTTTCAGCTTCAAGGTTCCCAAAAAATAATCTCATCTACTGGCCTGTTCTTGCCGTGCATGCACACCTCTAATGTTTTAATATCCATTAAGCTTTGGTTTTTGCTACTTCCAGCTCTCACTGTAGACTTGGAATTTTGCATTTATTAAAAACAAAATAATTACCTAAATTTGCAGATAAATTGTTCACTATACTGTTATACTAATATGTTAAATCATTATTTATTTCTACTTAGACTCCTAGATGACTTGCAGATGCATAAGTTTGTCTTCCGTTAAGCACACAAACTAGCTTATTGTTAATGTACAAACAATTCAATTATGAAATTAGTTGCAAGATTACAATTTTTTAGAGGCCAACTGCTTATGAATTACATCCCATTGGGATGTAATTCATAAGCATGGGGTGGCCAATGATTGGCTATGCGTGGGCGTGGCAGAACGATTTCTTTAGTGGTCTGAAAGTTGGGTTTGGTTTAGGAGTCAATAACCCCAAATTTAGAATAAAGTTAAGTGTAAAAATAACGTTCCTTACTCTTCAGTTTAGCTCTGAGACTAGTATCACCTCTGCTGGTTCGTCTCCTACACATAGATAAAACCCATCTCTGCATTCTCATTTTTCTAAATTTGATTTCACTCCAAGTAAAAAATGAGGCCAGTAACCTACCATAGAGTCAAATTAAAAATGTTACTTATTGTTCCCCCTATTAAAGCTTTATGGTGTCTCCTCAGGACTGGAAGTGCCCCCCATGCCGAGGTATTTGCAACTGCAGCTTCTGCCGTCAGCGTGAGGGCCGTTGTCCTACAGGGATCTTATTTCCTCTGGCTCAGTACCACGGGTTCTCTAATGTTCACTCCTACCTCAGCAGGTAAGGTGCACTCATGCCTTTGTAAGCTGATTCTGATATTAAGCAATTTGAATGAATCAGTGTTTTTTTTTTGTCCTTGCAGTCTGCATGAAAAACTGGAGGTTGAGGAGAAAACCGAGATGTGATTTCAATTTGTTTTACCCGTTACCTTTTTTAAATAAATGTTTTTTACATTTTTGCTTTCCTTTGTGGTTGTGAAAAAAGCTAAAGACGTGTTTGCAAATGAGAAAGATGTCCTTTTAATCCAGCGTTTGGCATTTGCAGTAGTTGTATAAACATGTTATAAAATCCCTTATTTAAAACTGGGGAAAGGAGGTAAGAGCACTTGTTATCCAATGATCTGATGTTTAAAACATACATTGCACAGGTTACAATTGTTTCACGAAGCATAATTACAAAGAAAAAAAAAGTTATCCAAATACATTCCGACAATGCGTTTTGGAACTTGTTTGGACATATACAGAAAGTTCATACATGATTTGCCTAAAGCTGGACATTTTTTCCAGTTATTTTGGCATTTGCCTCACTAAGCAAGTACTCTTCAGAAAGCTTATGGACCAAACACGGATTTTAAAGTAGTTTCAATTAGGAGTATAAACCTTTGGTCTGGAGCTTGTATATGCAGTATTTCTGAACATCATTGCCAGAATAATTCTGACAATTTAATAAATCAAAAACTATAACCCAAAGGTGGAAAAAGGATCACTGACATGACGGGGAGAAAGGCCCAATATGGAAAAAAAAAAAAAAAAAAGACTGGAAGTTCTGGATCTTATATGAAAAGCTTTGAAGTTTACAAATTTCATCTACATATATATATATATATAAAAATAAGATTAAGATTGATTGTGCATAAGATGTACAGACAAAGGCAACCACTTATGTTATATATATATATATTCCTGCTTGTGCTAAGAATGTCTGTACTATTTACCAAAAAGGAGAAAAAGTATATACATAGAAAAGATGCCTCACCGTTCTGACATTAGAGCATAATGGCTTGAGAGTTCTCACTAAGGAGGTTAAAGAGTTTTCTCAGGATTTCAGTCATCTGACACAAATATCCTCAAACAAATTTGTGCTTCTGTCTTGAACTCTATAAAACTATTTGATTTGAAAAAAATCGATGAGGATATTTCATTTTGAGGCTTGTTGGTCTGAGGGACATGAAACGCAGCTGGTGGGAAACAGTAAAGAGTCTGACTTGATATCTCTTCCTAGACTGAACTTGTGCTGACCTGTCTTTCACTGCAGCAGGGGTAAGGCTCTATCTGTGGGGTCAGACATTAGTGTAATGCCATTTCCTTTCTGAGGAAATAGGATTTCACAGTGATTTCTCATTTAAGATTCTTTCCTCAGTTGTCCATCCCTGAACCCTAAACACCACAGGCATCTACATACAAGACTGAAATAAAAAGTTCTGCCTCAGTTCTAAAAATTAGCATTGGAGAACTCCTCTCCAGACCAACATCTCCTAGAAGTTGCATTTCTGCTGAAACATAACCCATTCAACCCCCCCACACACTGTCCAACTTTATCCTCCAGCATCTTTCTCCACTTTCTTTAATAGCTATTTCCATTGAGCTGGTGAAGGTCCACCTGCATCATGCTGATGCCACTGCTGGCTAACCTAGCAAGGCTTTCCGCAGATAGGGTTTCCATGGTAACAATGGTGTGCTGGTCATTGTTTGAGCCGGCTCCTCCGCTCGTTTCCGTTCCTGCCGATGGAGAGGCGTCGTCGGCCGGCACGGAGATGCTGTTGCTGCTAACGGGTGCCTTCTTGTTCGAGTGGGTCTTGATGTGCTTGGAAAGGTGGTCACTGCGCATGAAGCGTTTGGGACACTCAGGGCATGCAAATTTTTTCTCCCCTTTAAAAAGAAACATGATTTTATTAGAATACTTTGTTCAAATAAAATACAGAATGTATCTGCATTCAAACACAGCTTGGAAATTGGAAAAACCCATACCTGTATGAGTCCTCTTATGGCGCTGAAGCTCATCTGAACGTGTGAATCGTTTGCCACAGAAAGACCAGTTGCAGACGAAGGGACGCTCCCCTGTGTGCCAACGAAGATGGGCTCTAAGGTGGGAGGTCTTGCCATAAATCTTCCCACAGCCGCTAATGTGACAGATGTGCTGCTTCTTCTTATTTGGGTCCCTGGATGAAACCACAATAAAAGATTTTAGTTGATACCTTTACTAGAGGTTTCGCTTAACTGTGTTACAGAAAACAGGCTGCATTAACAAACAGCTTTCTATCATGATCTTTATCCTGAGAAAAAATGAGACTGAACTGAATAACCATCTGCATAAAATCTAGCAAAATCATAGACAGCTGATAACACAAGATAATAGATTAGGTTTTTGGCAATGTATATAGTTTTAAAGGTCACAACCAATTTAATTCTTATAGTTGCAATCTTTGTTTACAAAGTAGAAAAATAAATCTGTCATCAAGCTCTAAAAAGTTTAATCCTTAAAAAGAAATATAACTATGCATGTGTTAAGTGAATATGCTTTAATAAGTGGTGGACTCTGTATTCTAGAAACCATTAAAAGTCTAGAAATAATCTTAATATGTTTGTGGGAACAAAAACCTCCAAATTCGTTCCAGTGGGCCAATAAGACTAGCTGTTCACAGGCTGTTGACCTTTCCTGAATCTATATATATTATGTCCAGGTTGGCCACTAGATGTCGCCAAATACAGCAGGCTGATCATATGGGGAAATCTAGGGTTGTGAATTAATTTTTTTTTTTTTTTTATCTTACTAAATTCTAAGTTACACAAAACAATCAGAATAAACTAAAAGAAGAATCCTCCTTTAAAACATATCACTGCCCTATGAACCCATTCAGACAGCAGTTATAGCTGCTGTAGTGACATACCGCGGCTCTCCATCTTTGCACATGGGGCAGGTACAGGCTTCTCTCCGATTTCGGCGTCCCTGAGGTTGTGGGCTCAAATCCTCGTCTTCCATGACTGCATTGTCATCCAAACCTTCACCTGTCTGCAATACCTGGTCTCCTGTATGGACGCATAAGAAATTATTCAAGTAAAGGTTTAGGACCAAAATCCATTAAAACAATAATTATTAGTCTTAAATTCCTCAAGTATTTTACTAAATATTCAGCTATTTAAAAAATTTACAACCCATCCCTGTTTTGACCTGAATTTTACAAGCTATTAGTAGGTATAACTCATATCTGATATCCAGCAGTCATTCCCTAACATCTTTTTGAGTCTCTCATTCATTATTCCCTTAACTTAAAAAAAAATGTATCTGCTTGTATGTCAACAGGAGCCATTTTCTAAGCTAAATCAACTAGATACTGGAAAACTTAAAACCCAATGGTGGTAAAAATGAACTCATGTTCTAACAGTGCAGTTGAGCCCAAACCACGACTAGTGTGTAAATGGAAACGGACGTTATGCCAACAGCCACAGTGTGGTTTAGTTTCAGGTAACAACCAATGGCTAAACCTGTCCAACCAGATTTGATCATGAAATCAGGAAATGCAGAGGCTGTTTTCATAACATTTCTGAGTTGTTTTTCTTAGATTACAATGTATAAATATGTTAACTTGGAAAAGGACATTATCTGAAAGAAAATAGTTGTAAAGGAACTTCTGTAACTCAAACCGTTGATATTGACTAACCTGTTGTGCTGGTGATGGGGATTGAAACTCCCTGCAGCTGATGCATCTGCAGCCCGGTGCTCCCAAGTGTGTTTAGATTGATGGTTTGGAGGCTTGGGATCTGCACTGTGTTGACAGCAGCCGCCTGACCCTGGCCTAGCTGAGGCAGAGACTGCACTGGGGCCAGTGTTATCTGTGTCCCCGTCGGACTCTGGATCTGAATGGTTTGCCAGCTCACCTGCCCATTGGGGCCCACAGTGCGCAAGAGGATGGGGCCCGTGTTTGGCATGATTTGTAAATTCTGAAGCCCTTCTTGAGTGAGTGTTGGAGCTGCAAACACAGCCTGACCGCCTGCAGTGCTGGCCTGGATGGTCTGCAGAGCTGTTCCACCCTGGATGAGCTGCTGAGGCTGGATTAGAATTTGTTGAGGCTGCTGTCCGTCTCTGTTGTCTGTCTGAATCGGGATGTTCTGCTGAAACGTGCCCGTCACTGACCCGTTACTCTTCTGTGTCTGGGTGACGCCGTACGAGGACGAGGTCTGTGTTGTGGCGGTTGATGCGGTGCTCATGTAACTCCCCCCACTGTTAGAGGATGCTGGCTGCTGCGATTGCTGTTGTTGTCCAAGCTGATTGCCTCCAGAATCCGCGCCACCATTAGCATCTCCACCTGCTGCGCCAGTACTAACAGGCAACAATGTGATGTTTCCATTCAGGGACAATGGCATATTTGCCAGAAACTGTGGCTGGTTTTGCAAAACACTGTTGCCTAAGCTGATATTTTGTATGGGGATTGCTCCCTGAAGGACGCTGGGCATGGTTATGATGTTTCCTGCTGCACCGGCTCTGTTGGTTGCAGCTATGATCTGCTGGCCGTTGGGAGAGGACACGATCTGAAACTGCTGTCCTTGTGCTGCTGCAGCAGATGCAGCGGGGTCCTGCTGAGCATGTGCAAAATGTAGCTGCTGGCCATCTACTGTCTGAAACTGGGGTATAACCTGGTACTGTATATTAGGCATCACACCTGAGATAGTGGTAAGCAACTGTTGACCTGGCATTGATGGAGCCTGAGCTACTACATACTGCTGTTGCTGCTGACCCTGAGTATTTGCAGCTGCTGATGATGTTGACAGCACCTGCCTGCTCTTGCAATTATCCCCCCCTGACGAATCAGTGGTGATGGTGTTGGAGGCTGAAGATGAGTGGACATTGAGAGGAACGACCTGCCAACCGTTGGCAGTGGAGGTGAAGACACCCTGGTTTATCTCCAGCTGCTGCTGATTCTGTTGTTGCTCAGCTGAGGAGTCGTTCTCTCCAGGGGTGTCAATTCGACTACACGTGGCGGCCAACAATGCCAGAGGAGATGGCTGCTGCGAGTCCTGGGAGTAAAATAAAGAAATGATACTATGATTAAACAGAAACATACACTACTATTCAAAAATTCTGGATCGCTTAAAAAAACAAAAACAGTAATACGATTAATTCGACGGAAGAGCACGTTAGGGTTGGAAATTAAGATGCTGTTAGAAATCAGAAATGCTCTCTTAAAATGTTGCTTATAGGAAAAAAACAAAAACAAAAATCTGATTAAATAGCAGATGCAAAACCTTGGCAATTCAAGTTGTCAGCCTTTTAGGCTAAACAGATGACATCTCACTCCATACCTCCAGATGAATCTTCGGCATAGCATATGCATGGCATAGGTGAAAACCATTCCTTATAGTCCGAACAGATGATCAACAACTTCAGGAAGGTTGATCTTGCCATGGCATACCCAAAGTTGGTCCTCCTCAAGGACCGCTGCCCTGCTGGTTTTAGAGGTCTCCTCGCTCCAGCACAGTTGTTTTTAATTGAAAGCTGATTAACAGGCTTTTTCTCAATTGCAATCATCATAACCCACTGTGGTGAAGCAGGGAAACATTTAAGACCTGCAGGACAGCGGCCCTGGAGGACCGACTCTGGGTCAATAAAAATGTACATTTTCACCCCAGACAATAAAGCTACATCTACCATGCTTGTTCTGTAACATTCTGGTGTTTGGTGCTTCTCTATTGCCTTTTTTAATTGACCAGTGTTAAATACAGCCTAATCAATGTATTTTTACCATGAAAACCAGCGGTAATATTTTCTACGTTAATGCAGGAAAGGGTGTTTTGTGGTTACCAAATAGTGCACATATCAAGTCAGAGACTGTGAGGTGGCTTTTTTCTTTAACTATACCATCCTGGATAATATTCATTCCTACACAGCTGCAAGGATGCATCCCTTTCTTGAACAAAAGCAGTAGGCAGGATTTAACTGTCTCTGAATGAAATAAATTATTTGAGGTTGGCATTATGCAAGCAATCCCAGATTTAGCTAAATAAATATGCAGAAGCATAAAACATACACTTTATTAATGTAACAAGTATTTCACATGTTCTGGTGAAGGTAGTATTGGTAAAAATAGGGTGATCTGTTTTTAAACAAATCACTTGGTGAGGGGATTTCAGATTACCACCATAATGACAGGTTTTGTGTGGGAATTGATGCATTATTATGATTTCTACGTTACAATGCAGTCATTCTGATGGAGTTCTTCAGAGTGAAAACATGGGGGGCTGAGTTTGGGAGGGACCACATTTCTTTTAGGAGCGGCGGCGGGCTCAGCTTCCCCTCCCCCCAAACCCACCCATCGCCCTCCCACACTTTATCCTGCCCTATAAACTAGCACACTCCCAAAGCCACCCCCTCCGAGGCCAGCCAAATGGGCCGAACGAAACGCACAAGAAGTGCCCGGGGAAGACGGGAACACCCCGTGTGGGCGAACTCTACCTGCCCATTCCCCACCCCGGTGACATGTGCTCCGGGGAGGAAAATCAACATCCCAGACACACACGGGTCAACAGAAATCACGCCGACAATACACACAAAACATCAATGTTACAATGGAGCCGGTTTGTGTGACAGGTTAACCTACTTGTGAATTTGTGTTTCGCTTTTGACTGAATCCTCCTCCACTCTCCACAGCGGCCATTTCACCCTGCTGCTGATCTGCGGAAGAAGAGTTGGAAGATCGCCGACTTCTTAAGCAACAAAGACACTCACTAACATTTCCTCACAAAGTATAAACTCACCCACATACAAACGCTTTACTAAGTGTTGTAAATGTGAAGAAATTAAACCAATAAAATCGACGTCAGTGTCTGTTGACCGCAGGCTAGCTGATTAGCTTAGTAATGTGTTGAAAACTCGCTAAGCATTAGCTAAAGTCACCGATACAGCTTCAGTTGCTCAGGAAAAAATACAATAAGTTGTTTGAATCAAAATAAAAGCGTTAAATTAATACATGAAAAGCACATCGCACAGAAAATTACCTTCTTTATATAAATGTTTATTATCAAACAAGTCGCGTTTGACTATAGTTTCGTACTTCTAAACTGCTTCTTACGTCCGATCGATAACGAAACGGTGTCGTGTTAAATCTGAATTAAATATGGCAAACTGACCTTACTTCATACTGTTAACATAAAACTAGCCTCCTATATAGGTCCCCGAGTTTTTAAAAGTTCACTTACTGCTCATAATTTGAAGACGGGAGGAGTTTCTTAGCTCTTTTTTCGGCTTGAGAACTTTTCACAACTTCACACTAACTTAACGTCTCCCTCCCCTCTCTTGGAAGGAGGAACAAAGGTGCGTTCGATTTAAGTACCGGTGTAGTCCGTTAGAAGAAAAAACTTAAATCAATTCAAAACATTACACCTACAAAAATCATGTATTATGTGTGATATAGACTTCAACAGATTTGTCAACTTGTGTAAAACAAAACAAACAAAAAAAAATCGTTTAAAAACAGCTCTCTGGACAATTTCATTTTTTTGAGTGCAAAATAGTAATATATATAAAACAGTAATATAAACATATGGCTGTAAATTTACAGTTCTAATATTTTCTGTTATTTATTTATTTTTTTTAAACAACGTTTAAGTAAGGGTTTTAATTTCAAGAGCCAAACTTTAATGGGACAGTGATATCATTAAAAGCACTTAAATTAATCCATAAAAAAAAAAAAATACATAATGCATTCATCTGCTAAAATCAAATAGCATTTCACACTCCTACTTATTGTATTAAGAGGCCATATGGATAAATGGGAAAACAGTGGTGGGACCTCTGAGGAATAGCTAGCAGATCACATTCCATAAGATATGTTATAAGCACTAAATGCAGATATTAGGCATACTATCAATAATGCATTTATGTTTTTTTATGTGAGATATGCAGCCGTTTTGCTTTTCGTGAAGCTGTAAATCAGATTAACTTAAACAGCTCTACTTAATTTGTATTTTAAATTTACTTTCGCGCTCTCACTAATTTTAAAACAAGCGCACCTCGCTATGACGTCCTTTGAAATGACAGCTTCTCTATCCAATTACTGTAAATGGTACCGCCTATAAAACCCAACCAGCCACGAGATTTAGAGAAAAGCTGTTAAATGGGCGTGGACAAAAGTTAGGTTGCGCTCCTGAACATGATTGACGTTTGGTTATCTGTTTTTCGCATAAAAAGCGTCTGCGAAAAACAGATAACCAAACGTCAATGACGCTTAGTAAATACAGATAACTTCCATTTATGATGAAAGTCGATCTTATGAAACAATAAAGTATTTTCTGCAGGGGTTCATCTGCAGCCTTGAACAAGGAGGAGGGGAGAAAGGAGGGCGGATTGGGGGTTTGAGTCTTGCCTCCGTGGCTGCTGGCCACTCCCTGGCTGAGGCCGGTTGCTCGGCTGGCGGGAGGAGCTGAAACGCCATCATCATCCTCACACACACACACACTGCCTGCAACCGCGCTGGGAGTGGAAAGTTGTCCTGTGGTGGGAGGGCTTTTATCACAGTAAGGGGGCTGTCAATGAAGCAGCACATGTGCCCATGTAAACACCACAGAGGGTGGAGTGAATCCAAAATAGACCCACCCCAGTCTGAAATCACTTAGCGGCACTAAAAATGGTTTCATATCCCAGCAGCTCTCTTAATCATCATTCTAACACATTTCCTCATGCCATTAACTCATCTGACATAGAAAAAGTATTTCAAACATTGTAGAGAAAAATTAGAAAGTAGGTCTCATAGACATGTAGTATAAAACAATAGATACAGATCAATTGATGCTTGACAAGTTTGTTCAAACACTTTATTCAATGATCTTTACAAACAAGGACTATAAAATTATATAAAAAAATAAATGGTGGTGTCAAAAGTACACACATTTTTTACTTAAGTAGAAGTATAGATACTGCAGTTTAAAAACACTCTGGTAAAAGTTGAAGTATCAACTTGACCTCTTTACTCAAGTAAAAGTGAAAAGGTACGTGCTCCAAAAACTACTTAAAGTATAAAGTAAACTTTAAAAAACAGCCAGATGCCGCTATATGAATTGAAAGCTCAATTTTTCGACTATTTCGAAAATTCTTTGAGATAGGATGAGGGATGAGGATGAGGGAGGTCTTGTTGGTCTCCATCTCCTGATACGCTCTCGCCTGTGTCCGACCTTTCGGCATCTTTATCTGAATCCTACATTGTAGCATGGTATAGAAACAATTCACATTTGCAGTTTGAAGAACACCTGCTTGCTTCTGATGATTTCCTTTGGTGTCAGCACAAATTATACGAATAGCTCACCAATGAGTGTTTGTGTTATATCAGGGATCCCCAACCTCGGTCCTCGATGCCCACTGTCCTGCAGGTTTTAGAGGTTTCCTTTCTCCAGCACAGCTGATTTTAATTGAAAGCTGATTAACAGGCTTTTGGGCTACTGCAATCATTATAATCAGCTGTGCTAAAGCAGGGAAACCTCTAAAACCTGCAGGACAGCGGGCCTCGAAGACCAAGGTTGGGGATGCCTGTGTTATATGACTCATCCAATTACACTAGATATGGATGGCGCCAATGATCTGCATTGGATGGCGCACATGACGTGAAATAGATATTTATAAACATTAAACCGAAGCCAAGAGTAACGAGTAATGTTAGTTTTAAAAATGTAAGGAATAGAAAGTACAGATACTTGTTTGAAAATATAATGAGTAGAAGTCAGAAGTAGGAAGAAAAATAAGTAATGGAGTAAACTATAGATACCTAAAAAGTGTACTTAAGTACAGTAACGAAGTATATGTACTTTGTTATTTGACACCTCTGATTAAGTTACAAAAAAAAACAATATGAAAGGGAGCTACAGGGTGGCACAGATTGACTTAGACTTAGACAACTTGTATTGTCATTTGTATACACAGAGTGTATATAAAACTAAATTTCATTTAGTACAGCTTTCAGTCAGTAAATGAACATTTACATTCCTTAAATTGCAGCAGTAATCAAATGTAAACAGTGTGAGAGAAAAAACAAAGTGTAACAAATGCATTGATATGGAAGTTGAGAGCATTAACATATATGATGCACATATGCAGTATTTTTGGTTATGTGTTATCAGTATGATGCGGTTAGTGATTAGTGAGGTGGCGTTTAAAGTCCAGGTGAGGGTGTCTGTGATGTTCACCCACAGGAATTTGGAGTGCTGACCACCTCTACAGCTGAGCTGTTGATGACCAGTGGAACGTGGTTAGGCCGGTTCTTCCTGAAGTCCAAGATGATCTCCTTCGTCTTCTCCCCATTCAGGACCAGGTTTTTATCTTTGCACCAGTCCACCAGCTGCTCCACCTCCTCTCTGTAGTACTGTAGCATTGTAGCACTGTTGCTTCACAGAAGGAAGGTCCTAGATTTGATTCCTGGTCTGGGGGAAGTTTGCTCTCCCCTCTGCATGGGCTCTCTCTGGGGCATTGGTGACTCTAAAATGTTCTTAGGTGTATGTTGCATGGTTGTATGATGAACTGTACAAGGGACGCCCGGATGATCCAGTGTATTTTATGGGGCCACAGAACAAAAGAATAATGCAAACAAAAAAAATAAATGCATGAAAGAAACAGGGCAAGAACGCACCATTTAGTATATTTAGTCGGCCACAAAGCTAAAGTTGCAGTCTCCTGATCTAACAGATGAAAACTGTGATCCTATCTTATGACTGAAGCTTAAAGATATGCAACTTTACAATTATTGTTGAAGTAATTTGTTAAGTTGAAATATTAAATTGTTGAGAGAATGAAACCAGTTAGTCTTTTCTATCAGTGCATGTCATCATAAGAAATTTTTGCGCTTAATTAACCAGAAGATTATGCCGATTTGCCAAAAGAATAAGTATGTTTGCTCTTCAAAATAAGATAATTAGTTATTATGCAGTTGAAATAATTTAATGGTTTTTCTATTTCAAATGTAAATCCACTTACTATGTTGGCATATATCTGAAATCAAGGAAAAAATCACTTTTTCAAGAAGAAAATTATGCATATTTGGATTTTTGCAGTGTATGTTTTCAGTGCAGGGGTCATAACAGGGACCATGACCTGTTCTACGGGGGCACTAGCGGGGTCTGTTGGCCCCTGTCTAGAACCGCCCATGCGTATGTCTCCATGTTGCCCTGCGTTGGACTGTTCCCCAACCTTTTGCCCATAGACTGTTGCCTTTTCATTTAAGAAAATGTTTAAAATATGTATTCTTTAATAGCTATTTATTACATTTGTAGTGTTAACTTCAAAATCTTATTGGTGAAGAAGGAACCTGTAAGTGACAAAGTCTCATCAAAGAAAATAAGATGTAGAGGGTAACTTTTCAGTCTTGTTATGCTGCAGAAGACAGCCTCTTTGGGGTATTCTGTCTGAACTTGATATCTGAATTTAAGTTAAGCAGAACAAATCTTGCAGTCAAAATCCCTCAGAAGGAATCATCCAAGAGACTGAGTGCAAAGAGCACTAGAATGACTTAGTAGAGGAGACTTAAAAGAGCGAGGTGGATTATGAATCCTTTTAAAGGGTGACCTTATGGATTAGCAGGTGTGCAAGGAGGCCCTAAAGAACCATGCGAGCAGATCATTTAGAGATCATGTACATCAGAAACATCCACCAAATGGACTCATGGCATTAGCCATCTATTTCTTGAAGCAAAAATCTGATCAAGTCAGATAAGAAACTTTTCAAGTTGTTATCAGCTGTTTATAACATAACAGGTTGAAATTGTTATATAGGGTTTACTATAGCCTATATAATAATTGAACACCAAAGTAATTAAGAGTCTTAAATAATTGCTAAATGTTCAAATCTGCAAAATAAAATTATGCATGGTGCATATGCAGGGCTGCCAACTTCTCACCAAACCTTGGGGTGAGAATTGTAAATAGTTTGGGCAGGAAACATTGTCAGAGGTCAGGTGCAGCTATAGGTTGTAGGTTTTCAGAGGATCTAACAGAAACAAAGTGGCAAAATGTAGAATTTGTATTGCACAGTAAATGTTACTGAGTAACAATAAGTTGTCTGTAGCTCCCATAATATACATTATCTTCTACATTTTGGTGATTTTTAGAGAACTGAAGTAAAGCAGAATGGGCCGTCCTGAAATACTTGCATCTTAAATATACTTAAAACTGAGAATTTCACAACGTTGTTTAATAATTCTTCTCTGCAGTTCAAGTAAATTAAACAATGAGGAACTACCAGCACTGATACAGGAACCAGCGTAATCGAAACCTGTGCAAACTACACTGTGTATGATTATTTGGTAATAGGCTAAGGATTAAAAAGCTTCATTCATTATGTTATTAGTTTTTGTTACAATTGACAAAACGGCTGAACAATTCAGACCTCCTAGGAGGCTGTAGATTTTAGAAAAACTCACCATGACAGGAGACAGCACTTCTCTGGATGTTTCAGTTTGGAAGGTGTGATGGAAATTAAGTTTTTAAACATATTCAATGGATCAAAATAAAGATAAATGAATAAGAAAAGTAACAATAAAAAGAAAAACATCCCTGTGGATTTATCGTCTATCAATCCAGGATAAATGAGCTGGTCTTTTGAAAAATAAAATGCAATGGTTCTTTTTTTCTTTTTGTGGAGCTCTATGGGTTTGAGATGCAAACCTGAAGCTTTAAGAATTAAAATATTTCTGTTGGTTTAATTACTCCCAAATTCCAACTGGAGATTATTAAACTACACTGAAAAAAAAATGATGCAAATGCTTTTGGCATTTACTTTATCATATTTAGTTACTTTAACACAATAGTTTTATGTCCAACCCATGAAACAAATGTGTTAAAATAACTAACCAGGTTGATTAACCCTGCTGAAAAATAAATGTGCTAAGTGTACTAAAATTTAGCATACTTTTGTGTACTTGAAGGCACACTAATCATTACTATACTTTAAGTGTGTTTATGATTAGTTAACTTGAAGGATGCTATTTTGGAACAACTAATTTTGTACTAAATATATTTTAATTGTAATTAAATTGTGGACAAGCTCAACTTGAAGTGTATTTAGTGTACTTTGATGTGCTAAAGTGGAACAACTTAAAGTATATTTTGTATACTTTAAGTATATGAGTTTATATGTACTAATATATGCTTAATTAGTCAAATTAAAGTGCACTATGGTTGTATTATAACTACATTAAAAATGATTTGTTAGTGTCTTAAAAATATATAAGCTTTATACTTTTAATATACTCTTACTGTGGTAATAATATGCTTAATTATACTGTTGGCTTATTCCAATTACTAAAAAAGCATACTTTGCAGTTAATAGTAAATATACTTTATCATTACATTGCTATACTACTTTCTACCTTGCACATTCTTGCAAATGTATTAACAGTATACTAAATGCTGAAAGACTTGTGGATATACTTCCGTGCAGATGAAAAAATATACTTTAATGTATTTGAAACATGTCCAAATTATAGTACATTACAAATAATATAACTTGTACTATCTCAGAATGTATAAACATTTACATATCGACGTTAACCATTTTCATTATAAAACTTACAACACATTTTCAAATATTGGTACTTTAGTACACTTTGTAGAAATATGTCAATTTCAGGCAGCAGACCTAAACATTACAAATAAACTTTAAAGAACGCAGAGGAATACTGAACAATGAAAAACAACATTCCTTATTATTGCACCCCTAAACCCTCGCACCATACAAAAACACGCCCACCACACATTATTTTCCTTTTTTTGGCTGAACTGCTCATTGTTACATTTTCGTCTGATGGCCGTGCGCACATCAGAGACACTTGTCTACGGAAACTCCAGAAGAACAGCGTCTGTTAACCAAACAGAGAGATACTGTAAATTCATAGTATTTTTGAGCAGTACATCAGAAAAGTCTGACAAATTGTATCAGTATGATATACCAGGGTCCATAAGTGCACCAGAAAAAAAAATTGTCCATTTCAGTTGAATTTAAATAAATCTGATGCATCAAGTGGTTTTATCAGATCTGATCAAAAAAATTAAACAAAGTAACAACAAAAATTGTCAGAGATCTCAGAAAAGAAAAAAATTATGAATCCGCAGAAAGAAAGGGAAGAAAAATCCTTAAGTTTCCTTGTTTTTCCTACCACCCTCCAGGGAACCGGATGGCATTCACATTGGGAACATTCTGCATCAACATCTCTGGTGGAGTCTAGTCCAGTCCATACAATGAACCGCTCAGCTGTAACAGCAGATTCTGCAACTATGTAAAAAAAAAAACAGCCTGCACACAAATGTGCAGAGCAATTACTTCAATTGGAAAATAAATCATGTAATCACCATAATATAAATTGGTTTTTACCACATTTATACAGACAAAAATATAAAGTAAAATTATCAATTTACATGTGGTTCACTGTCTAAGAAATCATTATGGTCAGTAGTCAATACTTGTATCTGGAAAAAACAATCCAGGACACCTATGAAGGGTTAATTTTACGTTAACCCCTTGTGGGGGTTTTACAGCAACATCACACAAGATGTAGCTAGCTTGAAAGTGCATTTTCTTTTTTAGAAGAGCACATGGGGGGTGTGTTAGCCTCCTTCTCACTGTGCTAATGCATTCAATAAATCAAAAGAGCTAGTAAAATTACATATATTACAAAACATTATATCCTGACTGGTTTTACATCTCAAAAAATATATATATTTCATTCACAGGTTCATGTGAACTCACCAGGATATTCTTCAACACAATAATACAGCAAATCTTCCTGCTCAACCGATTACATCTCCTGTTTCTACAATACAAATATAATAATCAAAATCGCGTTTTATACAGATATCTTAAGATTTCAAAACCAAATGGGAATGTTTTGAAAGTTACCTCTCTCCATGCAGACCAAGGCCTTAAAAGAAAAGCACGCTAGCTCTGAGCAGGGAGGAGCCGTGACTAACTGCTGTGCAGGTGTGGTGCATTCAAAGTCTATGGGAATTCTGATATCAGTACTGAACCAAAAACTCCCCAAGACTAAAATTCTTGGGGAGCTACTACTTTACAGACATCAAGGCCAAACAACCTCCACATATCACTCCTATATGCATGAAGTGCTGTCAGCGACTTTTAAATATGTGCACTCACCAATTGGTCTTGTTTGCAGTAGCCCTGCTTTGATCCATTAAACAATACTAATGAAATGTTCTTTTTTGAACACTTGAGACAATTGTAATGTGTTAAGTTTATTTCTTTTGCATTTGGCCAGTATTAACTTTTCTGTTGCAATGTGGGTTATGCTATTTGTTAGATCATAATGTAGCACTGCACCAGCTTTAAACCACTTGCTTTTCAGCAGAACACACATTTTTGTGCACCTGTACTTTTGAAGTGAACATTTAGTGTTTTGTTCAATGTGGTTTTGTGTGTAAGATGTATTGTATCATATTTCTTTTTCAAAACTTATTAAACATTACATAACAACTGCAATAATTGCTATCTGTGTACTTTACACACAGCACAAAATTGCATAATAGGGTTTAAGTGCATTTTTGTAGTTATACTATTGAACACTTTCCAAAAGAATTACCTGAAGTACAAGCGTATATAACTTCACTTCATAATTAGATTCAAATGTAACTTAAAATGCACTCAAACTTAATATTACAGTGTCGATATTAAAATGTGTACTTTTAAAATATGCTTTCAATGTACGTTACAATGACAACTTTGAGCATACAATTTAAAATATAGCAAAAATATATGTAAAAACAAATTTAAAATAAGTACACTTTAGAAATTACACATAACTTTCACTTAAAGTATACTTTTTTAATAATATATTTCTATAAAGTGTAACATAGTGTAATTATGTTAAAGTGTGTTAAAAGTATTAGCATGAAAGCGTAATGTTAGTATACTTTTTATATATTTACAAAAAGTACAATTTGTCTAAGTACATTTTCAGTAAACTATAGGAAATATGAATATACTTGAAATACAATAAAGCACATTTTTTTTTTACCAGGGAAGTTAATGCCAAAAACATTTGAAGTAGACAGAGCATTTATTATTTAACTTGTGAGGAAAAAACATGGACTAAAACTGGGACTAAAAAAAAGCACCAGGTAAAGAGAAAATAAACCATTGGATATTAACCTTTTTAGTGTGAGAAATTGGGAATATGGAGGTGACAGGAAACCCTAGATTAAAATTTAACTAAGCAATTACTCTGATGATACCATAATTTTGTTTTTCTGTTCTGGAAATCAAGTCAAACAGCAGCGTTTCCCCCCCTGACCTTTCCAGCAGCCTGTCAGAATGAGCGCCTGTTTCGCGCAGGATGTGCCGCGGCTGCGTCCCACGCCACGCAGATAACTGCACTCTGTCAAATGAGATGCAAAGTTACTTCCTCAGACAGACAGAAGCTGCCGATCGGCTTCACTTCAACCCTCCCGCGCTGTTTGAGCGACGCCATTCTGTGGAAATCAGCTCAAACTCCGGCAGCTTATCTCTGGGCGCATATCTGATGATAGAGGCCGGCCTGTTTCAGCAGCCCGATAAGAAGCTGTGGATGAAGTCGCTCCAAGTATCTGCAGCCTCAGTGAGTCCGGTTTAACAGGAAACCAGAGCCAGCCCGCCGCTGAAACACAACTGCAACCTGCAGCACTGAGCATGCAGGTAAAATCTATCTCTGTTCACTTCACATTATTGTGCAGAGATAGTTGAATACTTCAGCTCAACTTTTTACATTTTATTTTTTACTTTCTTGGTCTTAACTTTGATTACCTTTAATATAGATTTTTGTCCTTTGAATGCTGTCCTTATATCTAAATGTAGTAATTTTTAAAATGTACCTATTAGTTAAATGATGCACATAGGCTCTTAGTTTTTGCTGGCATCACACACTTTGTTGATTAAAAAAGTGGCTCATAAAGATGGAGATAGAAGAGGCCGGGATAGAGCAGTGCAAATTTTAGAAGAGATAAGTTTCTTCTCCTGGTAAGTTAGTTTATGTATAAAGGTTTCTGATTCATAGCGTTTGTCCTTATGTGCCATAGGCTATTTGTTATGTTTCCCAAATCGGATTGGATTCTGAGTTGATGTGTCACTTTAGTTTTGTCTTGGTCCAAGTATGTGTTCATCGTTCATTACATAGTAGTGTATACGATGTTGTACTGTAGTCTAAACTTACAGCTACATGTTTAAACCCAGAGGTACCTGTAATCTTACAGCTGAAATAATGCAATTTGGGATAGAATGTTAGTGGTGCCACATTTGGACTGAAAAACTTTCTAAAATTCATCAAGAAACGTGAATTTAGGAAGTGTATTCCCCTGCCGTCTTCTATCCATTTGAAAAAGTTTAAATGGATTTTGTAAAGCCGATCTAGAAAGTTAGTGTATTGCATCATTGCCACTTTACTGCACTGATGCAATCATTTATCGTTAATTTGATAACTCTAGTTGTTTTGACATGCGAAAGGAAATTGTGTCCATTCTTACTAGATTCCAGTAATTTTGCACTCAGCATTTTCCGGTTTGTCTGGTCAAATTCTCTAACTCTCTAACTGGTTGTCAGTAGGAGACTGACCTGAACAACAGGAATTTGGCAGTGAATAAAAAGAAAGTGTTATGCCAATAAAGCCTCAGCAATTCATATATGGTTTTAGCTGCCTGTTAGCTGAATGGCAGCCATTCTGGTGAAATATGTCACCATGATTGTGGTCACATTTTAATGTTGTGCCGGTCTATTTAATGTTGGTATTAAATAGACCATGTTGGCCTGCATGTTAATTCAGAAAGCTGGAGGTGTTATTTGGTTCTTTCTTTGCTTTTGGGTATGGTTTGTGATTTTGAAAAAGTAAAATGATATTCTTTGATGTCTAGAAATCTAGAATGACTGCCTTCAGTGTGTAGCACTTCCCTTAAATGTCTGAGTTGTTACATGTGTTTTATGGTTTGGAGTATGCCAACAAAACATGTTTAAAAAAAAAAAAAGATAGTTTGACCTTTCAGTTTGACCTGCTCCATCCATTGAGGTTTGTTGATATTCTTGTTGTCACCCATGCCCTTCTCTTTTAGCTTTTCTATGCACTTTGGTGTGCAGTAGAATCCATGGTCTTCATTCTCCTTGCTACGTTGGTGAGCTCCTTTAATTTCTCCCAACTAACCTGATATATCTGATATGACCGATCACACCCATGGCCAATCAGGGAACAAAAAAGTAAAGCAGTATCAGGAAAGCTTGCAAATCTAACTCACTGACGTTAATGTTTACTTTTATTTAAAATAAAAAATCAACACCTTTTCTCCCTTTTGCAAAATAATGCAACATATCGATTACTAAAGTTACAGTTGAATAACCTAAATATAAAATTCCTTACTTATTACACAGAAAAACATCCTTTTTTTTTTTTTTTTTTCTCTATATAAAGTAGCACTGACATAGCAAGATGGAATCAGTTGGTTAATGGGGCCATTCAGTCAACCCTGCAGCCAGAGTTGTTTTAAAGTTGGATTACTTTAATAAGAACAATGGGTGGAGATCATTTGGTTTGATTATTTGTGTTTCTCCACAGAAAATATTTCCTAGCAGCCTAATTTGTCTATCTTATAAGTATGGGTCAGGTATAGAAAACTGATTTCAGTCAGATGTCCAGCCAGCTGTATGCATACTTTTTTAATAACCAAATTTTACTTTTAACCCCCTTTGGATGAGGTGGTTGCATCTCTTTTTTAGTTGCAGCAAGAAAGTTCCAGGATCGATTCTTGGTCGAGGGTCTTTCTGCTTTGAGTTTGCATGTTCTCCCTGTGCATGTGTGGGTTCTCTCCAGGTACTCCGGCTTCCTTTCAAAGTCCAAAAACATGACTGTTAGGTTAATTGGCTTTTCTAAATTCTCCTTAGGTCGGAGTGAGTGTGTGAATGGGTGTCCTTTTGCCTCTGTGTTGCCCTGCGATAGACTGGCGACCTATTCAGGGTGTACCCCGTCTTTCGCCCGTAGACAGCTGGGGATAGGCTCCATTTAATAACCACATTTAATTTGATTACAATGCTTTCAAATCCTAAAATCTTATAGCCTCAATCTAGTAAATTAAGCAGCATTTCAGACCTTAAACTACTTTTATTTTTCTGTCTTCGTATTGCAGTTTTAACCCATGATGTTCTGCAGCTGTTTGTGAGTTGAGATGATGGATACGCCATCGTCCACCATCAGGCGGCGAGCCTGGATCAACAGCAGCCGACAGTGGCCAACTGTAGAGGATCCAGAGGGTCCGCTGTCAAACGTTGCAGCCTCAGCCTCCATAGCAGATGATGATGACGTCTTTTCTGATGGTTAGAGCAAAGACATTACTATGTGGAAAGCTCATTGCATTGTAGTTTTGAAGCAGGTTTTTTCTTTACTTTATTAAACTGAACAAGAAATTCGGTTTTTAAAGCGTACCCTGTTTATTTTAGTAAGAGTACTCATAGGTGTCATTTTCACAGCTGGCTTCACTGGAAAGATTGAGAACTGGCTGCTTGGTTGTGGGTGAGTCAAATTGTTTTGTTCTTTAATGAGTTCATAACTGCTTACTTTTAGCATTTTCCAGCTGTAAGATCTATATCACTGGAAACTAAAGCAAACAACAGAACACAGAGTGGAAACTCTCTGAAGTCAGACGGTGCAGGAAGGTAGCTCTGTCAGGTTGCTACATAGAAATGTTTTTTTTCTTCTGCTGCAGTAGCCTGAGGTGATACATTCTTATAGTTCCAATGGAAACAGAGAATAAGAAAAGTAAGCTTGCAATCAACCACAAACTGAGCACACAAAGGTGGCTTTCTCTTAAGTTAGTTTTTTTTTTTTTCGTTGGTTTACCAATGCTTATAAGATTTAAAAGAAAACAAAAGGCTGTTAAAAAAAGTATAATCGTCGTATTTAAAGTTACCTTTTGGTTTAAGTTGAAAGAAATACAAATTTTCTTTGTGTTTAACTAAAATAACCGTTGGAAGCAGGAACAATATTTTATTGCTTTAAATGTCAGTCGTTGGGAAAGAAACACTTATGAAATACAGAAACAGGCTAGATGACAGTAAATCAGCATCTACTGTAAGTGGGGCCCTGAAACCCCTGCTGGGAGCATTGAAGGAATGGCTGAATGTGGTTGAATGCTTTCTCAGAAGTGAAAACGAAAATAAGCTGTTTGGCTTAGCGTTAACCTGAATGCTAATACTTCTACAAGAGGAAGTTGCAAGACCTCAGCAGCCAATTGAAAACTGCTGGTTATAAAGTGTCCAAAAAAAACTTTCACTGTAACCTTAGCTGCTTACATTTGTTACATTAAGCCAGAAATGCAAACAACACCCCACGTTTGATAGAAGCATGCAAATGAAACAGGCTTAATTTGTGTGTTCATGTGTTTAAAACTGCAATGTGTTTCACAGATCTGATGTCAGCTTGGCGAACAAAGGCCAGCTAAGTTTTGGTGAGATATGTCCCTTGCTATTACCTACTAGATATTATTTTGCTTGAAAAAATGGAAACTAAAAATCAAAATGTATTCAAATGTTCATAGTTTAGTAAAACTCATATTTGTCATTTTCATGTAGAGTTTTTACTTGAAAACTTCTTCAACCTGTGTTTAATAGCAGAATTATGTAAAATGTATTTAGTAATATATTACCTGATCTATGTTTAGAATTTAACTGATGATCCTCATTCAACTTAATGAGGAAAGGAATTTATAAATGTGATAACTTAATATGACATAAGGTTGAATTGCAGGATAAACACAGTTTTCCAGATTCAGTATCATGTTCACTCAGATGAGCTCATATTGTAAATGCACACATTGAATAAATGCAAATGCTGCAGATATTTAAGCCAATATCCCTAGTTTACATTTTGCATGCAGCATTTGCATGATGTCTAATTTAGAACACAAATAAATCACATTTTAATATCTGATTGCCTTTTTTAGAGTCTGCACTTCAAGCTAACACCTGTTCTGACGATCTAAGTCTTGGAGCTGATGGTAAGTTCATGCATAAACTCAAACACAAATGTCACTTTATTCTTCAAAGTATGTTACAAATGATAATTTGTACCAATGTGTTTCACAGCAGGAAGAGAATAATTGTAAAAAGAAAATCAAAAATAATAACATAAATATAAAAAAGGTTAAGATATCAAGTTATATTTTATTTAAAAGCCTATAAATTCATATCGCAAACAGTTTCTATTTGCTCAAAGGGAAATATTTGGTTATCTGAAACATGACTTGGCTGTTAAACTGTATTGGCAGATGCAGACAGGTAAGAGGAAGTAATGACCCAGCAAATGTTTTAAATAGGCAAATGGTTTGGTCATGGTTATTTTTAAACTCCATTAATGCATCAGCATGCAGGATTTTTTTTACACCTAAAATAGAAGCTATCCACATTTTCTTATCAGACTATTTTGTGTCCTTGCATACTAGTTATTATGCAATGGTGATTTCCGAAGGATTAAATAACAGTTATAATAAAAGAGTAACTAAAAGGATAAAAAAGATCTACATTAAGGCATGAAGTTGCTTCATTTTGTGGATTAGGAAAGAACAGAGTGTAAAAGAAATTAGTGGAAATCCCACAGCTCTAGCTCTATGAGAACTGGTGGTATTTGAAGTTATCTGAGCATCGTTTAAATCTAACAAAAAAACAAACTTTCATTGTTTGGACACAGATGTTTTGTTTATTTGTCAGATTCACTCTGACGATACACTATTAAATCTAGGTCATAGAATACAATGATTTTGTTTGAGCTGTTTTGTCACACTAAAACAGTTTGCAATATCAAACAAATTTGGATATCATACATAGATGTTTGAAGTAAATACCAAATTCAGCTTTTAAAACATGTTTAATAAATATAAGACCTGTATTATCAATACAATGCTTAAATAAAACCTCTGAAAACAGGAGGTAGATTAAAAGATTTGAAAAAAACATGTAATGTTTATTTTATTTTCTCAGCCTCTGTTTTAAACTTTGGGGAAACTCCAAACACCTGTGGGTAAGTAGAAACTATTTACTGTTTAAAGTGTTTTCTACACATCTCATCAGATCATAACTGATGGGATTTAGTCTTTAATGTCCAAAATAATTACGTTATTATCAAAAATTCAGGTTTTATGGCACAGACATGTGGTAGAATTTCTCTAGAAATTATTACTAGGTATTATTACTAGAATTTGTGTGGTAAATAAAGTTAATGCACAGTATAGTTTATCTGATCACATTAAATTGATCACTATATGGAAATCTACCCAACACCTTCAAATGAATCTAAATATACTAAAGCATTTTTTCAAAACTGTTGTTGATTGGTCGGTTTGCTGGGTTTTTTTTCTTGTTTATCATGGCCAGGCAACCTTTTCTCACAAAACAGCCCAGCAGGATCAGGAGCAGGTTTGTTGTTTACTCCATCCTCAAACTCAGAATATATGCAGTATATTCTGGTATTAGTTCCAGAGAGCTTGTTAATTCATATGTCCCTGCTTTGATAGTTCGACTATCATAACGATTCACACATCTGATTTTTAGTGCACCCCGTCAGAAATTATGCCCACCATCATTGAACCTGGGCCACAGCATGGCCTCCAGCTGCCTTTCCTCCTCTACTTGGAAAACTGTGTCAAGGTGAGGCTGGAAAATTGGAAAATGCCATAGAAATATTATTTTGTATAGATTTTTTTTACTGATTTGGCTTAATAACTGCTCTCATTAAATTGTTGTTTCAGTAAATTATCTTTGTTCTCCATTTAAATACTTTTTGGTCTCTAAATTATCTGAAGGTGATTTTTCAATGGTTGATTAACCAGTTTATCCGAATAGCTGTTTTAGCACCACATTGTTTAGAGGGTTGTGAAGGTTTTTCTGGAGTTTTGAGGGGGTTTCAAATGTGAAAAACAAAAAAAAAATTAGGTTTTCTGGTCAGTCAAGCGCAGTGATAACATGGTTTTCAAACCTGCTGTTGGTACTTTTGGCAGTCATAGCTGCCAAGGCCTGTTGGTAAATGAAATCCTCCTCTCCATAGGGCTTTTCAGCAGAGGGATACATTAAGTGCTCTAAATCCTGGTGATGGTTGCATGTATCTTTGACCTCATAAAACACTGTGGACCACCACCACTGATTTTGTGCTTTTACAAGCTTTGAGTTTTGAAAAGAAATGGATAATTCACGTTCCTTTAAAGAGAGGACTTTGGACCTGAGAAACAAAACAAAACCGTTATTTTTCTGTTTAGCCTGGCTGAGACATTTTTGAGGTTGTCTCTGGTTAATAAGTTGATGTAACATGATACAATGAATCCTGTTGGTTGATCCTCATGTCTTTGAAACATAAGTGCTGTGGCTCCTGGAGCTCTGAGTCTAGGCACAGATCACACCCTGTCAATCTGCTCCAACTACATACCGTAAATTGGTTTTGTTTTGACGTTTAGTTAAAGCTGTGGTTCCACCTTTTATTTGTAAATTCTCTTTTGCCAAGCTTAAATTTCATATCTATGCTGCTGTATGCATATCTGTATAAAATGCAGCAAAGTCACAAATGACTTTAGCAGGTTACTTATACAGATTGATAAGCAGATACAGATAATATAAATAAAAATAAATAAATAAATAAAGTAACTGGATTCTCTACTAAGAAGAAAAAGATGAGAACAGAAATGGGCTTTTTTCAGCTTTGCATTGTTTTGCTTGGACAGAGTCTGCTTTTCTAGTAATGAACTGGAAAACTCCAGTCAGAAGTTCTCCCTTTTACTGTGTTGGTCTTAACATCCCATTTGTGTATTTTAAAGCATTTTCTTATCAGTCTAGTGTAAAATTCATTTTTAGTAGTAGTAGTGGTTGCAAGTATAAATCCATGAAATTAACCGGAAATGCTTGAATATCCCTGTATATATAAAACCAAGTTTCATTTTAAAATACATTTTTGAAATTAATCAATGTTGTGATGCTTATTATTTCAAATAACCCTGTATATGTGTGGGGGGTTTCTTTCAGTGTGTCAGAGGTTTTGCAAATCTACTCAGAGGATGCAGAGGAGACTCTATATGAGCTGGGTTTTGGCTGTGAAGAACCTCAGGTCACTGTACGCATCCCACCACGATTCTTTACCTTCCCCTCTCAGGCTCAGGGCATCAACTTTCGCCTCTTCCTGGATGCCCAGATCCGCCGTATAAGAGAGGAAGACCCCAGCCTTTCACTTGCTAGTATGGATTCGTTACATCTCTCTATCTATATGTCAGTGGAGTCAGCTTGTTTGTTAGATGTGTGAAGCAGTGAAATTGTTGCCAACTGTTTGTTAAAATACTATTCTTCTCACAGGTCGCTTCAGACAAGTGCAAGTTCTCACAGCCATGGCCAATGCCTTCTATTCCCTCTACTCCCACGTGTCTCGGACTCCCCTCCAGAAGCTGGCCACACCGGAGTTCACCTTCTCATCTCCAGTGGAGAGGATGGAACGGTTTAGGACCAGCATCCGCAGCGAGCCTCGCTCTCCTGTGGAGAGGCTAAAGGACACTGTGAACAAGATGTGCCTTTACACCGGCTCTCCACGGGGGTCGGAGTCCACCTCTCCACAGCCCTCACCCAGAAAGAGATCCAGCCTTCCTGAAGTGGTGGATATAATGCTGAGATCCAAGACTGGGAGTGCTAAGAAGCTGGATTTGGGGGGAAATGACAGGTGTGGATCTTGTGGGGATTTGAGTCTGCTAATAGATAGTGAAGATATGGAGAAAACGCAGCTGACTGTAGCCGATACAGACTTTTATCAGCGGGGAAATAAAAGCCTCGAGGAGACACTGGACACTAAACATGCAGATAATGCTGATAATTTCTTCCAAGCAGATGACGTGAGAACATCTCTAACGTCATCTTTATCAGGAGAAACTGTGATAGAAACAGCGACTCTGTTGGCTTTGGATCAGGACTCATGTTTGACACCAAGTGACACAAGGACAGGTGGGCTGAATCCTGGGGCCAAAGTAGCATATGATCTAGTCTGCCCTCAAATCGTGGAGAGTGTACATCGAGCTCCTTTCTCCTGTCAGAACAAGAACCGATTCATCCATATCACTCAGACATCAAGTAGAGATCGGCCATGTTCTCCATCACAGAAATCTGCACAAGAAATCCTTTCCTCTGAGCCGGATAAGGACCAACCCCTGGAGGGATCCGGATCACATAGTGTTCAGGAGCCCAGTGGCAGCTCCGCTCCCTGCAGCATCACTGTGACTGGCTTGGAAGATGAGGATGTGTTCTCTACTTCCATTAACTCCTGCCGTGCCTCACCTGCCTCCTCTAAGCGGAAACCCGCGGAGCCATTCAATGAGGAAGAGGGAAAGTACCTGAACCCTTTAACACATCCAAGCCTAGGCAAATTCTCCGGTAACCATCAGCATGTCAACTCGTTTGAGCTGGAGGAGGTACAGAAACTTTTAGGCCTTTTAAATTCCAATAAACACAGTATGATAGTGAGTTTAAATTGTGCTTTTTGTGCCTTAGTTGATTTCTCTGGAATGTAGGAAGTTTTAGTAATCTGAACCCAATGGATGAGGCAGTCTAATAACAATTATCAGTCTGTCAATGTTTAACTAAACTATATTTATTAGTAGGTATGGAATGCTGAGAACCCTATAAAAAGGACCTTCAGTCTATAGATCTAAGTTTCTTCTTGAATTTGATCCTCATACTTAGTTTTGGCTTCTCATTTATTCTTTGTTGTGGTATAATTTTTCTTTTACAAGCTTAGAACATTGAAGAGCAAAACACAAAAACAAAGCAAGAGAAATCAAATAAAATTCAAAACTAATAGTAATAGAAATTTGAATCATAAAAGAGCAACAATTGTATGAGTTCAATATAAACTTAAATCTAAAAAAGTTTGTGTTAAAAGACTCCGGTTCATGTTACCGCCTCCACCACTTTGACCCCTGCTTCTCCCCTGCTTCTACCACTACCCACATTATGGCATCAATTTATCAACTGATTTGATTCTATATGAAAAATGCAGTGAGCAAAAACCTTTCTGAAATATGACAGATAACGACCCTCTGCCCGAACCAAATTAACTCTTACTCTGCAAAAAATATAAATCTAAGTATTTTTTTCTGAAAATAGGGGATTTTTTTTCTTTAATTTAGCAGATAAGTGAGACACATTACCAATCTAATAAGACAATTTACATTTAAAATAGGAAAAAACAACTGCAGTGTCTTATTTCAAGCGCATAATATCTCATTATTTTTTTTAAGGGTAAAAATACTAATTTCAGTGGCAGCTCATCTTATGTACCTACTCAAATTAAGGATAAATACATATTTTAGGATTTTTTTCTGATTTTTTTGTTCTTGTCAAAGCAGTGCAGAGCCCTTTTCATCTACTGCCATAATTTCCTGCCTGAAATCATAATTTCGCAGAAAGCACTAAAATAGTTTTCAATTTTACGTTTTTTAATTTTATTACTGGAATACAGGGAAAATCTGGGAGCTAGTAAACAAAGAAAAAAAAAAGAGCTTAACTTAGCATATTTAGTGTAGTTTCTTTATTCAGCTTGGTTAAACAAAATGTATCTTTGTTAAATATGTTTGAACCCCTCTGCCTCAATAGGTGCATAGTGCAGGGGAGGAAGATTTTGGGCAACCAGACACTGCAAGAACAGTCACTTCATCACACTCCAGAAAACATTCGAACAAAGGTAACACATTTTTATTTTTGACTTTTTGCATCAACACTTGACAAAACCAATGTTTTCTTTATACATTTTGGTCTGCAAACATTCTAGCGCCATGACAGCTGACATGAATGAGCGAGAAAAAGGATGTTATCAGCTTACGCTGCAACAGCCGCCTATGTGTTAAACATGTTTGCAAGTTTTATTTATCTGCTTCTTCTTTCTCGGTTAAAGAAAATGTCATTAATTAAAGGCTCATTTTAGGGCATCAATTCATTTGTTGCGGTCAGCTAAGTGAATCTGACAGCAGCTGTTTTGCTGCGTGTCCACAGATGAGTAAAGTTGATAGAAATATCCCAGACTTGCAGCTGTAATTGCTGTGAATATGCATCAGGAGGGAGAACATAAATGCAAGCTACATAATTCAGATTTTCTCATAAAAAAACAGGTATTATAAGTCAACTGTTTACTACTTTGTGTTTTAGAAAAAACATAACAGACACATAACAAATGAGGAAATTTGATGGGATTTGAACACTTTCTAATGTTGTGGAAGCGTGAGAGGCACATCTGTATGCAGGTCACTGAGCAGGTGTCTTTTTCAAGGGGAAGCAATGCTTTTTCCTTTGCAAAATTCGGGTTAGACTGCAGCTGCTATGCAGTTTGTAGTTTGCAGAACCTGGAGAAGAGCTGAATGTTTTCCTCTGCTGGCTGTGTAGGTGAAGTGGTCCGAGGTGACAGCATGCAGTCCGACAGCAGCGGCTACGCAGATGAAGAAGTCATCCCGTCACCGGACAGACACAGCAGGTGACGCAGAGGAACGGCAGGACTGAAGCTTACAACAGGAAATGGAAACCTTTTCAGCTTCCAAAGTGGATCTGAGCACTGACTTTACATAAACTCTCTTAAAATGCAAAGGATTCATTCCTCTCACCATTATGTATTTGTCTTGTCTGGAGGCAGCCTTTGTTTGTTAGCCTGATGCATAATTTGACCTTACTGGAAATCTTTATCACCCCATTCGCATATACACCGGGTTATAGAAACTATCATGCTAAACTGGAAACAGTAAGGTGCATTTACTAAAGGGCAAAGAGTAAGATGAGCATTTTATGGGATTCAGTTTATGATAATGTAGGGAAGCTAGACTTCCCAGCATCCAAGGGGGGTGGGGGTTGACAGACACTTTGGCTCTTTTTGACTGCTTTCATAGTCTGTTTTCATGCAGCTATTTTTTTTTATGTTTAAGGGGGCTACTCATAAATAAACTAAAAAAACAACATGCTTGTATGAAATGGTAAATGCCCTGTAGTAGAATAGAGGTTATTGAGTCCTGCCCTCAGCCTCACTGACGCATCTAAAGTGCTCAAGACCACAACAGCTGAGGCGGACGGACTGAGGCTCCAACCGGCAGCACAAACTCCTGCAACCTACGCTACTGTGTTCCCCACAAAAACATAAGAAAAAAGAAAAACAAAGACTTGGACAGCGGGATGTGATGGAATAGACTTTTAATCAGGGTAAAAAACAGCCTTAAATCTTACAAAAATGTTTTTGATATCAACGATGTCCATTAAACCTCATATTTGTATTTTTACATATAAAAGTGCCTACACAGACAGCAACCAAATTTAAATAAAAACTGGCTTTTAACTTCCTTGTTTTAATGATTAGGAAAAACCCAAAATTGTTTGCATACCTGCCTTTTCTAACAATGGTTACAACATACAGAAATGTCCCACTTTGCACAGTCACATACAATAGAAGAGAGTTACAAATCTATTTACCAATACATAATGCAGTAGTTACAGATTATGGTGAAACAGATAAATAGAGAGTGAGCAGAACAGCACCGCTTTCTCATCATCACAGTTACAGTGAAAAAAACAAAAAATGTGACAGTGATGATAATTACATGCATAACTTGGTAGAGGTAATACTTTGGTATTTGAATTTTGAAAGTCCGGTTCAACACATATGTTATGAGTGTGCTTCGGTGGCACAGTGGTTTACACGTGCGACCAATGTATGGAGGCCTTTAGTCCTCCACATAGCTGACCCGGGATCCAATCTGACCTGTGGTCCTTGGTCACATGTCCCCCACTTTCATGTCAGCCCACTATATAAAAAAACAAACAGCCACTAGTGATTTAAAAACCCTAATAAACAAACTTTTCTTTACAAACTACGCTAAGGTTGCTGACTGTAAAGGACATCCTAGAAGTATGCAGGATTTATTTCAGGGTCATTACATCCATAATATTTGATAATCCAAAGCTGTTTCAGCAAGATCTACACATGCGTGCAAACCTGTAATCACAGCTTTCTTCCCCTCCAACATCTTAAATTTGGATTGTGCAAAATATGTAATTTTTCATGCAGGAGAAAAGGGTTTAAATAGTTTTTGATGTTCTAATTATTTATATTATAAAAATATGCCATTTAACAAGGGTGTTTACACCACTAAGAGCCACTGGATAGAAAGTTATAGCTTTGAGTTTTAGAGTAAATGTACTTCAAAAAATGTGCATACACTAATCTTCGATTAAGGTGATGCTTATGATTTTTCTAAGGACAGTTCAGATTCTGCACCGTTCATTTATTTACAGCTCTGGTAAGAAGATGCCAAACTTTTAACTGCAGTAGCACATCTATCTACTGTGACTGTGAGGGGAATGTCCAGACATTGACCCTATATCAGCCTGAATTGGTTATTTCTCTGACTCTACAGGGGACTTTTTATTGTCATTCTCTTACATGTGAAGATTTGTTCACCTCTTACAAACTTTAATTACATGTTGTATTGTTTTTCCCATTCTAAAGAGTGGCTAATAAAATTATATTTATACCCCATTGTAAACTAGGCCGTCATGGATTACTATTTAGAAGTTTGTGGAAACTCATCAATATAAATAACAGAAGGATCATTTAATATTACCCTTTAAAGGAAAAGTCAGTGGCACCAGGAGACGTTGCACAAATATATTTCTTGCAGACTCCAATATGGGTTGGAGCTTTCTATATGTTCCTGCATGTGCAATAAAGGATTGATGTTTTCTTTTTCTTTTTAACAAATCTGTACCAGTGGTTGCAATAAATGTTTTTAAAGTACACTTCATGATCTAAAGCACCCAGAAAAATGACAGTGATAACAGTGACAGGAGTCTGACCTTTAAAAACCTATGGAAGCTCATTTAAAGGAGAGAAGCTAAGCGAATTACATTTCATGACAGAGAAGAGTGTTTCTCTTGCATGCATTTGTAAGAATTTTATCGTGTTAGTGTAACTGGGGAGTTTTGTGTTGAGAGCTTCTGGAATGTGGGTTGTATGTGTGTGTTGAGCAAGGGGCGGTGTGTACTGTTATACGTGGCGTGGTTACCTGGGGAAACATGACCCGGATGTTACGTGAACTGGAAGTGGAATACACTGGCAGCCGGCGTGCTCCGGTGTGTTAGAACGAAGTGAATGGCTCTATCGCTTTATTAAGAAATTCGGCTGAAAGTTAAGTTGCAACAGTTAGACTAATAAATAGAATGTTACCTCTAAAACCGTCATTCATGAGTAAGAAAATATATTGTACCGTATTTTCACGACTATAAGGCGCACTTAAACGTCTTTTTTTCCCCTCAAAATGTGCGGTGCGCCCTATGGTGCGGTGCGCCTTATGTGTGTTGTAACTGCGACTTTTGAGACCACCTCATTGAGGAGATGATGAAAGAGTGGCTGAATGTAAGGAGGCCAGGTGTTTTTTTTCCACCCCTCACCATCGCTGTTAATATGTAACTCCATGCGTGCCCATCTCACAGCTGATGTGAAAAACAAATTAACGCTGCTCGACATCGGTGTGAACCGGACCCAGCAGGTGCAGCAGAAGCAGCGTGTTTACATGCAAAGTCAATGGTTGACGCGCGTATAGGTGCAGCAAAAGGTCCCGCAGCGCATTTTGGTGCAGCACGTCGGGAGCGTTTAAGCATCTGAAGCACCGCCAACGCTGCTCAGATGGAAAAATTGAAGTTTTGCTGCTGGACGCGCCGCATCAACCAATCAGAGAAGCTGATCTGGGAGCTGCCAGCGAGACAGACAGCGCTCTGATGACATGATATTAACGCAAATGGAAAAGGCTGGATGGATGCGTGGCTGAGGCAGGTGTATGTGAGAAGACTAGGTGGTTTTTTCCACGCATCACCATCGCTGCGTGCCCATCTCACAGCCGATGTGAAAAAAAGGTGAATCAAATGAACGCTGTGCTCGCCGTTATCCCGGGGGTCTGACAAAGGAACTTCAACCGCTCGACATCGGTGTGAAGCGGCCGTTCACAGTAAGGCTGCGAGCGGCGTGGGAGCGATGGATGACAGACGGAGACCACAGTTTCAGGATAAGAAGGCAGCGCCGGGCAGATTACGCCACAGTTTGCGGATAGATTGTAGATGCTTGGACTAAAGTGTCTGCTGGCTCTGTTGTTCAAGCTTTTGCAAAAGCCGGCATTATTTCTGAGGAGCTGCGCTGCACGGAAAGTGACTCTGACAGCGCAGATGGGGAAACTGGCATGTCTGATTTAGCGCAGCTGTTTTATTCAGAAACAGAGGATGATGACTTTGATGGGTTTGATTAATACTTTGTAATAAATACATGAATAAAGCACAATCATACTCAGTTTTGCTCCCGCTGTATTTTTCTCCCTGAAAACTTAATTCAACAGCAGCCCCGGCGCGTCTCCTCCTCTTCATCGCGGTGGCTGGCAGGTGTTTTTTCATCTAAATAATCTAAATCTTGCAGCTATATTTGCTGTGATCAGTGGGAATAAAGTAGTTTTAATATGTTTTTAAGTGAGAAAGTCCACCTGAAAACTTAATAATTGCAGTCAGTTCATCCAGATTATCTATTTCTGTCGGAGGCGCTCAGACCCCCACATACCAGCGGTGCGCTGACAGCAGAAATCTCTTCATCAGCAGCCTGTAGGCTGGGCAGCCTGGGGTTCACCGCGGCTGCTGGCAGGTGTTTTTCATCTAAATAATTTTAGCTGCAGGCACCAGGATACCGGCAATAAAAGCGAACATATTCCGTCAGCAGGTTTCAGGATTTTAAGTTAATTTAGGAGTGATCACAGCGCTGTGTCATCTGCGATGTTGGTCTGTCTCACGGCCAGCTGCCAGGTTTGATTAATACTTTGTAATAAATACATGAATAAAGCACAGTCATACTCAGTTTTACCCCCGCTGTATTTTTAAATACGCAGTAGAGCTATTTAAAGGTAGTAGAGGACATGTACCTGTATATAAAAAACGCGCCCTATAGTCCGGTGCGCCTTATGTGTGTGTTAAATACAGAAATGGGACACATAACTGAGAGTGCGCCTTTTAGTCCGGTGCGCCTTATGGTCGTGAAAATACGGTACATTAGAACAATTAGTGACAAATATGCAAAATTGTACAAAGATGTGTTGATGAATCTTAGGCAATAAAAACAACAGTGGCACATGTAGGGAGTAAAGGAAAGTACTTCATTTGTTAATTTTAGAGCAGAAAAAAGTCCCTCAATGTAGAATCTGAGGTTTCTTTCGTGTTTGTTTCCTTTTTTTTCATGTCACAAAAAATACCGCCTTTGTCCAAAAAGGAGAAGTTTGTTGGCATTTAGTGTGGTGGTGCGTCTGCGGAGAGGAAAACCGAGCAGGTCTGTCATTTCCCTCCTGCCATGATTTTTAAGTACTGCAGTGCATTGTGAGACGCGTTGGCGCGTGCAGCATCTACGTTCTGGGCGAAACCATGGCATACTGTGATTGGCTGCGTGGACAGCTCTACCAGACATTGACAAAGGCCGCTGAGGCTGCGCTCCTCTAAAACAAAACAGAGAAACAGGAGAGCAACACATTATCAGGGTCAGTTTTCATATAAATTTCAGAATTGAAAACTGTTTTAGAAAAAGATGAGACAATTTTAGCTTAGCAAACACAACCATGTTCTGTATTCATCACACCATTATTACTGATGTCTCCATTTTAATTACATCCAAGGAAAAGCAGTTTGTATTTCTCTGCACATTTTTATTTTCCATTGGTTTAATTTCCAGTCAAGGCAATCAGGATTAGCAACAGAAAGGAGAACAAAGTTTTAAAAGTTAACCAGACGAAACCTGAAGTGTTTAAGGGCTATGCACAAACAAATATGCTGCAGCCTGTAGAGTCATAAAGTGCTATAATATCCTCCTGGGAGGTCAGTTTTTTAACGTACACTGCAGTTTAAGTCTTTTGTGGTTTCTAGAGGTAAGGGCATCAAGCTTGGAATCCTGAGGTTCTGAGTTCGAGCCCCGCTCCCAGAGACTGCCACTCTGGGTCCCTGAGCAAAGACCCTTAACTCCACACTGCTCCCTGGGTGCCCCACGACGGCAGCCCACTGCTCCCCAAAGGGATGGGTCAAATGCAGAGGTAAATTTTTCCAATTAGAGATCAGTAAAGTTTAATTATTATTATTTTTATTAAAAGGTTTTCTTTCAGGATTGTCCAAGATGTATCCCTTCTTAACAACTTTAACCACCTTCAGTCATAAATGATAATCTCACAGCCGTTTTCCACCATAAAACATCTTTTCAGGGTGTTTCCTAACACACACATTGTCCCTAGGGCTGGGCGATATGAAGAAAATCTAACATGATATATTTGGGCTATAATCACGATACACAATATATATCACAATATGTTTAAATCAACCTCAAGAACAATAGAGAGCATAAAGTTGCACTGATATACTCATTCAAACTGACATGCAAATATATTTGGTTTGAAATTGAGAAGGATTCAGTGGTACTTTGTGAAAACTTAGGGTGTTTTCTAACCGCATTAATATCAAAATTCCAATGAAATGCCTTCAGCTTTCTGGTTGCAATGTGGAAAATGCGCAGACAATACAAGATGTGTGAAAATCTTTGCAACGACTGGGTCAGGTTAACGACACATTAGGCTGAATCATGTCAACAGCTTCAAACCTCCAGTGTGGTAGGACATCGGTACAATGCTGAGGTGAATGTAGCTCTGACAGTCGGCATTCAGGGGCTCACCTAGATCAAGGTAGCTGACGTCAAAGCGCTGCTCTGCAGAAAGGTCGCTCAGCAGGGAGCAGAAATTGGAGTCAGCGGGCATTCCCAGAGGGTGGCTGCGGAGCTGGAGGATCTTCTCTCCAGCAGAGTTACGCAGTGAGTCCCACGTGCAGCTGTAGCCTTTACTTTTACCCGACTCCACTCTGCCTCCCATGTGCTTTAAATACAGGAGGGCAGGATCAGTTGGCACACAGGCTCATTTTCCCAAAAAGCAGTATCAATCATGCCTACCACAGCTAATGGAATAGCTTTTGTTTTTGTGACTGGTTCTTAAATGCTAAATCTTTTCTATACTGATTAATCCCATTTGATGATCTTTATTAACTGTAAGAGGTCTTGCATCATTCTTACAATATTAAATGTGTCTTCCTCAGCCTCAGCATCATTAGTGCTTCTCAGATCCACCGGCACATCATGTATCCGGGAAAGCATTTTGGCGGCTGCATTTCTCTTGGCCAGCTTCTTAGACGTGCCGCTTCCTGAACATAAATAAAATAAAAAATAAAATATTAACTACTTTTTATCCAGTGGGACATAAAACTGTAAAAATTATATATTTATTTGCATGACAGGAGCTCCAATTTAACCACCAAGCTCCCTGGATCAAATAACCTAATATACAAGTTGTATGAAGACAAGGTCTAATTACCATGAAAAATAAAAATTCATGGTTTGATCCAGACTAAAAGCTCATGAGGGGTATAAGTTGATCATTTTAAAACGTACCGATTTCTACAAATCTCTCGACTCTGCAGGTCATGGTGAACTCCTTGCGATGCGCTGGACCAGACTCTTGGGTGACTGTGTACTCTGGCAAACGCCATCCTTTCTGCACCACTAACTCCTGACACAGAAATCAAACACAAAAGAGATACAAAAGGACAGCTTATGAAAAGGGAAAATAATGTGTGTTACAGAAATTGGAGGTTTCTCATGCTATAGACAGAATAGTCATAGGAAACTCTGCTGACATGATAGTAACAGAATTTCAGGCTTTGATTAGCTGTAATCAAACCACATCACCATTCAATGTAATACATTTATTATACATAAATAATGTGTAATGAATCTACATAAAAGATTCATTTTACTCTTGAGTTACTGATGCAATTTGCTTTTTTAAAATATTATAATTCATTGAGTCGAGCTGTATAAGAACAATCTGCATAATAGATAATTGGTTAAAAAAAAAGTAGACAAAGATCTTATTTACCTGCAGCGCTCCCACAGGGTTACATTCAGATTGCTGGGAACTGTTTGAGGTCTTCATATCTATTTGAGAACTGCAGACAGAGGGGGAAACCTATGAAACCACATAAACCATTATCTTGCATTTGCTAAATGTTAAAATGTCAGGTCAGTCGGGAATCTATCCAGTACTTAAAATGACTCTGGATTGACATCTGTGACATAACATTTCTGAGATTTCTGACCTGTCTTCATCTACAGACACATCAACTTCGGTAAAATCTTCTTCTCCAAGAGAAACTCCAGCTGGGCCTCCCAGGCCTCCCTTTAGCATCTTCAGAGCAGCCTCGGCTGCTTTGTGCTTTGCAGCTTTCTTGCTGGGCCCTTGGCCGGTGCAGCTGATCTCTCCAACAGAGACGCGGAATGTGAAGTTGGGCTGGTGGGCCTGTCCCTCGGCCTTTAGCAGGTCGTACACTGGGGTTTTGCCTATCCGCGTTCCATACTCCTGCAGCAGACTGATGGGCGTCTTCCCGGGATTCACAGCCAGCATTTGCTCAATACTACGAAACAAGAGTAAAAACCCTGGATGATGCAGTGTAATAGAGATGCAATTATGATTTTAGAACATGAAGCATAATATTCAATGCAATGACTTATACCTCTTAAATCTTAGTTTTATTAGTGGCAAACTGATTCTGGCAATAAATAATACTTTTAAGCTGAGAATGAGATGTTTTGAGTTAGACTACCTCACATGTCAATGTTTTAATTGAAATTTTATTGTAAGTGCATTTTTGGCTTTTATGTGTGTGTCTTTGTACCTATGTAATGATGTGATGTAATTTTGATGCCTATCTTGGCCAGGTCTCCCTTGCAAAAGAGATTTTTAATCTCAGTTGGTATTACCTGGTTAAATAAAGGATAAATAAATAAAAAAATAAAATAAACCCAAATCCAGCATCCCCTGCACACATATTAACCCTTCACAATAAGATCACCAGGAATCCTGGATCCAATATTTGGGACTACCGTAAATTAATTAAAACTTAAGAGAAAGTGATGTTGGTCTTTTCCAGCACCTGAAAAAGGATTTGGTAGGATTTTTTTTCTCACTGAAGTTCCACAGCACCAGCTTATCATAAACATGTGTGCCAGCTTAAATAATAATGATTAAAAAACTGTGTGCAGATTACATTAAAATAATTTCTTCAAATGAACTTAAGTGTTTTCATGGTGATTCAGGGAGGGAAGAACATTTCCAGAATGTTAGCAGGATGGAGAAAACTAAAACTTTGCCAAAATAAGAGCAGTTCTGTAAATGCTGAAAAAATGAAATAGACCATCTTACAGAATAAAAATTTTTCTTTTGTTGAAAAATAGCTTTTTTAATGAATCAGGTTACTATTTTATGCTTAACACTGCTTTCAAGACATTTTATTTGGTATCAGTTATCATTTCCTGAGCTACCTTTCACAAAAGATGGGTAGCAACTAGCTACATTTAATCACTTACATTTACTTGAGTAACTTTTTTGAGGAAAAAAAAGGTACTTTTAGGAGTATTTTTACAGCATTGTGCTTTTTTACAAAGTGAAACTGCAGGGCTCGATGTTAACCATTGCCCGATCGCCCGGGGCAAGTACTTTTTATTGTCGGGAGAGTACAAATTTCATCGCATTTGCAGTGATCGCAAAAAAAATTATTTATCACTCAAAATTACTTTAAAATCACCGACATTAGCTGAAAACGACCCAGCTGGCACCATTTTTGTTGTTTTGTACACATTCTCGCGTGATTTGAAAAAGCCGCGAGATTTTCCGCCAGATGGCGTGATTTTTGTCAACCTAGCGGTAATTTTGATGTAGTTACCAAAACGACAAACAAGCTAGAAAGCGCTATCATATGGCAGTCTTCTGTACAGTGGTCATACATTAAAAAATGTTCATTCATTTTTTTTCTCTCAGACATTGGAAAGTGCATTTAAATGTTGTAACAGACTGTTCTGTGTCTGTATGTTAAAGTTGTGTCCATCCCTGTTGCCGGGGAGCGAAAATTCGCTTGGTGTACGGCAGGGGGAGCTTGTGAGTTTTATTTTCTTCTTCTTCTTCTAATACATAACCAAAACTCACAAGCTCCCCCTGCCGTACACCCAGCGAACTTTCGCTCCCCGGCAACAGGGATGGACACAACTTTAACCTACAGACACAGAACAGTCTGTTACAATGTTATAGAGCTAAACATGTTAAATTGGTGACCTGTTATGTTATTATTATTGTCTTGTTGCTGCATTTATTTTGTCAGGGAAAAGTAATCCTGAGTCAGTTAAAAGTCAGGGAATTCTGAAATTATGTAAGACTGCGGAAACCCCGTCAGGGCTCGATGTTAACCATTGCCCTATCGCCCGGGGCAAGTACTTTTTATTGTCGGGAGAGTACAAATTTCATAGCATTTGCCCGCCGGGCAAGTGCAGTGATCGCAAAAAAAAAATATTTATCACTCAAAATTACTTTAAAATCACCGACATTAGCTGAAAACGACCCAGCCGGTGCCATTTTTGTTGTTTTGTACACATTCTCGCGTGATTTGAAAAAGCCGCAAGATCTTCCGCCATATGGCGTGATTTTTGTCAACCTAGCGGCAATTGTGACGTAGTTACCAAAACGACCAACAAGCTAGAAAGCGCTATCATATGGCAGTCTTCTGTACAGTGGTCATACATTAAAAAATGTTCATTAATTTTTTTCTCTCAGACATTAGAGAGGTGCATTTAAATGTTATAGAGCTAAACATGTTAAATTGGTGACCTGTTATGTTATTATTATTGTCTTGTTGCTGCATTTATTTTGTCAGGGAAAATTAATCCTGAGTCAGTTAAAAGTCAGGGAATTCTGAAATTATGTAAGACTGTGGAAACCCTGTATAAAATAACTGTATAATGATTCTCTAGAAAAGTCACATTATATTAATAGTATTATCTTGTATAAACATACTGTGACTCTAAAATAAGTTATTCGTTTGTGACATTGACTTCTATCTTGTGATTTATCTTAAGTTTTTAACATGTCAAGTTTTTTTTTTTAGATTTTTACCATTACAATTTGTATTTTTCCCAAGCACACAACAGTTTAAAGCAAAGTTTAGTTTGAAAAGAATGTGCAGGAAGGATTGAAAGGCATGTTAACACGGTAATGTAGGCTTGAGTTCATTATCTGAGGCATGCATATACACACCAGGAACCTGTAAATAAAAAAAATACTGAATTACAAAAAAGTTTTAAAAAACAAACATGTTTCATTGATATATATACAAAAATGAATATTAGGAACTATATTTATCAAACATTATACTGGGCAAGTGGTAAAAATCCTTAACGCCAACCCCTGTGAAACTATAATAAAGTGTCACTAATTTTACCTCAGTAAAATTCTTGAGTGAGTAACTTCACTTAATGAATAAAAGCTTGTTTAAACCAAATCCACAGGACTTTGGCTGTTTTTCTGAAGACGTGGATAAGTGTTGAATCGTCTTCAGAAAGATAAGCGAATGTCCAGCTGCCTTCCAATTAAAGTCAGTTTTGTATTTATTGGTTAAATGTTGGTTAATGGTTAAATGGTTAAATTTTCTGTCTTTTTAAGGTTGAGAGAAAATAAACAGTTTACCCTAATTTAAACTATTCTTACATTCTGTGATTAATTATTTTGTAAGTATTATAACTCAGAACATTTATTCTAAAGAGTGTTCATTCTAGGACCGAAACAATCGATTATTGAAATAATCATCAACTATTTTATTAATCGATTAAGATTAACTGGAGTACAGAGGTTCTAAAACGTGTATTTAGCCACTTAGAGCAGCAATTGTATCAAAATTGTAAAAAAGAAAAAATTTAAAAGCATTTTGCATTTAAGATTAAAAAAAAAAATGTTTTCGTCTGTCAATATTTTCAATCCAGAACTCCTTAAGTGGAAAGGTTTTAGTTTCACCTGATTTAATTAAGAAAAAAAACCCATCATCTTTTAGGAACCTTTGGTTGTCTGATTATTGATCGATTAATCAAAAAAATAATCAACAGATTAATCAATATGCAAAATAATCGTTAGTTGCAGCCCTAGTTCATTCATTTTAATTTTTATTGTATAATTACAGGATGCTATAAGTTTATTTTTGTTGTTATTCTTTAATAAAAAAACAGAATTGACATATCACTTAATATTTTGTTTAATGTTACGCCATTTTGTAAAATATTAAATCAGCTGTTATGGTTATGGGTTTATCAGTTGCTTTTTGACTCTTGATTAATTATTTAAAGGCTGCTTTTGACTTTTACTTGAGTAAAAATGTGATGAAGTAGCGCTACTCTTACTTTAGTCCCATTTTAGGATGCTCTACCCACCTCTGCTTGTCAACAGTTGAATGGGAACTAAAGTAATTAGCAGAAAGAGGGGAGGATGGTTATTTAGGTGGGACAAAAAAACGGGACTTTCAGCATAACGTGAGAAGTCAGAAAACATAGCGGCTCAACACTTTACCAGTTAGCTTTACTAATTCAATAAGAGGACCTGCAAAAACTAGACATATCTTCACACATAAATATACACAGTGTAACACAGTGGCACATATTCCGACCAAATCTGAATTGATTTGTCAGTGAGCATGGATGCTGCTCTGGTCAGCCTTACCTGGAGCTCCCGGAGTTTCTCTTCCAGCTCTCCGATTCTGTCTCGTCGTTCATTACCTAAAGCGTGCAGACGGAGCCGATCGGTTTCGGATGGCAAATCCCCCCCACCAGAACATACACGAGCTTTCATTAGACGGTATTTTACTGGCCCCCTCCCCCTAAAAGATGAAGAGGCTAAAACATGATGGAAGGAAGGAAAGGAGATGAAAAAAGAACCCCCTCTGCTTCATCAAACTTCGGCCCACAATGATGACGTATATTGTGACCGCCAGTAAAACTCGACTCGTGTTTTTTTGTTTTTTGTGGTCCAAAGTCTATAAATTAGAACATCATATACATGGCAATATTTTTTGTACACATAATCCGTCCAATTACTACGGAAGAGGATTAGGGCCACTGAAAAAAAAAAGAAAAAGTTAAATGATTTTTAAATTTTATTTCAGTTTGATATCAGAATTCTGACTTTTTTCTCAGAATTTTGACTTTAATCTCAGATTTCTGACTTTAATATCAGAATTCTGACTTTTTTCTCAGGATTTTGACTTTAATCTCAGAATTCTGATTTTTTTTTTAATCAGAATTCTGACTTTAATCTCAGAATTCTGACTTTTTTCTCAAAGTTCTGACTTTAATCTTAGAATTCTGACTTTAATCTCAGAATGCTGACTTTTTTCCCATATTAATTGAGATAAAATTTAAAAATCAGTTCACTTTTTTTTTTTTCCAGTGGCCCTAATCCTCTTCCGTAGGTTACACAGGTCGAGTTGTATATATAAAAAATTTATGAAAAGAAAAAAAAAAAAACGAAGAAACAAAAAGTGCAATGCAAACATTGAGATTTACACCAAATCAAGATTGTTAATCAAAGTAAAGAGTTGTTTAGCAGGGTTACTTTTAACCAAATTCTGAGACTCACAAAAGCATCTTATAAAATTATATATATTAAACTTGGCTTAACTTAAAAAAAAATCTGCATTTATGAAACAAAAAGTTTCCCAGTAAAATTACAAAATTAAATGTTTTGCATTTGAGTTTCGAAAATATACACCAACTTTAATAAGCGTTAAAACAAAGCTGACAGTTCATTTCCTTGAGGGTGGAGCCTTCCCTAAAAACTACTCCAAAAATCTTGAATGACATTAAACAAACATGATCCAAGGCTGGACTCAAACCTGGTAAGTTCAAGCCTGTGTCGAGGACTAATGCCTCCATACATGGGTCGTGTGCGCTAACCACTGTGCCACCAAAGCACGCCCTGAGTCAATATCTTTCTTATTATAAATTCATTTATAGCTCTAAATAGGAGATTTGCAATATCCTTGCAAAAAAAAAAGATAAAAACTGTCTGCCTCTAGTTCTTAAATTTTAAACATAATAACCAGATTTTAAACATAATAAACATTAAATTTTGACATACCCAGATATTCTGTGTAAGGAGGAGGAGTAGCAACAATCTTTCAGTCTGCCAAATAATAAAACCTCTTTTTTTGTAACCTTGTATTATCCACCAGGTCCTTACTCTGAATTTTTAGATCAGTTTTCAGAGCTCATACCTGATTTATTGTGAAACACTGATAAGGTCATTATCATGGGGCGTTTGAACATCCATGCTGACATTGAATGAGATAGCTTAAATGTGGCCAAGCTCCATCTTATATCATAGATCTGATTGTTCCTTATATTCCTAACAGAGAGCTTTGCTCTCAATCTGCAGGTTTACTAGTGGCTCCTAGAATTTCCAAAAGTAAAATGGGAGGCAGATCTTTTAGTTATCAGACTCCTCTTCTGTGGTGCCAACTACCAGTTTTAGTCAGTCAGGCAGACACTCTGTCTACTTTTTAGGGTAGGCTTAAAACTATCCTTTTATTTGTCTCAGCTTTATTTGAAAACAGATTTTTACCTTAAAACTGAAGAGCAACGATCAGAATTAGTTTTAGTCCCAACATCTCCTGTTTCTCTATCAGCTGCTGAACACGGAGAGACTTTTCTCTGCTGCAGATCTAGAATTAATGATCTTATTTCATCTGAGGCTGAATTCATGCATAAAAAGAATTTTATGCTTACACCCATCATGCATTTTCATTTTGTTGTCACACTTGTGCTTACCAGAGCTGGCCCATTGGTAAATAGAACATTAACCATTCATACTACAAATCCCAGAATGCTCTGCTGCTGAGTTGCTACCACCAGTCACATCAGCAGAAAAAGAGATTCCAGCTATCTAACTTAGACCAGAGTTCCTCAGTATAGATCAGAATGCAGCAAACTGAGCTTTGATAATTGTGTTATTTATGCTTTGTTCTTCCTACTCAAAAGTAGATTATTTAAAAAAGCTGTTTTTATTCATATTTGTGACATAATACTTTTTATGTGGTGTATGAAATACATAGGTGAACATATGACTATTTGATGTCTTTGACTGCTAAAGTGGGGAGTTTACATTCTTAATTGGGAACATTTATTATTTATGTGGAAATACAAGTCAGAAACACACGAAAAAAAAAAAAAAACATACGTATAGATGTAATATCAGATGTTTGTATAAACTTTATTGATGTGATGAAGGACAGCCGAGTGTGGCAGCAACAGAAGGTTCTCCATTAATTTCACTTTTCTTCATCAAAAACATGGTGAACCAGTGAGATGCAAACATGCATTAGGCTATATAATACAGTTACTGAAACAAACTGAACATTTCAATAGACATTTCTAAGCATCATAAATGCTACCAGAGACTAAATCCTCTAGAACAGCCGATATGTTTATTACTCTAGTAAAATAACAGCTTCACACTTTTATTTTATGTTTTACATTTCAATGCATGAAATATGAAAGCCTTTTTCAACTCATGTTTGTAAGTCTTTTTGTTATTTAAAGGAAATGAAAATAAAAAAACAAATACAATTTTTCCATCTGTGAGCACCTACACTGTGTCCAGCGGGTGTCCCAAGCAACCACCTGGACACAATTCTTACTAAAATGTTCAGAAATAAATGACGCTGTCATCGCACTGCAAGTCCTCTGGTTAAAGGAATAGTACACCCAAAACATGATTAGCCTTCATTTTCTACTCACCCCCATGCTGAACAACACCCTGGAGTACTTTTTTGATATCTCAAATGCATCTGGAGATCTGGGAGGCTTCTTGCTGTCTGCTGACGTTCAAATAATGGAGGTCTATGGTGCCCGAGACAGAAAGGTCCATAAAAGTCCACAAAAAACATGTCAATATTCCTCCATACTGCTCGTCCAATGTATTCCAAGTGTCCTGAGTGGGTAGCATCCAGAATTTACTCGAAACAAAGTCATTTAGAATGTTTTTAGAGCATAAACAGTAGTGTATAGGATTTCCTGAAAGCGCGCACATGCGCGATCACGACGCTACGGAAGCCGGCAGACCAAACCAGATGAAAGTGCGCATTCAGCGTCTGCTCTGCCAATAATGCAAGCGTAGAAGAAGAAATGTGCTGTTTACCTGTGCAAAGAAAGAAACAACGAAAGAAAAATGTCTGAGGACTTCAGTGTTGAGGAAGAGCATGAGTTCTTTGCCGAGCTGAATGCGCTGGTTTGGTCTGCCGGCTACCGTAGCGTCGTGATCGCGCATGTGCGCGCTTTCAGGAAATCCTATACACTACTGTTTATGCTCTAAAAACATTCTAAATGACTTCGTTTCGAGTAAATTCTGGATGCTACCCACTCAGGAAACTTGGAATACATTGGACGAGCAGTATGGAGGAATATTGAAACGTTTTTTGTGGACTTTTATGGACCTTTCTGCCTCGGGCACCATAGACCTCCATTATTTGAATGTCAGCAGACAGCAAGAAGCCTCCCAGATCTCCAAATGCATTTGAGATATCAAAAAAGTACTCCAGAGTGTTGTTCAGCATGGGGGGTGAGTAGAAAATGAAGGCTAATCATGTTTTGGGTGTACTATTCCTTTAAATCAACACAAAACAGGTACCTGAACAGAGTGACATACTATGGGTTATGAACATCAGTTCACTTAGTCTAATTAGTTCCAAGTTTTCTGCCTAAGGAAAACTAGCTGATTGCATTGACTCATTTTCTCAGCAGCAATCAAACCCTAACACCGAGCATGCTTGTGGCTACACTGAAAAGGAAAACTCCATTTTAACAGGAAGAAACCTTCAGCAGAACCAGGCTCAGTGTGAGCGACCATCTGCCGAGACTGACTGGGGTTCAAGGAGATGGAACCCCACCTCAGTGGGCCTGGTGGCGCCTGTATACTGCAGGCTCTGTTTTCTTCAAACATTTTTTTTAACCTTGATCTGCCGTGCTGATTCTGGGCAAAGTCATTGTACTCTCAGGAAGCCTTTCTCGTTTTTTAAACGGCACTCTTACTTTTTTTTATGATTTGTCTCGCTTGTTTCATCCTGCAAAACATGATGCAAGGTAGGAATGGAGAAAAAAAAAAACCCTTCTACTTAATCGGCGTCAGCCCGCAAAGATGACGTATATTGTAATGGCCTGTAAAACTCGGTTCCTAATTTGTCATGACTCAGAACAGAGGACCCAGTATTCGAGGCATGACAGACAGTGTGATTAGTTAAAAAGTGTTTATCATAAGACTGGGGAATCAGAGTAGCAGCGGCTAGGGTGCCTGAGGCAGGAAACTCTAGGGAGAGGAAAAACAGGTTAGGAAGATTATGAACGTGAAGTACTAAGCTGGTTTACAAGATCAGTCCATAGCCAGAGAACAAGGTAGGATCCAGACAGTGGGCTGCCAACAATCCGCCCAGATAGTCCCAGATGCTGCAGCCATGGAAAACATTCAGGAGTCCAAAGCCAGGTCAGGCAAACAGATCAGATCAGAACAGTAACAGGTCGGCTCAGTGGTTGAGAGGCAGGACAGGATCAGGTAATCAGAAGTACTCAGATGAGCTAAAAACACTCTCACCACTGGCATGCGAGAACAAGACTAATCTGATGAGTGGATGTAATCAGCATAAATAGAGGTAGGAGCAGGTGGATCAGATGAGAGGTAATGAGAAACCTGGGAAGAATTGGACAGGTGAATGAAATGAGTAATTAAGCCAGTCATCAGTGCCAAGATCATGACATAATTGGCCAAAAGGTGTCTGAAGTCAGGCTTGTATTTCTTTTTATAAAATAAATATCTTACTAAAATGTATGTAACATACTTACCCATTGCTATCAAATAATAACTAAAATGATTGTGTGATTATATTTTTTTGTTTTGTTTTTGCAAACTTACTCAATATTTCTTACAAGTCTATGTCTTTATTTCTTTATAACTAAACTGTTTTGCACTAGCATGAGAGCACAATTCACAGGGAAAATTTTTGTACATCTTTTTCCTCCCTAAATGTAGATTTATTTCAATGTTTTACTGTTGATTTTTTAGAATTATTCTCTTTTCCATTCAAATATAATTCAAACATTCATTATTACTTGTGAAAATCTTTGTAGCTTGTTTTTAATTTTATATTTTTAAATTATTTTTCTCTCATTTTCACCCTTGTGTTGATAAATATTTTTTGTTGCTGTTGTTTGCTGCTTAATTCCGATATAGGAACTCATTGAGAATTGAGTTATAATGAGTCAGCTGAAGTAGAAAATGAAACCTTTACATTAGTTAACCCTTGAAGGAATGTAATTTTAGTTTGCACCAATTTGGCAACATCACACATTTCAGGTAGATGACCAAAGGTTAGATGGATAGCTTATGCCTTTCTGTCTGAGGGTACTATTTAAGGGTTCTGCTATTTTGTTGTAGCCATGTCAATTCCTGAAAATAATTTAATTTTTCTTTATTTTTTTGTGATCCCTTAAGTGTGCATTTTTAGCAAAGGGTGTATTTTAGTGATTTATTTTCATCATTCTTTTACAGTAAAAGACCAACTCTGCAGTAAACACAGGTAATTAATGTTATCAAGAACTGCAGGGCACAAGTTTAGTTAGACACGATCGTGATCCTTAATGATAGCCTACCTCATTCATCCCAAGGCCAGTTTTGATGTGTTTACCACACACATCTTCCACTGATTGGGGAGGGCGTTGGAGACCTACAGCAAAGCTGTTTTATCAACATGGACAAACTATTTAAAGATGATTTGGCATTCCATCTATTTTGCACAAGCAATAAAATTACGTTAAAGCTTAATTAAAAAAGTATTGAATATTTTCCATTTTTGTTCTATTCTTCTATTCGTTGTGATAGAAATGCATCTGAGCTTAAATGTTTTGTCCACAATTTTACTGTGGAAAAAGTGACGATCTTAAATTCACCAGCAGAGGACGACATTTAGTCACTTATCCTCCAACTTCTTCCACTATAAGCTCTGTAAATAAAAAGATACGAAACGTTTTCAAACTTGGAAAACTAAAAGTCCAGTGTTTTTTGTGTTTTTGTTTTTTGTTTTTAACTTTTTTTGTTTTTAACTTTTTTTTTGTTTTTAACTTTTTTGAAATAAATGCAAAGATGTTCATTTTGTCAAACACAACTAAACCTTGCTTCAAAAGCAGAAATTTGCTAAAAGCGTCATTGTTGGAGATTTTTGGCTTTAATTTCTTTTTGAAAAACCGAGAATGTTCGAAGAATGGAATAAAAACAGACCTATAGTCTAATCAGGGGCCGGCGGGGGCCAACAGGAGCTGTGGCTCCAATATTGAAGACATAAAGTTGCAGCAATATGCTGATACGCACTAGCACTGAAACTGTCCCAGATTTTATTAGTTAATTAAATGTTTGTTTGTTTTTTTTTGTTTTTTTTGTTGCTTTTTTATCTTTACAATTTTGTTTTAATGTTGATTTGCAGATTTAAGTTGTTGCACATTTTTCTCAGTTTTTCTCTGCTATCCATAAGTAGTTTGCAACTTGCAGTTCAAGAGCCGTCTTTAGCTTTATGAAACATTTAACACATCAAACAAAGAAATATTATCTTTGCTGTTTTTTGTTTATCTTTTTTTTTTAATCTTGTGTCCCATTAAACACAGTTGTGCCTATTCTGGCCCACTGGTCATTGTTGTCTGGAACAGCAACTGAGTAGCAACTTTGTAGAGCCATTCTGAAACTTCAGTGTTATTATGCTTCTAATAAAAAAATAAAAAATGTCACCACAATAAATATTATCAGTAAATTTAAAGGACATGTATACATGAAAAGAATACTTCAGTGACAAATGGGAATTTTTAAAGAACAGGGACAAAGAATGAAAATTTTCTCTTCCAAAAACAGAAATGCAAATAGTGGGTGTCAGATATGAGATTATTAAGGCTGATAAAACCAACAGAGTTTCAATCTTTTAATTTGTTATTACACATCCAGAAACTTTATTTAGAATTTAGAAAAGTAAAGGTTTAAAACGCCAGAAAACTGTTGCTTTATTTGTTTATTTTCAGAGGAGGGTAATAACTAGTAACATTTACTCAGTTACATTTACTTTCAGAACATTTTGAGAAAAATGCACTATAAGGAGTAGGTTTTCTGCTTCATACTTCTTACTTTTACTTGTGTAAAAATTAGATAGAGTATCACAACTGTTACTGGAGTAAAATTTCTGGATGCTCTACTCATTGTGAGTAACCTCCCTCAAAGAAGGACAGGCTTATTTTACTCAAAAATGCAAAACAGAGAAAAACAAAAACACCTACATTTGATGTCTGAGACTCCAGATTTTACTCCAGCCTCTTTGTTTTAATGTTGTTTCCTATTTGCTGATCTCGCTACATCTTTTTTAAGGTCATGTGGAAATACGTATCATATGTATAGCTGTATCATATGTAATATGATGCAGTTTACTGTATGATATTACAGGAAGTAACTTGCCATATTCTCACCTACATCCATAACATACTATCAATAATGACGTCAGAGACTGTATAGCAAAAAATATGTAGTGTTTCTTTCACCAGAAATTATTGTTTAATTTCTGAATGTTACAATTTTTTTCAATCTAATTTTCAAAATTTTCTTTTGTAAATATACATAATTTTAAAAACATTAAACCGGATTTTATGATCAGTTGCTCACTACATGAGTAGCCTTTTCCCCAATTACCTTTTTACTTGAATAAGTTGTTGAATGGCTCCTCTTTACTGTTACATGAGTGAAAATAAGATGAAGTAGAGCTACTTCTGCATGAGTATAGTTTTTGGGCACTCTACCCACCTCTGTTTATTTCAAAGCTGTTAATTTATATGTGTTGTTTAGTAATCACTAAGATAGATAGGTGTTTGTTCTGGTACTGGAATGCCTTGAAATATCTTTCAACAATTGTCAAATTTATGTAAAATTAATGGAAAAATGTAGGAAAAAAAATCCTAATTAATATGGTCATTATGTCGGGAGATTAGTTTTAATATATATATATATATATATATATATATATATATATATATATATATATATATATATATATATATATATATATATATATATATATATATATATATATATATATATATATATATATATATATATATATATTTCATCTGCCTTATCTAAAGTCCACCAAATTAGGATTAACAGACTTAATAATTTGACTGATTGTAAGGAATGTTTAGCCTGCCTGCAGATCAGATGATATCTGATCTAACATAAATGCTAAGCGAGACAGTTCAAGGTATAACATCAGAAACTGTTTGAGTTCTGTTGCATAAAACAGCCTGTTCATGCTTAAATTCATTTATTGAGGCTGTTTTAAAATAATCCGGAATCGATAAGGGGGCCAAAATTCACAAAAAATACGTTTAAATGCTCAGTTAACAAAAACCTTTCGTAGCATCTGCTGTCTCTAAGGGTGGCACAAAGTGGTTCTAGGGGAAGCCTATAATTACTTTTTCACACGAGAAAACTGATTTTAGATTGCTTTGTCCCTTTAGTTTGGATAATTATCTGAAACATTTAAGTGTATGAAAAAAGGAAAGAAATAAGAAATCTGTCAGCACTATATAATAGAAAATCAGAACTTCCAGTATATAGTAACAAAACTTAACAGCTTAACAGTCAAATCGATTCATTAGAAACTCACAGTACATAACTAAGAATTATTTCTGTGCATAATATCAGCAGGATTGTAGTCTGATGTCTATTGTGATATTGAATTTTTAAGAATGGCAACACACAGATTATTACTGAGAGGGCATTTATTATGGCTGTTATTCATCAGTATAGAGGGGAGTGTTCGCCCGGTGGCTAGTGCAGTGCGCTTGTGCTCTGAGAAGGTTGTAAGTACCTGTTTTTATCCCCGCAGTCTGCCACTCTGGGTCCCTGAGCAGGACCCTTAACTCCACACTGCTCCCGGGCGCTGCACAATGGCAGCCCACTGCTCCTCAAGGGGATGGGTTAAAATACAAAGGTGAATTTCTGCAGTGTGACATCAATACATTTAAATTATTATTATTAAAGTAATATTATTACCAATTGACAAACAGCTTCATATTTACTTAACACTTTAAAGACAAAGTCACCAAGTCCACACAAAAAGGTAATAAAATGAAGCATCAAATGTCAAAAAGATTTTCATGAACAGAATACACAGATCACTCATAATAGGGAAACAAATCACCCACAATACTGAATATGAATAAAGCTCACATTAAATCTTGGATAGTGAGCAAGTCTTCACTAATTTACTCTTTTTATTCTTTAACGGTTTCCAGTTCTCTCTAAAAAGTTGCTTCCCCATTTAATCCAAATGGAACGTAAATCTAAAACTTAAATCTAATAACCATCGTCAAGTCTACAGCAACTAAACAGCAGAAGAAGCTGCTTTAGGCCTGTACTGAATTTCCCTTTAAAAAGATAAGTGTCCTGGTCATGCTCTGAACTCATACAATATGTATTCAATGTGACGCGACCGGGAAGATTTTTTTGTTCTCAGGATAGCAACAGTTAAACGTAATGAATTTCGATAGTTTAAAAGGCTGACAGTGCTATCACTTTAGGCCAAGTTTCTGTTTAGTTTGGATCTTTTTGCGTCAGTAAAAGGAATCATACCAGCCAGTTAAATCCTTTTGGACCCACAACCTTTCCGATGAATGTAGCAGCACTTCCATAAAATATTGCAGTTCCATTTTCCATCTTCCTATGTGTTCCTTTTATTTCTGCGGCTTGACTATTAATCCCATGATGACTCGCTTGTAAAACCCTGCTGGCCACCTCTGAAGCAAAGCAGGGATTTTGATGGCTTTATCCACTGGCATCAATGTGTCAGTGTGGATAAGCATATTTTGCCAACATGAGGAGAACTAGCCATGGCAGTTATGAAGCTGTCTCCCATCTGAACCCCCAAACCAACAACTGAGCAGCTGTGACCAGAGTTTATCCCTCCTACTCATTATTCAAAGCTTCAGTGCTGATGTGACTTCATTTGTCAGTTGAATGCTCTAATTTATTGACCTATAACTTGATAGTATAAGTGTGCTAAATGGAGCTGGTGGGTAAATTGTAGACTAAATGAGTTCAGAAGCACAAATAACTTTTATGATGTGTTTCATAGCTTTCTTTTGCATATTTGGGCTGGTGCATTAGAGTCTTTCAAAGGTATTTACACTCTTTAAACCCTTTTATATTTTCTTAACTACAAACTCCTGTTTGTTATTGAGAATATATAAGATATAACAACATAATGTGGCATATAATCGGAAGTGGAAGGAAAAAGTCACACAAATAAATACAAATATTTAGTGAAAAGTCACTTGTAACTTTGCAAATCTTCTCATCTACAAATAATTTTATCTATATGAAATATCAATTATATACAAATTTATATAAAAACAGCTAATCATCACTTACATGATATGGAACAACAAGTTCAAAGTATTGCTAAAGATTCCCATTCAGATTAATTGAATCTTTCTAATGCATCAACTTGCTTTGATTTAAATTATCAAAACTGTTTATATCAAGATTATAACAGTGTTTCTTCTGTTTTTAGCTCAATCCATCCTCTTTTTAATTGTGAGCAGTTTATTTGTCCTGGATAAAGAGACAGAAAGGCTTCTCCAGATCCACTGTAGAACACACTGCTACAGTAGATCTTTCCTTCCTACAGCCATCAGCAAAGACAACAACTGGCTAAAGAAACCCTTATAATACTACCAGAGTTGGGAAACTACTTATATCGAAAATTATCTTAGGAGTATGTTTGCTGTATGTTACTTTTTAACTTTTTCTTGTGTAATATCATTGTGAAGTAGATTATTAGTACTCTTTGTCAAGGCTCAGCACAGAGGACCCATTATTCAAGGCAAGATAGACAGTAAGATTACTCAAAAAGTGCTGATTTAATAACGACAGATCGGCAGTGGCAGCTAGGGTGTCTAAGGCAGGAACCTCTGCAAAATGAAACACAGGTTAGTGACAACTTTAATCTGGTAGAGGATGATTACAAGAAGGTGAGTCACTAACCTAGTGTTAAAGTTCAGTCTGTGCCCAAAGGAAGAGGTGGATTCCAGCTGAACGGCTTCCAACGTGATGCAACGATCACTGCCCAGACGGTTCCAGACGATGAAGTCTTAAAGACAGCAGAACTGGCAGGAGATCAGATCCAAGCAGATGAAGGAAGGTAGGACAACATAGAGGCTGAAGCCAGGGCTGGTGTTCTGTTCAATTCAGTTTATCTTTATAGCGCCAATTCACAACACATGTCATCTCAAGGTACTTTACAGTTCACCAGATCATACAATCAAATTGATTCAAAGTTTTCTATCTAAGGAAAACCAGTTGATTGCATCGACTCATTGACTCGAACGCAATCCCTCACACAAAGCATGCTTGTAGCGAGAGTGGAGAGGAAAAACTTCCTTTAACAGGAAGAAACCTCCAGCAGAACCAGGCTCAGTGTGAGCAGCTATCTGCCGAGGCCGACTGGGTTTGCATGAGACAGAAGCAGAGATAAAAAAAGGCAACTGTAAAAGGTGGCCTCATCCAGCAAACACACAGCCAGGCAGATGAGCTCCGAGCTAGCTCCCATGTCAGATGATGAAGAGGGCAGCCAACTGATAATTCAGTTGATTTATATACTGCCAATTCACAACACATGTCATCTTAAGACACTCCACTCTCAATCCAAGTTGGTGTCAGGAAGTAGATCCAGAATCGTCAACAGGCAGAATTAAGCAGCAGTTCAAAGACAGGTCAGGCAAACAGATCAAAACAGGGACAGGTAGGCTCTGAGGTCCAAAGGCAGAACGGGTCAGGATCAGGCAATCATAACACAATCAGATACACTAGAGATCTCTCACTAAAGGCTTGAGAATAATCTGGTCTGATGACTAGAAGCAACGGGAATTAACAATCAAGCCAGTCATCAGCGCTAAGATCATGACACTCTTAGGTAAAATGCTTGCAACTCTATCCACCCTGAGTAACTTCAGTCAATTAAGAACTAGCGTATTTTCAACAAACATGTTCCTGAAGCATACAGTTCAAGCTTATGTTAAAATGAGAAACAACTTTTGTACACATGATTTGTTTCTATCTGCTGAACCTTCTATGACATTTGGAGGTAAAGCTGATATACAGTAAACAGTACGTTTTGCCACTGAAAAAACATGTATTTAACATGTATCTCACATGTACACTTTAGCTTCTCTAAGCATTTTATAAATAAAAAGGTAAAAAAAATAAAAAATTGGATAGTGTTTCCTCTTCCAGAGTTATTTTTTTGTACATTTTGGAATTATGTTAATTATTGTTGTTTCCATTTTATTTAACCCTGTATGATACCACAATTATGCTTGATGAGTAGGCAGTCGTTGAGTAAATCCGAAATGGAAAAGAAGCTGATTCCAAGAAGCTGATGAACCGCATTGTCGCATGATGTGGAAACAATCATCTAATCCTGAATGTGAATAAAACAAAGGGGATGATCGTGGTTTTAGAAGAAACAGGAATAAATCCAATTCTATTAACATCATGGGAGAAGATGTAGAGGTGGTGGAAGAGTATAAATAACTCAGTGTTTACCTGGACAACAGATTCGACTGGAGATGCAACTATGAAGCCATCTACAAGAAGGGACAGAGCAGGCTGTACTTCCGAAGGAAGCTTTGGTCCCTAGGAATCCTCCATAAGTCTGTTGTGGAGAGGGTGATCTCTCCCTCCATCATCTGCTGGGTTAACAGCATCAGAGCAAATGACTTAAAGAAACTGAACACGTTGATAAAAAGGCTGGTTTTAGGAACTCCTCTAAATCTTCTGGGTAGAATTTCCCAAATAATTCTTCATTATATAAAGAACATTAATTGACAACAAGTTGAACAACAAGACTGTCTTCAGCCAAAGGCTCCTGCAGATCCACTGCAAGACAGACAGCTATGATACTTCATGCCTTTTAACATCTTCATCTCCTTGAAAATAGAAATCCAAACCCTGCATTTTAATTGGGAAACACTTAAGTATGTTTTGATGGAATTTAATTAACATTACTTTACATTTAGGACTTATTAGTTGTTTTCTTTTTGTGACTTTTTATAACACTGGTGGCACATTTTTATGGGCAATAGGCTGACAGGAAATGGGGATAGACGTTCAGGAAAGGCCCACAGGCTGGATTTGAACCCAGGTCACCCGCATTGAGGACTAAGGCCTCTATACATGGGTCGTGTGCACTAACCACTGCGCCCTTATCACTGGATTTTAATCAGTATATCTGATGTCATCATCAGTTACTAAGTACTGTTTACTCTTAAAATTACCTGTTTTTACTGTTTACTGACTGGCTACTTTTTGCTTTCATAATTAAAAATACTTTGAAGTGGCGTTATTCTGTCTAGAGTACACTTTTTGTGCACTCTACCCACCTCTAAGTTTGAATTTTAACTTTAATTTCCCTTCAGCATTAAGGAAGTATTTTTGAATTTAATTAAACTAATATCAGTAAGTCAAAATAATCCAAATTGCTTTCATAATAAAACTTCCATGCTTGCTTGCCATATCCCCTGTATGCTTTGTGACACACTTTAAACAGATATCGATATAGCTGCAGGCCTTTTCGCAGGTTTGGCATTTGGTCCACACATTTGCAAGTTTTTGCTGATAAGCGGATTAGTAGTCTGTGATATGTGAAAGGCTTTGGGTGTTGTTTGATAACAATCCCTGCTTTAGACTTCTCCACATTTTTCTCTCTGACATGTCTGCTGTGTTGCTTGGTCTTAAATGGGCTGTTTGCCCCTAATGTTCTCTGCAAACCACAAGGCCTCTTCAGAACAACTGTATTTTACTGAGTTTAAATTACACACAGCTTGATTCAGTGTACAAATAAAGGGATTTCTTTAGGGAACTGTTTTCACTCGATTTGATTTATTGATATCAGATTATCAGAGCTGAATTGAAATGCACATCACACACATTTCCCCTCCCCTTTATGGCTCTTCCTTATGTTATTCTATCTTATAAATCCAAGTACAACATACTGACATATCTGGATGTAATTGGACAGAATGTGAACAAAAAAAAAATCAGGAGATATGAATACTGCAAGGCTGTGCACGTGTGGTTCTTTGGTTGCCCAGATCATCAGTAGATCTTCAAGTGCAGGGCCGGGTGAATGCCCCCCAGCCCCCCACCTCCCTTCCACAATGTGATGTGTTTCCTTTTTTGTGTGTTTTTTGATCCCTCTCTTGCGGCCAGGCTGTGCTGTGGTGAGGCGCGGGTTCGAGTGGCGCTCCTGTGTTATTTTTGGCAGCAGCTCTGGTTGGTGGCTGTTGAGGGGAGAGGAGACAGAAACGGCTACGGCACAAAAGACCAAAATCGTAGCTGTTTAAGGGATTGCTGTCTGAGAGAATTGCTCTGTGATGATTGTGTGCGTGCGTGAAATCATGCACTCACTCACATACAGTATAGAGCTGGCATGCAAATGTGTTCATTTAACACTCCTCTTTCCCCAGACCACACACATTTAGACTTCTTCCTTTTTAAAGAAAAATCGACATCATTCTGGCTCTTAAATGTGAATGGATTTCTGTGCTTTTGTCATATGGAAAGTATTTTTTTGTTTGTCAGCCACTTTGTTAAAGCACTGTATCCTTTGTGGGAGAGACTGAGACACACTGCCTGCTTCGACAACACAAAGTGTAAAACATTCACGCTCCTCCCTCCACGTTTCTGAAAACACCATTCGAAAAAGATTTTCTCCAACTCTTTCCTTGGCCACAGATCAAGAGAACATTATTGCTCTCCTTTTATTTATTTATATATTGTGGTGGTAATGTGTGTGAGGGATGTGTAATTGTGTGTGTGTGT